TCCAGCGCTGGCCAAGACGGCCACCAGCACCGCCTAGGACACCTAGCGAAGCAATCAAGTACCTCCAGACGCTCTGGGAAGAGCCAGAGGACTTTGCCGCCTTCCTAGAAATCACAGGTTTCTATAATACAATATATAGGCCTCACTAGAGCCTACACTTGTAAGACTTTTCCTGTCTTCCTATTTTCTTTCTTTCTCTTCTCTCTTTCTCTTCTCTCTCTTCTCTCTCCTTCTCTTCTCTTTCCTATGTCCTCTATACTACACACTCCTTAGTAAGCATCAGCTACGACAACTAAAGGCGGATACACACCTACTGCACAATCATTTCAGTGGCGATCAACAGGCGGAACGACCACTACTAGACCACTACAATCATGTAAATAAGAATAGGCATCCTAGGCATAGTACGGCAAGCCATAGGCATAGCCCGTCTACATGCCCCAAGGGAGGCTTTATATATAGACGTTAAATACAACTCACTCACTCACTCACTCACTCTTACCAAAGATAAGACCAGTGCCCAAGAGCCCCACGAAGATGACTCCGTACGCGGCTTTGGCCATGACAGGACGAAGCGAGCCGAGCGCGGGTGATGCGACTTGCTCGCCAGATAGTGCGTACACGACTGCAGCAACAATCACATAAATGGATGTCGTCGCGCACTTCTCGATAATGATAGCCTTTGGGTAGTCGCGGGAGGGGTTCTCCATCTCCGCCAAGACTGTCGGGAATGCCTGGTTACCGCTAAAAGCAAATGCAATGTTGAGGAATGCAGAAACAGCTTGCGTAAAATTCGGGCTGCCGATAGCCTTGAGTTTGAGTGCCGCTTCCGGGTTCCGTGGGCCTTGGACGCCCAGAATGATCATGACCATGAGGACGGCCGCGAAGACGGAAAATGTGCAAGGCCACGAGGCCCATGATACAAAGCGCATGCTTCTAGGTACGCACATAGCCCACATGACGACGGCCGCGACAACTGTGAAGGCAACCGTGCAAGTTGCGTGGTCGCTAATCGTGTTGAGACCGATGGAGATGGTGACGACAGCCGACGCGCTGATGAGCGCCATGTTGATGAGAAAGCCAATGGCAAACACAGCTTCAACCCAGGGCCCACCAAGGACGCGCCCGTAGTCAACAATGTTCAGCATATAAGGATATTTTCGCCAGTATTGAATCAGGTTGTAAGCAGTATACAGACTGAGCATGCCCATACCAATGATGGCCACGATACCTGGGAAGAAGCCAAGCGCGTTGAGCGCACTGGGTAATGACAGAATGCCAATGCCAATCTCGTTTGTCATGAAGATGATGACGGTTTGGGCCGTGTTCAGCTTCTTGGCCGAAGTATCGTTGGGGGAGATGCTGGCATTTCGAATATCTGTGACGTCGCCTACGTTTGTGTCGTTTTGAGATGATGCGGAATCGAATTTTTCAGAGTCTGCTATGGTCTTATGTCGCAAAGGGTCTTCCGGGTCGTGTGTCGGGTCTGCTGCAAGGGTGATTGTGGGTCGTTGGGTGGACATCGGGGGAGCATCAGTAGCTTTGGGCTTGTCGTTGACATCATGTGTTTGTTGCTTGGGAAAGTTGCCATGGGCAGACGAAAGAGGCTTCCCGTCCATGATTTAAGAGGCAATCAAGCACTTACGCCTGCATATACAGAGTTGGAAGAATGGGTTTAGCGGAAAGAAGTACGAAGGAATTGGCAAAGATTGGGGTTGAACTGATGGCGCTGGAAAGATGTGAAGATGCAAAGAAGTTATGAATACAAGTAAAGAGCGAGATTAAAGGGTTCGGCGCAGTGTGGAGAGGCCCAAGGACTTGGTGAATTACGTACTACCAAGGACGGTAGCTTGTCGTAGCGCGTCACCCAAAGGTTGCATCCCCAATCGGGACTGTGCATCAATGGCCAGATAGTGAAAATAACAGGGTCTTTCTCCCGGCGTGGAGGCTGGTGGTCCGTATATCCACTTAGGGCATGTGGGTCTCTCCAGAAGCCGTGCAAACGAGGCTTTTAGTAAGAGAATAGCTGCTTAGCATTGTGATTTGCAAAGTCGAATCGACCCGCACCATTTCGAAACGCTGCCCAACGGTCCCATGCAGTCGACCACATGGTCGAGAGACGTGGTGATGCGGAGAAAGGGTCCCAATGACGTCTGACGTTGATCTTCTTCGGGAGTGACCGCACTAGCGAGAGCGCCGAAGCAGGCCGGCCTTGGTTCCCGAGATTGGCCGTCGTCATGGTTTGGCTAGGCAAGAGCAGTACGCTGGTTGGTCGCCTTATGGGTTCAGTCTCATGTCAGTACAACATGCCAGACTGGAGACCGCGTACGAGAGATGGCTTCGGGAATGCCAGGGGCACCAACAACTTCCGGTGCGCTATTTTCTTCCAGAAGATGAAGCGAAGATGGGTCTGACAAGGACATATCCGATACTTGAGTGTTGCATTGGCCCTGAAGGCAAATTTTTACGCGATCAAACATTGGCGCAGGACAAACGTGCATGTTCACCCAGTCAGAAGTGAGGCGTCTGAGTGCCAAGGACATGTTAGTGAGGATTGGAAAGAGACAAACAGCAACCGCTGACCTTAGGGTGGCCTCGCACCCGGTAACAGCGAACGTAGTGGATGCCAAACGTGGTACTTTTGCGGGCACGCCGAGATTCTTCCCAGAGCTTGTTAACGGTGCTAGGCGAGGCAACGGCGCTGTATCAACAGGCATTGGTTTCTTGGTTTGAGGTACCCCTCAAAATACCCGGATCTTGACGGAGAAGCCAAGCAGTAGTCGGGTGAGGGAGGTATGGGTCCACATTCGGAACAAAAGAATGGGAAGCTCTGGCTCCAAAAAGCATCCCCTTATCGCTCTGGGGCAGGTACATTCAAGGGTGTGTAGTACACGCCGGCTGCATGATTAGCAAAGCGCGCGAATGAGAGTCCTATGTGGGAGTGTTGAGGTATTGCGTGGGACGTATGTAGTATTTCTGTGGCGGTGGCATCCTTTCTCACGACTCCAATGGCTCTCGAGTGGCACGGGCAAGACGTCAAGCGAGATGAAAGGCCCTTTTTCCAAAACCAGGACCTATCAAAAGAGTCGATCGCTGAAGAATATGTATCATGGATATTGAGATAGGAGGAGCTGTCTGGGGGGTGGGGAGGAGTGTGGATGCGCAAGATGGCGGAGGAGAGAAGGTTACGCGTTCACGTGAGTCAAGCGCCAAGATCAAGACTGCCGATTTCCCGACATCACATGGGCGAAGCGCGCAGCCAAAGCCACACAACGCTGAGCGCTATGAACAGATTTGTATAGGTGTGTGAGCAGCGCCTATGCAACAAAGGGGCCGAATTCTCAGTTGAAGAGCATCGCGCCGACTGCGTGTACTGGATTTACTAAGTAGAGCAATGCCATTGTAGGCGCAGGCGTGGCTAGGGCCTCCCGGCTTGCGTCACTCCTCTCGCACCCGTCGTTCCGGATGGGAGACGCCAAGCCGCGTGGACCCCCAATCGTCGTCATCGCCCTCTCGCACTGGCAGATACCAGACAACAGACAGCAGACAGGAGGCAAGGCAGGCTGCCCGGGAGCAGCAAGCCCGGCTACTCCCTGCTTGGCATATCAACGCCCTCCCCCAGACTGACCAGACGCGAAAAGACGAAACAGAGTCGGGCTGGAACCCGTCTCCACCCTCTCTTTCCTCCCGTCACCCGCTGCCGTTGTCCGCTCTGCCTTTTTTCCCATCGTTTGGATCGAGCGCGTATTGTTGATCGACTCAGCCTGCGGCCCCCATTTCTTTTTTTGCGCTCTGTCCGTCATCAATATTGTCTTACCATACGCCATTTGCGTTGTTGCTTGCCAGTCGCTCTTTACTCCTCTCCACATACACCCACAATGATACCCCGGACTGCCCTATCGGCGCTTCTCTACGCAAGCACCGCCTTTGCTGTTTGCACCAAGCTCGAAGACTGTCCCCAGTTTGAGTCTCTCAAGACGGACGAATGCCAGACCTTCCACCACTTCCTCGCACGCGGCTCTACCTCTCCTTACCCGGGCCACGTCATCGAGACTGTCGGCAAGGTCTGCAATGCCCTCAACACCAAGGAGAACCCAAAGGCCTGCGGCTATGAGGATGTGCAGTACTGGGCCATGAACGGTGGAGAGAAGTGGTGCATATCATCGCACGAGGGTGCTATGAACGGCGCCGAGCAGATGAGAAACTACACCCAGAGGTGTCCAGACAGTCACCTGATTGTCATGGGTTTTAGTCAGGGGGGTAGTGTCATGCTCGATGTCCTCGGTGGCGGTGGCGGTCCTCTCTGGGGGTGCGAACAAAAGTCGAATCCGAACATGAACATCACCAGTCCTCCAGGCTCAAAGAGTGTGTATCACCCGCATGATCTGCTTCTGCTTCATATGCTAACTCCTTTCTAGTCGCAGCTGCGCTCGTCTTTGGCCCCACAAGGCGCTCCGCGAACCAGTCTTACACCCATGGCGGCGGCCAAATCTCAGATGGCGGTGCTCCTCGAACAGCGGAACAGCTTGCAGGCCTCGAGCCCTATGCCGATGCCGGTATCCTTCGCGAATACTGCCAACCAGGCGACCCCATCTGCGCCCCTCATACGGATAACAAGGACATGTCCAAGCACCTGAACTATTTCGAACGCTACAGTGACGAGGCAGCCGAATGGGTCATTGATCTTGCTAGGAAGGCTGAATCTGGCGACAGGACATCGGATGCGAAGAGCATGCTGCACCAGACCATTTCGCATCCTATTGCGAACGTCTTCATCGTAATCTTCGTGCTGTTCCTCGTATAGTAAGTCAATCTCTCACTCCATCACAATCATACCATAGATGCGCAATAGACATTTGGGGCCATTGAAGACTTGATTTTTTTTGCCAATACATGCATGAATACTCATACCGCACAGTTTTGCCGTCAGGAAATTCGCTGTCTGGAAGACGACTCGCTCTCCTATATATTCACGTGTCAACACTACCGAATCTGTCTAAGCAAATACGAGCCGCATACCCAAGTCTTTGCAACAAGCATTATGCATACTTGGCAATTTAGATGGTGGCGCCCTGCACAGCCCGCCTTACCGGGATAACTGGGCGAAGCGCCAGCTACACCATGGATCAAGGAAAAAAAATAGATTCACAGCAAGGTAATCCGAAAAAAGAAGGGAAGAATAATCAAGAGAGAAATTTGGGGGTACATGCAAATGCTTCATATTTTGTTGTAATTTGCCCAGCGCCTAGATACCCTTCACTGTAGCATACTGTATTTTCGATAGCATACTCTATTACTAGCCGACTGGTTTCGGCGAACCAAGATATTGAACTTTTTTCATGAGGTTCTTTTCTATCAGTTTGGAGCAATATGTGGGAACATGCATTGCAATATCTATCAGATGTTGGGCTCCGTATCTCGAGTCCACTTCGCATTATGACTTGATTTGGCGATAGCGCCTTGGCATAGATACTTGCTACTCATACGCTCTACATACCATGTGCTGATAGGCCAATATGATGTGATTGTGCCCGTGTACTTCTTTGCTTCTTATTGCATGGTATCGAGATGATCATGCAAAGAGCAAGGATAGGAAAGGAAAGCAGAGGATGAGAGGGCATGGGTACATGAATAAGGCGGAAAGTTTATCATGACTTGGCTGTAGTACGCCCAGGTATCTGGTATCACGTCTGTCGTGCTACACAATCTATTTTTCACTCCATATCGCTTTACTCCGCGTTCTGCTATGGTTCAATCACCCGCTGCTTGTTACACTGATCCATCCAAGAAAAAGCCCGTCGTGAGGAAAAGCGAGATTCTGGAGGCGGTTCTTGAAAGGTTGTCCGTAAGTTTGTTCAGAGTAACGAAGAACTGGGGTACTGAGAAGATCAGCTCATGCACGCAACAGGCCTCGAATGTTTATTTCGAGTTGGGGTGTGGAAACGGTAGATAGGGGTTGGCTGGAAATCTGCAGGTATACGAGTGAACCGTACAACTGACATGAACTGGTCGCAGGTCGCGAAACTAACAGTGCTGAAGCGAGGTTTGCCACCCGCTAACAGAAGCTTACAGTTCCCTTAGTTATCGCCGCTTATCACTCATCGCCAATATGCTCTGGATCTAAAGAGACCCGTGGTTTCAACAGCCATGATACTAGTCGTAGTAGTAGGGGGTTAAATACTAACATCGGGATTTCCCACGTGCTGACCATGGGGAAAACCACTATCATCCACTAGGCTTGTATGAAGACTACGATCATCGTGTTCAATTTACAAATCGCCGGATCTAAACGGCGTCAACACGAGATGCAAAAGCACAAGACACAGATTGGGAGTGCATGCATGGGTATCAACCTCGAGAATGACGTAAATTGGGGTCCAACATGTCAGTAAAGGCACAGTCGATTGCCTGAAGTGTACACGCAATCTCTGTATACGAGTCATACTAAGTGAATAGGCATGGTTCGGTACTAGCAGAGAGGGGAAAGGCTTTGCGTTCACGATCTATCGACAACTTTATGCATAGTTTGCAAAGAGTCGCGCGGAGAAGGAGTCGGTCGGAAATTTCTTTAGTCCGCATGCATGCACCCTGGGAGGGCGCTAGCTGAATGCTCCGCTCGCTGCTAGTAAGCCCAATGGCGCTGGAATGGACTCATGGAGGCCCTTCTCCTGAGCAGCACCTTGCAGTAACTGTGTATAGAAGATATGCTATTGTATGTCCTCTTGCCTCAGTGCATATGGGTTTGAAGAATGCAACACAAGTGATACCAGGTCTTCGTGCACGCAAAGTGTCACGTCACATGTCGATAAGATAAAGCATCACGGGTGGAGATGATATGGTTGATCAGGGGTAAAGCACGGACGCTGCCCAAGTCACCCTTGCATAATAGCATGCACATCTACAACTTCATTTGCCCATTCCGTTTCATAAACAATTCAAATGGCTTAGTCCTTTATCCTCTAGGTGCAAGAGGCGTGCACATAATAGCTAGCAAGGGCCCCGGATTCCATAGCCGCGGTTTTTCTAGCTTTCACTCAAGTCGCCCGCCCACCTCCTACTATTCAATCATCCCTACGCTTCCACGCGTCGGAGGGAGAGCAGTCATGGCCTTTGTCGCTGCCTTGTCCGATTTCTTTAGTTGCGGTAGGACGAGAAAGGCGCGCGAGCCTCCATTGGATCCCAACGACACAACCTCCGAACCTGTCACCAATGAAACTGATACACCTACACTTGCGCTCCCACCCATTGACGAAAAAGCAACTTTGGATGTCGATGTCCGCGAACCAGCCGACAAAGGAGGAGATGCTGGTCGCATTCCCAGCACCCAACAGCCAGATGTTCGACCAACGTCTACCAGCCGGCACCATGATTCGGCAGAAGATAAAATGGACATGTTCGTAGTACAAGAGAAGGCCAAACCGAGCGCTGGATGGGTTGTTGAACAACGAGTCCTCGTCACCGCCATGCCCTCTGCTGTTACGGAAGAAGCAGAGAAGACTGCGTCCGTGCCTGAACCGGAGTTCGAGGCCGCTACCATCACCCCACCTGTTCGCTGTGCGACTCCTGAACAAGAGCCTTGGAACTCTACACCAGTTGCTCGCTCAGCAACACCTGAGCTTGCGCCTGAACCTGTCCCTGAGCCAGTGGTCTCCATCGTGACCCCCACCGTCCGACCAGTAACACCTGAGCCGGAACCCGCGGACATTGTGTCCGTCCGTAGTGCGACGCCCGAGATTGAGGCCATCGTTCCCCAACCCGCCATTCCTGAACCGGAGGAAATCTCGCTTTCGGCATCTGAGGAACTGGTGCCATCTATCCCGGAACCCGAAATTGTGGTCCGGCAACTCCCGGCCGCTAGCAAGAGGACTACACCCGTGACCTTCCTCAACATGCCTCCTGGTACGTTCGTCTCTTAATTATGTCATGGGAAAAACGCTAACAGTACGCAGAGGTACGAAACAAAATCTACGAGCAGATGAACGAGGATGGTCCTATCAGAATGTGCCGCTCTGACGATCCTGCCTTGGTGCTTCGTGATGGTGAATCTGCGTGTGCGCAGCGCCGTCAATTCTACAACCTTACTCAAGTGTGCCGGGACATCCGCAACGAATTCTTGCCTGTCTACGCGCGCAAGACCGAGTACATCATCGACCTGTGGGGCCAGAGGACCAACCTTTCCAAGGTAGAGGCCCTCAAAGCCAAGGTTTCCATGGATATCGATGCTGCCTGCTTCGACATGGAGCCCATTGACCTCCTCCCACTTCTCCGATGCCTTGTCCGCGCTGGCCGAACCGACTGCCGCTTCACCTCGACCGAGGGCGTTGTATTCAGGAGCATTTCAGAAATCGTCGACGAGCTGAACAAGCTCCTCCCTGCCACCGACGGCAGCAGCAAGAACTGGCTCGAGGCTATCAATGGACCCATGAAGAGGATCGACCTCCACCTCTTCCCCCACGACGACATCCGACAGTACTACCGATTCCGCGGTGCCGAGCCCCTCGTGCGCGTAGTATACCCATCCGCCAAGAGCGAGGAATGGATGAAGCGGGCCTCCAAGTCGCAAGAGTACGAGGCCTACCTGAGGAAAACCGGTCTCGACAAGTTTGAGATGCACGTCGTTATTGGCCATGCCTCTCGACGAACCACCAACGAGGGCCGTCTGCCTCTTGACTGGCGCATGAGCTACCAGCTCCGTCAATCCATGGACCGCGCTCCCCGCCTGTCCATGGAGATTGCAGCAGCCCGCATGTCGATTGACCGATCGCCTCGCCGGTAAATATATTTTTGATGAAAACTTTAGCGTAAGGGCATGTTGATACTTGATTTCTTTCTGGCGTTTTTCTTCTTCATGATTAAGATTTGATGTATGAGTTCAGACGACTACGGTCGCCTAACAGGATACGAGGGAGGTTCCGGTGCGCACACATACCCCAATTTTTAGCTTGTAATGTTTTTCCATTAGGGAAGAAGAAGGGAGGAAACGTTGTGATTTGCGCAAGTGGTGCATAAGGAACTTTTCCATGAGCTGATGGCTTTTGTTGGAAGCTGCTACAGGACCATGTCCTGTTCGCATCTCCATCCCCTTTTAATGTTAATTTCTTTTTAACGCCCTAAAGACATATCTTTTGCATCCGTTCTTTGTGAATCTTTCCCTTGGCTTTGTGGCTTGAAGCGCACGGATGAACAGGCGCATATACCTGTAATGTGCTTTTAGCTCACTAACGGTGTGTTTTAGGAAGCTACTAACATGTGAAGTTGGAATTGAAGGGTAAAAATTCACTTCAATCCCAAAAGGGATCCCGGCAAAGGCAAATCTCCAGTTTCCCATCTCCACAACCCCCCAAGACTCGCAGCGGACAAGATCTACTCCGAAAGGGCCCCAAATCACACACACACACACACACACACCCCTCCCCCGCCCATGCAAAGCACGCCACGTGCACCTTGGCAAGGCATCATTTTCCCGCATTTTGCTTTTGCTTATCGGAAAACCAGCAATCAATCTAAATTATACCAGCCTCTATGTTCGAAAGCGGACTTGGTACCTGCCCGTTTCGTCCTTCTGGTCCGGAGTCTCCATTCCATTCGCGCCTAGTAACCTGTCGCTTGCACACGGCACCTGACGAGTCGCCTGGCACTACTTTACAACATGCACATAGTACAGGAATGTTTAAAATCCCTTGGAAATAAGTGCCCTGGGGTAAATTCTTGCTTCTTGGCTGCGCGTCGAAACAGTGACATGTGGGACCCCACCAATCACAGCGCTTTGTGATGGGCCTCGTCAGACGGTGGTGTTAACCTTGTTATGGCATTTCTTCCGCCATGCCCCATGGCGAGTTTTGACATGTGGGGTTTTTTTGTGCAGAGAACATCCATGTATAGGGCTACATACTATGTATGTACCCAAAGTCCTCCAATCTTTTCGGGCCTTGTTATGAGACTTGGCAGGGCTAAAGAATGGTGCGGGTAATGAGTGCCTCGTTGTGGATATAGTATGGGAAAGAGGGTACAAAAGTGTCGTCTTGTCCGTGAAAGGTAGCCATGTGCCGCTCGCTCGACTCTTCTTTCTAGGGCTACCGGATTGGCAATTTGTTTGCCTAACTATCCCTTTGGCCTTGCTATTCGCTCTCTCTCTGTTGGCTGCAGCCCAATCGAGATGCGTTGTCTCGCCGCCCTCACGACGCTGCTTCTTGCCCCGACTGCTGTCTTTGCAGCTTGGGGCTACACGGATGATGGGAAGAACTATGTCATTGACACCAACGCTAATCTGGTGGTCAAAGTCAGCAAATCCAACGCCGACTTGACTTCGATCAAGTACCGCGGCATCGAGTACAATGGTCAGAATGGAAAGAACTCGCATGTCGAGTCTGGGCTTGCACCCGGCACTGTTACTATCAAGCAGTACACTTCTCCAGCCAACATCATCAAAGTCACCATGAAAGTTGGAACTCTTATCCATACGCTCGTCTTCCGCTATGGCAACCCGAACGTGTATATTTTCATGAACAAGAGGGACACGAGCATCACCGTGTCACGTTATATCGTCCGCATCCCTGCAAATATCTTCAAGAACAATGTCAACGAAGATACTGACTGGGTTCCCAACGGTGCACCGGCTATCGAGTCTGGCGATATCAACGGCGTCAATGGTCAGACATGGTCGAAGCATTACTCTGGAAAGAAATATGGTCGCACGATGGACTACGACTATGTCGGCTACACCAACAATAACGTCGGCATGTACTTGATTCGCTCGAACCACGAGAAAGCGTCCGGAGGTCCTTTCTTCAGAAGTCTGATACGTCGCGGCGGTGATGGCGGACCAGATCTCTACGACATTTATCAGTACAACATGGGTTAGTAGACTTTCACACTCCGTTTATCCAGACTCTGACTGATAGATCACAGGCCACACCGACCCCATGCGACTCGGTCTGCAAGGCCCTTCAGTACTCCACTTCACCGACAACGGCGCAGCACCCAACCACAACCTCTTTGCCCGTAACGCCAACTGGGACTGGTTCGACGCACTCGAAATCGAAGGCTGGGTTCCCGCCAGCCGCCGCGGAGCCGTAGCCGGCGTCGGTCTCGCCAACATGAAGAGCGGCTTCCAGTACGTCGTGGGCCTCAAAAATGACCAAGCCCAATACTGGACTATCGCCACCGGCGCCTGGCGCATCGGAAACGCCCTGCCTGGCACTTACACTCTGACTGTCTACAAAGGCGTAAGTAGCATCCCCAAATCACCCCTTCCAAAAACCCCTTAACCAATATCTCGCACAGGAACTCGAAGTCCACACCAGCACCATCACCATCGCCGCCGGCTCCACCGCAACCCGCAACACAATCACCCTTGTCGACCCCAACGACACCCCCGCCATCTGGCGCATCGGCGACTGGGACGGCACTCCCCGCGGCCTCCTCAACTTCCAAGACACCCCCATGAAACCAACCTACATGCACCCGTCCGACTCGCGCCTCGCAAACTGGAAAGTTGGAAATTTCATCATCGGGACGACCCCAATTTCCGGATTCCCGGCATATATCTGGAAAGATGTCAACAATGACTACCTCGTGTATTTCCGTCTTACCGACGCACAGCTCGCCCGGCCTGCGAAGATCAGGATCGGAGTGACGCAAGGACAGGCGGGGGGACGCCCGACTGTTGCGGTGAATGCGTGGGTTGCCAAGCTACCGGCTGACAAAGGGCAAGGGGATACGAGGAGTTTGACGGTGGGGACTTATAGAGGAAATAACTACGTGTATGAGTTTGAGGTTCCGGCTAGTGCGTGGGTGGCGAGTGCGAGGGAGTATCAGATTCTCAAGATTACGGTGATTTCGGGCAAGACGGCGGCGGGGTATTTGAGTCCGGCGGTGAGCTTTGATGCTATTGATTTGATTGGGTTATAAAGGAGGGGGGGGAAGGGGTGTGGAGTGTTAGATTTCGCCTGTATATATAGTTTGGGGTGTTTGTGCAGTGGTGTGTACATACAGTTTATGTAGTTACGTGTAGAAGACATGGATGTTCATATGAGATTCTACCAACTTTTTTTTCGATCCATGTACCAATCAGACTAACATCTAATGTTCGAAGCTATCTACCTAGTTAAAAAAACGAAAGCCATGAACGAAACAAAAGCTCAAGACTAACTGAGAAAGCGCACGTGGGAACACGAACAGTATGAAACTCTAAATTTCTGTAAAAAGAAACCGCTAAACTACATCATGCTATTCTCATGTGATAAAATACTATCAAACTATCCCAACGCCCGTGTCGTCATTCTTTTCGCCTCAAAACACCATTGACCCGCTTCCAATGCAAGCTCATGCAATTTTCACACTCATATCCTCTGTATCTCCTGTGACCAGCCCTGCACCGTCTGTCCCTCAGGAAACATACTATGAACGACCTTACCAGTCTTCGTATCGTAATGCGCGCCTGGGGATAGTTGCATGGACGTGACCCTGGGACTTGGACCAGCATTGCCATTCTGTCTCAAATCCAAGAACTGTCCACCTCCTTCATTCATTTCTGGGCGTTGAGGCTGAGAATTTGACCTCATGCGGAGATTCGATTGGTCGTAGGGATTGGGCATACGAGTGTCGGGCTGGAAGGTTGCTGCACGTTGTGGATCGGAAGAAGGGGGGTACCATTGGCTTCTTCCTGTTGTTGTGTCGACGTAATACCATCGCTGGCTGTGCGAATCATAGTTTTGAATCCAACCGGCTGGCAACATGGATCCGGGAGGTGGGTGATGTCGGTCATGGGTAGGAGCCGGGCTTCCGGGGTATCCTCCTTGCGATGACATACACCCGTGCTGTCGTGATTGGCTCATCTGATGATATCCATTTGCGCGAGGCGGTGATCTGTTCCCGCGCTTCTGTTGCTCGAACTTTTGAATTTGTTTCGTGATGTAGTCGTCTGCGCGTTGAAGGTAGGCGTCGAATGCCATTTTAGCGCAAGATCTCGGTGCTAACTCGATATGAGACCTGATTGCTTGATCGGTATATTAAAAAAAAAGGCGCTGGACCCAAAGTAGTAATCTTTGTTCGAGAGAGACGCTTCACAGCCACATCTCGGTGGGAAGCCTACCGCCATATATAATAGCTCCCGACCCTTTCCCCACGGCATGCGTCAGCCACTCTTGAGCCACATGGAACCAACAGCACTAAACACTTCACAAAGCTTGACTGGCCGCGCCATCAGTTTGCAGTAATTTTGCAGGCGGCGCCACATTTTTCCCTGGATTAGTTTGGCTGGGATGGCGCATGCAAATGTCCGATTGGTGCAGGGGGGGGCCGTACGGAAGAAACGGGATTGTGGCTCTTGTCATGTGGCTTCAAGGCCCATTAGCTTGCCGATTTCCGTGGCGTATGCGAGCAAGCGCGGTGACCACTACTAGTGTTGTTACAGACCGTTGCATGAACAACTGGTTTGAGTGAATAATCCATGTGCATACTTTGCTGTTGAATTCAAAAAAAAGTCGTAGTCAAGTCTTTATCGGTGTCTTGTCGGCGTTCCTTTGATCATCCCGCCTCGGTGTCTCTTTATGAATCCCTGACAGAATAAATATAGCCCAATGATAACGGAAGAAGAACGAGAAGAAAATATCACGCACATGACACCCAGGCCGAAGGAATCCTGTACCCCCTCCTGAGCCGCATTTGTCGGTCAGCGACACGCAAACAGCTCTCTTCTTCATGTCTGTCATTAGCTGCCGGAGCACTATTTTGTGAGGTTAGGTTTCGAGACAGGGAACACAAGTACAGAGAAGCACAAGCTGAGAAAGCTTATCGGCAAACTCGATTTGGGCGATTGTTCAATGCCATCGTTACTTGATATGTGTTCGACCATACTGTCTGTCGCAAAGGTAGCGCTAAGCCGGGTCCCAGGTTATTCTCTAGCGGTGTAATCGTATTCGATGGACGGTGCTGATGACGGCAGTATTAAGTACCCCAGGCACTGATGTAGTCTTTTGTAAAGTTTGAAGGAAGACGACTGAATGTTCTAGCCTGTAACTGCACAGGAAAACTTTTTTTGACGCGTTCATTTTTGAACGGTGTGACTGGCGTTATCATTTCGCTTCACTCCCTTAAACTGTCGATCAAGATGTAGCCGCACCTTCGTCAGCCGACTCATTGCTTTTGTCCATTCGTATTCCGGACCGTTGCTGCCGTAGGTCGGCTCCCACATTCGACATGATCTGCTGTTTGTTAAGTAGCGGAACCAATGAAGACACTCTAATCCTCAACCAAGAGAAAGGCAGGGCTCCTCAGCGCGAAATCGTATCCTTCTTGCAGTCATGACGTCGAGGGCACTTGCATAAGCGGTAACTATGTCAGCGAGTTTGGGTAGCCAACCACTCTCCGACAATGTCCGCTCGTCACGCTCTCTGCCTTGTATGTTTGCGCCTACAGGGAACGAGCGGAAGCCAGTCTCAAATCGTCAGCCTTCGTAAGCTTGAAGAAACTTCGACTTCATTCGCGTTATCGTTGCCAGCCTCACAAGTCCATTGGGTCACGGATATGACATCAACGTCACGTGAATTCGTGGATGTAGTTGGGTCAAACATAAGATGATGTTGTAGGGCCTCCCAAGCCCAGCCAAAGCTACTTTTGATCCGATAGAAAAAGAACGACCACTCGCATAGGCGTATCACACAAATCACTTTGATACCTTTATGAAGTCGCGTCGGAGCCACTTTGGCGCACCCCGTCTAACAAAGATCATGTCGTTTTCCGTGTCGAGTCCCAATGCACTGAACCACTCGTGCGCTTCTTCTGGTACATGCGGAAGCCTGGTAACGGATATCGCACACTTTTTGATCCAAGGAGTTGGGCACTTAGGATCCAGGACCAGGCGCATTCCGAACACACTCGGTTCTTTTAACTCGACACTCTTGAACTCGTTGTTGACTGCGGCTCTCCATTCTGGTTCATAGCCAAGGAACAATTCGTTGAAAATGGCGCCACCTTTGCCGTTGAATTCAAAGTCTATGCCAGGCGTATTGAAGAGCCTGGCCAAAAGAGGCCGGATTTCGATTGGTGTGTCATATTTGCCACGCCGCTCTACGTCGGTGCGAATCGTAAGCCAAGCGACAATGTTTCCGCGGTCAATGACATTTGATCCAGAAGTTGGGTAGATGACATCGAGGTATTCCTGCGCATCACGCATGTGTACTGAAATGGCGCGATCCTTCAGGTACAATGGGCGAAACTCCTTCCGCGTTTGGCGAGAAACCTGCGTCAAGCTATAGTAACCACGCGCTGCCCAGAAAGCATCAGTTGTCGTTGTTGTGTTGCGTCGGCTCACTTCCTTTTCGATGAGACGGTCCTTGTCATATGCGCAAATTGCATATATTCTGTCGCGCACCTCTACGCGCCTGTAAGCTGAGAACGCATCATGCCGAGGTTGTTTGCTGTACCTAGCGGAAGGTCGGAAAAGCCCGCAAACCTCTTGTAGTTAATGGTAGAAGGGTTGGAGGACATAGTGACACTCATTTTGTTGAAACTGTCACCTTTTGCGATGCGCAAAGATTCTCTTGGGGTTTGCGAAGATTGAGAAGTGATGCGGAAAGGGAGGCATATTGAGGAAGGTGAACAGTGGACAATCCTCTCCCTAACCTGATTAGGCAGGAGGCAATCGGGCGCCGTAAGAAAGATACGTAATTTTGTTGCCTCCTGAATTACCAATAATAGTCTCCTAAATTGTGTCCGGACGAAAATAACCTGTTTATTTAGTAGTCAGGAATTGCATCTGTCGTGCGTTGTTCGCCATCATTTTTCGGACGCCTACCAGGAAGTCATTGTGTTGGTGGCATAACACACCGTCAATCATAGGCCACCCACCTCGTAGCCCATAGATTGATGATTCATGCCCCTTGACGGTTGGATAGCTTCTGAATCAATACAGCCACAGAATCCTGCAAATAAGTGAAATATACTTACAACGCATTTGGCCAAAAGATGGCGATGCCGCTAGTACCTGACATCTGGTTCAGAAATGTCACTTGTCCAATCGACACCTGGGTTTTGTTCCATTCTCACTATTCAGCATTTTTCTTTTTTGATTTTCTATTGCTTGCCGTTTCCTCGTACTAGTCCATAAGCGCAACTCGGTGATCTGACACAATAGCGGCTCTTCATGGAAAGTTCGATTCAAAGCCCACTGCTTCCACAATGCCGACATATTTAATATCAATTGGTTCATGACCGATGATGGGGAATATGCTCAAGCTATTCGAAGAAGACTGCACTACGAGAATCTGAACCGCGATCCTGTCATGCGGAAAGTCGCTTGAGCTTGGGAAGGTGCTTAGGCCCAGCTCTATGATTAAAAGTGAGAGGGAGCTCCTACCTAATTTGACATGTATTTTCGTAATCAGCAGCGTCTCCAGAATCAAGGGAATGTTCATACTGTGCTGCTTTTTACATCTGGCTGTTACCACTAACCAATCCGCAACTACCATACGCAAGAGCTGGGGACACAATGTCCCCCTTGATCGCGAAGTTAACTCCTCAGGCCCATCATGTTTGTTCAATCACTCAATATTCTCTCAGTAACACCATAGGCACAGAATCGTTACCCTGATATTCGTACCATAGACTCTATCAGTCTCACTCAAACGACAATCGACATGGAAGGAACCCCTGCCAGGTCTTCGAATCCACCAGCCCGTGGGGATTCAAAGAGTCCAACAAGAAAATTGGTACCAGAGGAAGATGAAGCACAGTGTGCACCACCAGAGCAGTCTCCATTCGCAGAGCAACCCCTGGTACCAGAAGAGTCTCTGTCACCAGAGCAATATACACCACCAGAACAGTCTCCGTTACCAGAGGTCTCACCATCACCAAATCTTTCTCCGCTACCAAAGCAGCTTGAATCGCAAGAGCAGACTTCATTACTAGATGAGCCTCCATTGCCGGAATACTTTTCATCGCCAGAACGATATCTAATTTCAGAGCATATTTCATCGCCGAAACAGGTTTCATCGCCTGAACAATGTGCACCGTTAGAGCCGCCTCCACCAGCAGAGCAAACTTCCTCGCCAGAGCAGACTTCGTCGCTGCCAGAACAATCCATATTACTAGAGCAACCTCTACCGTCATTTCAGTCTCCATCGATAAATCCGTTTCGTTCACCTGAACAACCTTCGTCCGTAGAGACGTCTCCATCGATCAAGATTTCAGAACCCTCTAACCGGCCGTGGCCATCCGAGCTACGTTCTTCAGCAGGCCTATCTCCTTTACGAGAAGACCGCTCTTCTTCACTAGGCTTCTCCCTATCGCCCGAAGAATATAACTCGCGAGGCCAGCCACTCCCCTCGCGACCTTCACCCTGTCTCCTCCCCTCTCCCGCCATTCCATCCTCCGAACCTCTCATCCCAGAGCGCTGCTCCTCCCCAGCCCCCAAAACCACTCTCGAAAAGCTCCTCGAATGGCCCATCCCCGCCACCATACTCTCAATGCTGAGCATAGACAACGAAACCGGAGAATTCTATCTCACCCACACCGACCTCCTCTCCTACTTCCACAACCACCGCGAGGAAACAAACGTCCCCACCACACCTTTCCTCAACGGCCCTGAAAACATCCCTACCATAATAATGGACCTCTCGGACCTTCCCTCAATCTCCTACCCCTTGCCCTCCATCGACCTCCTCCCTTACCTCCTCATCTACACACGCTGCCCAGACGTTACCTTCCGCACGCGCGGCCCACCCATCGTGCACGACCGCATCTACAAGTTCTTCATCGAACTCGTGATTCCGCGGCGCGCCTTCTGGACACGATGTATCGCGGATAACCTTGGGATAAGGGAGGTGAGGATTTTTTGTGAGTGGGAGCGTACGGTGGATATTGTGCTAGACCCCGGGAGTAGGTGGGCGAGGGATTGGAATTGTGTGCCGTGGATTGAGTGGGGTAAGGTTAGTAAGGTGAGGGTTTTTACGCTTTGTCTGGGGTTGAATGTTAATAGGGCGTTTGGATGGGAGGGGCATGTTGTTGTTGGGAGTGTGGAGGGGTAGGGGGTGTAGATTCTGGGTGAGCGGGTGGTAGCAGGTGGGTTGGGTGAGACTGGGTACGCAGAGTTTGGTAGTCTGGCAATCGCGTTTTAGCCAGGCTCTAGAGCTGACTCGTTGAGTTCGAGATTTGGTTGCTGTCCATGGGCTATGGTGGCGTGGCGAGTGGTCAATGTGAACGATGACAGTCGATAACTACTAGGATCTTCTTATTCATCAGCTTGACAGGCCTCTAGACTCGCAATTACCTGGCTCTTAGAGGTTGTATATCACAAGAGCTTTCCAACATGACGACATTATCAAATTAAAGCTAAGCTTCTTTTCTTTTAGGGAATCCTGCTTGACGCCATCTTGTTTGTCAAACCTGCGATGGTATTTTGTAAAGTCATTTCTTTAACACAGTACAGAATATTGTTACATAAATTGGCTAATCGAGCTGCTCAGCATCATCTGAATACCTCTGCATGCGTCCCTAGATTCCCACACCATAAATAGGATGTCTGGTAACCCACATATCCACTGTCAAACCCCACGTGCTCTGAGACCTGTGCTTGACCCAGTTGGCGCTGTTCACACCAGGCAACCTATTTTCGTAAACTTTTGACCTTAGTACCGTCAATGGAACCTGTCCAGTTCGCATGTCCCATGTTTACACCTGAACCAATGCTAGGTCTGGTACCCAATAGATACCAACGGATCTCTTCCGGCAGCCTGTTCACTGTACATCCACCTGAGAACCCCTGAAATGTAGGTGCGACCCTCAACAGGCAGAGTCATCTTAAACGACGTGAGCCATTGTTGCGCACGATTCCTTCTATGTAGATCATCGGCGGATATAGGCTCGAATTTATTTCCAGTGATTCGAAGACAGTACCAGACCTGAGGGACGTAACGATTGATGCTCACACGCAGCTGAGCGGAAGCCTGAGGGGCGACGATCTCGGTGTGCGGCAAAGCTGGAGGCTGCCATGCCAATTGAGGTTCCAATTGCGAGGGATGATTATCTTCAACTACTTGTGCTTGGGATTGTACTGATTGCTGGTGCAAGAGCTGTGTGCTCGTAGGGCGCAATCGTTGGTCATTTTGTTCAGGTTTGTTGCGGGCGGGTGTATGAGGAGGCGAATGTTGGCCTTTATTTGCCTTTGTGCTTTTGACTCGTTCAAGAACTCTTGTGCTGAAGTTGTGGATATCCGCAAGCGCCTTGGCCTTTTTTCCCGTATCGGTAGAATTTTTCGCAATATGCCAGAGCCCAGAGAGGTAACGTCTGATCTGGTTGCGCGTCTCGGGCTGAATGCACTGATATCGCGGGTCATGGACTATGTCATTGGGCTGAAGCATATCCACTCGCGATGCTTGTTCTGAAGAAAAGGGAATACAGGATTGCTCCAAGACAGCGGCAGAGTGCTAAGTGAATTTGTTAATTTCTGGACGAATAGAAAATGATAGCAAAGGCAAACTTACTGACTGCGTCTGTATCAGTGTATGGAGCTGCTGTCGGCTTTGTTCATGTATTTCTGAAAGAGTACGAGGATGCCGCAGAAAACTTGGCTGATCGATTAGTGCCCTCGTCTGATTGCTGCTGTCGTTTCCGAGGCAGTCATCGAATGCTCCCCTATGTAATGCAGATTGACGCCTAGTAAGAGTATCTGTTGCTAGGCCCGATCTAGTCATCGGTCGGCATATCTGAGATCGCGACCGTACGTTGCGAGTGTCCTGGATCGGTTGCAGTATTGGCGTTGGATAGATCAAAGGATGCAGACCAGGCTCTTGAGCGACCACGAGGCGTAGATCTGGGCCGAGTAGATAATCACTATAGGCTGGAAATATGTCACAGTCGCGCTGCCACTCTTCCCAGTCCTCATCACGGAAAGGCATTGCTGCTGTAAGTGGGCCTCGCTCCTAGCAGATGGCGTAGGTGTGGTGGCAACAGAAAGAGTTGGTACGCATGATGAGAGAGCCCTTGGAGGGAGGGCCTTATAAGGTCGATGGAAGAGCCGAGTGCAAGTGAAAGAGAATAGAGGAGTGACAGTGAGAAGTAGAGCAGACGTGCGCAACGCACCTTCCTCAGCCGGGGGACCAAAGCCGTTTGAGGTGTGAATGCATACGAATGAAAGCACCATCAATCTTCCAGCTGTTTAGCATGAGGGCAACAACCATGACACCTTGCATATGAGCAGCTGAGCAGCTGAGCGTGCCATAGCGCGCAGATGATTTTGTTAGGAACCGGCAGCCGTCCACTACGCATTCAAGATACACTAGGAAGCAAACATGCCCTTCAAAAAGACTGACATGTCGGTCTTGGCGATTTCGCATCCACGGAATCCGATACATAATGGTGAAGTTAATTCACTGGCACAATGCCGGCACGATCTTTAACACAGCGATAGCCAATTCCTAGTCTAATTAACTTGATTGATGGTACTCACCTATACATAAGTGGAATGCCATGGATAGATCCTGGGCGTGTGGGTTGAACGATATATCCTAAGCGGGAAAACAATGGGCACAAAGACAACGAGGACAAGAGCAAAAGTTGTGGTGAAGCCATATGCATCTAACCGTGGGGTTTACTGTACTTACCCTTCCGTGCAAGCATGTGACAGCATGACGAGGGAACAGAGCAGTGTTGCTCTCAATAAGGGATCAACGAAGTTGCAATCGACCCGTCCTCCAACTGAGCCTCAGCTGTCTCCCAGGATAGTCTTGGTATAGAGTTGGGGAACTTCGGAAGATTGCCGAATGTAAACCGAAAGACAGCCGAGCAGTCATCCAGCATCCTACCCAGGCAACTTCGGCGAAACCAAGATCCGATGCCCCAAGAAATGACGCCGGATCTCCCATGACCCCACCATTCTCGAGTAGATCTTGAGCATTGTGCCACAGTCATTACTGCTATCGCGACTTCCCCTCATTCGCGCAACCTTCAAAATCAGAGTACAAATTTCATCCTGCAATGGCGGACCCATTGCCAGCACTCGAACCCGAAACCCTCGAAGCGCTTCAGTCCCGACACCGCAAAGAACAACGCGATCTTGTCTCACGTACAACACAAAAGAAAAAACAAGCCAGTAAAAAAACGCGAAAGGGGGTCAACGAAGAATGCGAACGATTAGAGAGGGAGTTAAAAGAGCGACATGAGTATGAGCTTGCCATTCTGAATGGAGATGCTGTACAAGAGGAAAATAACGACAACGAACCACCTTCAGAAGATGAGACACAGGACGTTCAGGAGGATATAGAAAAACTTACAATTAATGGAAAGAGTGCTGAGAGCAAGGAAAACGGTACCACGGAAAACACTGCTGGGCCTAAAGCAAAGAAGCCCAATCGCGCCAAAGCCCGCCTTGCTCGTCGGGCCGCTGAACAAGCTTCCATGATTGCCGATGCCGAGCGCGAAGCTGCGAATGCACCAAACCCACGGGAACTCGAGAGAGAACGCATGGCGACGCAACTGGACAAACACAGCCTTGCGCTTCATGAGATACGGGCGGATGGACATTGCTTATATGCTGCTGTGGCAGACCAGTTGCAGACAAGAGAGCTGGGATTGCAGCCGAGAATAGCTATCACAACGATTGGAAAAGATGAAAAGGGTGAAATCGACAAAATAGAAAGTTACAAGGTCGTCCGACATGCAGCGGCAGACTGGATACAAGGTCACGCCGATGACTTCGCAGGGTTCATGGAAGATCCACTGCCTGAGCACGTTCGCAAGATTAGAGAAACTGGTGAATGGGGTGGCCACCTGGAGCTTCTTGCGTTGGCTAGGTCATATGGATTAAGGATTTGTGTGCTGCACAGCGATGGAAGAGTGGACAAGATCGAAGCTGACGACGATGTTACAGAAAAGAAGGAGATTTGGTTGGGTTACTATAAACACAGCCATGGATTGGGAGAACACTACAACTCACTGCGCGTGGCTGGTTGAACAACATCTAGCAGGACCAGTACATCAGCAGCATACCTGATGTGTTCAATGCCACCTTTGTTCCTCTGGACAATCTGCTTTATGCCGCCACATACTCACGCAGTCCCTTACAAGACCTTGAATGACGCCGATCTCGTGTGTCCGTCTGGGAGTAAAATGCGCAATTTTAACTAGCGCATTGTCTGCGTCTTCTCGGTCTGTCTTGGTCACCACGCCCTGATCATCATACGAAATATCCCGACCTGGCTGTCTGAGAAGCTCTGTATGTACAAGGGGTGGCAGCGACCATGGCGGTCCACCTGAATTTACAGGCTTATGGGTTGGGAACTCAAGACAAATTAGGACGCCCCCCGTGCCTGTGTTGTTTGAGGATGACTGGCGGAGAAGCTCAGTCATACGCGACGCCCACTTGGGACGGAGCGAGGGCGGGAGAGCACACAGGAACTGTGCATGGTGTCAGACCCATCGAAAACAGTTGCGGGGATGCTACAATTAGCACTCACAGTATTGTCATAGATAATATCGAAGCCCTCATCTCCATCCCATCCATCAACATCTTTGAGCCAACCATCGTCAAAGAAGTCACCACAGACAACCTTCATCGCTCCTCTTCCTATCTTTTCATCCTTGATCGCATATTCACCTTCCAGGGGTCCTTTTCCGGGATCTGCTAGATATTTCCGAGCAGCTTCAGCCGCGTGCGAGGATACCTCTAGTCCGTAAGCATCGTAACCGTATGCCGCAAACAAAGCCACGTCGTATCCTTTTCCGCACCCCGGCACTAACACCCTCCTCCTCTTCCCGTCATCCCTCAGTGGTCCGGGGAGAGATACATAACCTGCTGACTCGCTATTTGGTGGGGGTGCGCCTAATGATGGATTTGGGTCTGGAGACGAGATAGGACGGGATCGCTCGCTAAGGACGTCTATCAGTGCGGGATTGGCATGACCCCGGTCCCATGGCAGAAATGTAGCCTCTCGCCAGAGGTTGTCCCAGCGGTTGCTGTGATCCGAGTCGGGTGCAGAAGAGAAAAGTGTACGGAGACGATCCTGATTCTGGGTTGCCATTGTGGAAATCCCGCAAGACCGCGAAGATACCGAGTCTGAATGGCAGTGTTCGTATAACCAGGGAGGCTGAAAGCTTTTGACAGTTGGTTGTCCCGAATGAATTCAATGCGGGGTGTCTGCAGCTGGTCGGTAACACTTTCAGTGCGATATCAATGATTCGACGAGGTCTTTTTCCCGGCCCAATAGAAAGATGATAAAAATCACCACCAAGCCTGTCTCTCTGCTATTGAGCAATTGAGGTAATCGAAGAGCCAGTTGTAGATCTTTGGCACCTGTTACCTACTTTTGTGGCGCCGATACGACCCCGCTGAAAATGTTAAAGTGTGGAAACGGTGGCGCCAACCAATCTGGACCGCGGAGATGTTCTACTATCCTTGATTTGTTGGAGGGTCGCCGAGGCCAAATGGTCGAATCATCTTGATGCACGATCGCAATGCAACAGTGTACCACGGATAAAGATGCCTTGGGCGTTGACCTCGTACGAGATCGCTCGCCATGAGCAGGATACACGGATTGTCGCATGCATGCATCCTTCCAACCCAATAGAGCACGACGTTGGTCATCAGGTTCGAGTAATGGCCGCATGGTGCAAGCCGGCGTCCTCGGCATTCACACTGGCACTCGCAATGTGCAGTCGATAGGTACCCAAGAGTCAATTGCTCTAATATTGTCTCTAGCTAGAGAGCACTGAAATTTCTTTGCGTTCATTTCCGATCCACGCTCATCGCAGCACCGGAAGAGGCAACACATCCGCGTTAGTGAGGGAGATTGCTAGAGCCCAAGGCTGCGGCTGCAAGCAGCCGAGGCATTACGACACTGCCACTGACACGCCTGTCGGAGAAGCGATTGTGCATACGGGAACAATAGCGTGCTTATTGAAACCGACCATTCAACACTATACATCTTGGATAATATCTCAACTTCCCCCCCTTTCTTTTTCTTCTTGTTACATTTTTCATGTTTGCGACTAAATATGGTATCTGAGGCATCAAGATCGCCACCCAGGATATTAACCCCGGAGCCGACTTTCGACCGAAATGCCAACCATGAGATAGATGTGAACGCAAAAACACCGGAAAAATTAGAGAACAATGTTTTTGAAGAAAGAAAGGCAGTTGCGCAAGATAGCGCGACAGCAACTGCGTCCTCAAGCTCTTCGACTACGTCACATCACTCCACGATCACGACGGGACAACCACGGCCATCGAACACAAGAGAACCATCAACAGACCTGACGAGAACAACATCAGCTATACCGGATCCTGTGATAATTCCTCGTTTCCAACGCCGTGGGCTTCTCGCACGCTTCGCCCTTATTCCCGAAGTGGAAAATCCCCAGCACTATGCCCGACAAACGAAATGGCTACTTACTTTCATTGTTGCTTTTTGTGCCATGGCTGGACCAATGGGCTCTGCGATTGTCATGCCGGTACTCCAAGACATCAGTAAAGCTTTTCGAGCGACCGAGACTGTAACCAACATGTCCGTCGCTGTGTACATGCTCAGCATGGGCATTTTCCCATTATGGTGGAGTTCCTTTTCAGAACGGCTGGGCCGACGAACCATTTACATTACCTCATTTATTTTATTCGTTATTTTCGGTATACTCGCAGCAGTCAGCACAACAATCCACATGTTGATTGTCTGCCGCGTTCTGTGTGGAGGTGCAGCCGCCTCTGTGCAAGCAGTGGGTGCTGGAACCATCGCAGACATCTGGCACACGAAAGAAAGAGGCGCAGCAATGGGCTTGTTCTACCTTGGTCCACTCTGCGGACCTCTCTTTGCTCCGATTATTGGAGGTGTGCTCGGAGCAGAACTGGGATGGCGAAGCACGCAATGGTTTCTAGTCATATATGGAGGCCTCACGGTGATTTTTATCATTTTCGCCCTACCAGAAACATTACATCGGGACGGTAAACCATCTAGGGGCCCTGCTGCATCACCTTCAAGCGATGACAGAGAAAAAGAGCCCGATGCGGCTCTTCGAAGAAGCACCACACACGCCTCAACCGTACAGAAAACTAAGAGCATAATCCTGCACCTCCGCCATATATTCATCGACCCACTTCGTATAATAACTTGGCTTCGCTTCCCACCTGTTCTTCTTACCGTATATTCAGCGAGCATAACCTTCGGCTCTCTCTACATTCTCAATATCAGTATTCAGAAGACCTTCTCCGGTTCCCCATATTCCTTCTCAACCCTCATCGTCGGTCTACTTTACATCCCAAACTCTGCAGGCTACCTCCTCGCTTCCATCTACGGCGGCCGCTGGCTCGACTCCATCATGCACCGTGAAGCCTGCAAAGCAGGGCGCTACGACGAAAACGGCAAACTCATCTTTCGACCCCTTGACCGCATAAGGGAAAATGCTTGGATCGCTGCTACTCTGTGGCCTGCTGCACTGATCGTGTATGGTTGGACGGCTCAGCATGGGATTTATTGGATTGTGCCCATGATTAGCAACTTCTTCTTTGGCATCGGCAGCATGTTGGTGTTCGCTCTTGTGAATACTATATTGACAGAGTTCATGCCCAGACGGGCTGCAAGCGGAATCGCGCTGAACAATTTTGTGCGGAATATTTGCTCATTTGTGGGCGCTGTAGTGGCAGAGCCGATTCTCACTGCAATTGGGAATGGGTGGCTAATGACAATCTTGGGTCTTTGGAGTGTTACTACGGGCTTGGCTGCACTGTATGCGTTGAGTAGGTGGGGCGAGAGATGGAGGGGGGCTATGATTGAGGTTTTTGGGTGAGGGGATGAAGACGGTGGATTGGAATTCGAAAAGTCCGCAGGTTAAATCTGGATTAATGCTTGTATGTATATACTTTTTTTTGTTTCTATGTAATGAACACGGCCGAAACATCTACGATAGATAATCAAAAGTACCGACGCGCAAGCCACCTAGCGGTGACAACTATGACGTAGCTTCAAGATATTTTTATTACTTTAAAATAAAGTTAAAGTGATGAAAGTGTATACTCACCACGAGCCGGCCCGTAATTGGGTCGCGTACTAGACATGGGAGAGGTGCGCTTCCGGTATAAGCATGACCGGCTCTCACGTATCCGACAGTCACTCTTCGCTAGCAAGAACTAGCACATCATCAAGCGATGAGAAAATCAGGGTAGTACTGCAAACCGATGAGCCCTTCACCATATACGATGTACGCATCAGATGCATGGTACGCCTACTACACCAATCACAGACTGCCGTATCGGCATCCGCCAGATGCCGCAAGCACATGTACATATTGTTCCACACACCCAACGGTGATACGGTAACGGATAAGGGCGTAAAAAGCCCCTCGCTTATTCTTCCTCCCGCTTATAGTGAATGAACATGTCATAGCCAAGACGAATCATGAGGTGCTTTCCGGTGAGCTATACGGTTGGCATTGTCGGCTCGTATCAATGCCCGCTACTCAGGAAAACCCACGAACAAACCCCCGGACTGTCCGACCCACCCCCAACAATACCCAAGCTTCTCACATAACCCCCTCAGACGGCAGACCCTGAATCGTCAGTGATCTGCAGGATCCCGGCCTAGGAGGTCGTTTTGAATACCGTTCTTTGAAGCGTGTTTTGCCTTGCGAACCTGAGGAACCCCCAGTGTAAGTACCCACTGCACGATACTTACTAGTAGGGAACGGCCCGAAGTGATGCCGGTGGGTCCCCTGGGTGCGCTCTCTGCTAATCATGTTCTCCTCCGCGTATATGAACGCAGCTCTCAGACAACCTAGTAGCCCCACTCCCCCTGCTCTTGCAGCGAAACACACCCGTCAAAACCGCTGCCAAGTCGTTTTGAACCTGTCACCATGAAGCACATCTTACGACTGGGGTGAACTATAAGCCGGCAGATTGACGTTTGGTGGCCATGTGAATTACCGATGGTGCTTAGGACTTTTGCGCCCTTAGTTTCTTGACGCCCTTTTTAAGAATGCTGGGGGCGGGTTGTTGGTGCGAGGTATATCGTCGTTCCAGTATTAACCATCTAGATCTTTTGTCTCATATCGTCCTTGCAGTAGTTGATCTTCTCCTCCCTTGTTAATCCCATATTTTTCCTCTTTAAAAGTCCAACTTAATTTCGACAACCTTTTTTCTATGTTCTTACTGTCAACAGTACTACTATAATGGGTTTCACAAGCGGCGGCGAAAAGAGTACCAGCTCGACTGTGGAGATGGAAAAAGAGAGCATCATCTCAAACGAACCCGCGCCTATGGGCGCGTGGAAAGCATACTGGGTACGTAAGCTCTCATGATGATTGGAAAATGAACCATGTCACTGATCTTTATGCGATCTCTTCGTAAAACAGAGGGTCTTCAAGTATGCACAAACTACAGACTTGATTATGATTGGCATTGCTGGCATTGCTGCATGTGCGTCTGGGGTCGGGATTGCCTCCCAAAACATAATATTCGGAAAATTCGTCACTGAGTTTACGGACTTCGACACAGGAAATGCGGCGGCAGAGAGCTTGCGGTCGTCGAGTGCGAAGCTCGCGCTGTACTTCTTCCTTTTGGGCGTTGGCAGAATGGTAGTGGCATACATCTACAACTTCCTACTCACATTTAGCGCGTACCGGATCGTACGAAACATTCGACATGAGTACCTAAAGGCCGCCTTACGACAAGAGGTCGCCTATTTTGACCTTGGGACCAGTGGATCGATTGCAACTCAAGCATACTCCAATGGTCGCCTTGTCCAAGCTGGTATTGCGGAGAAATTAGGACTCACTATCCAAGGCCTAGCAGCTTTCTTGAGCTCCTTCATCATCGCCTTCGTTACCAATTGGAAGCTTACGCTCATCATTTGCGGCATCGCGCCTTTGACAGTTGGTGTCATGATTGGCTGCGCTTTCATCGAAGCCGGTTACGAGGCCAAAATTCTGGAAAGGTACGCTGATGCCAATTCCTTCGCTGAGGGAGTCATCGCTAGCATCCGTACTGTTCATGCATTCGACATGAGGGCGGAATTGGTCAACAGGTTCGACGGGTTTCTTGTGCAAGCGCACCGCTATGGCAATAAGATTTCACCTCTCTTCGGTATCTTGTTCTCGGCTGAGTACACCATCATCTACCTGGGCAACGCACTTGCCTTCTGGAGAGGTATCCACATGCTTGCCAGTGGGGAGATCGCGAACAGCGGAGATGTCTTTACAGTCTTGTTGTCGGTCGTTATCGCCGCGCTCAGCATCACTCAACTGGCTCCTCATTCTATCGAATTCACTCGAGCTGCATCTGCGGCCGCCCAGCTCTATGTGGTCATCGACCGAAAGACAGCCATTGACCCCATGGATCCGTCGGGTGAACAGCCAGCTTCAATCACCGGAGACGTCGAGCTTGAGAATGTTGTATTCGCCTACCCAACTCGACGCGATGTCACTGTGCTCAAGAGCTTCTCCCTTCGCGCACCAGCAGGCAAGGTTACAGCTCTTGTGGGCCACAGCGGATCCGGAAAGAGCACTATAGTCGGTCTTTTGCAGCGTTGGTATAACCCTGCATCAGGAACTATCAAGCTTGATGGTCGATCCATCGACTCATTGAATATTTCCTGGCTGCGAAGGAACGTCCGTCTGGTGCAGCAGGAACCTGTTCTATTCCGTGGATCCGTTTTCGACAATATTGCCAATGGACTCTACGGTACCGATCTGGAAAAGGCTTCGAAAGAAGAGCAGATGAAGCACGTTGTAGCCGCCGCCAAAACCGCTTACGCTCACGACTTCATCGAGCAACTCCCCCATGGTTACGACACAGAGATCGGTCAGCGCGGAGGTCTACTTTCCGGCGGTCAGAAGCAGCGTATCGCCATTGCACGAAGTCTCGTATCGAACCCCAGGGTCCTCTTGCTGGATGAAGCAACCAGCGCACTCGACCCCCATGCTGAGGGAATCGTCCAACAGGCTCTTGACCAAGCTTCCGCCGGTCGCACCACCATCGTTATTGCGCACAAGCTAGCCACCGTCCGCAATGCGCACAACATCGTCGTCATGTCCAAAGGAGAGATTGTCGAACAAGGAACGCACAACGAGCTCCTCGCTATGAACGGAGCGTATTCGCGTCTCGTTACCATCCAACAACTTACTGTTGAAGGCGAAGACTCTCCAGAGGGCACGGAAGTGGAAGTATCCGACGAAAAGTCGCTAAAGGACGATCCTGAAGAGAAAGAAGGCGCGCTTTATCGCTCGACTACCAATGCAGCAAGTATCCGCACACAAGCTGGAGCTGGTAGGTATAGCGACGAAGGCACGAATCAACTTGGATTGCTTGCTACCATCTGGCGCCTTATCTACGAGACCCCGGATCTGAAATGGGCGTACTTGGCCATGTTTTCCGGTTGTTTCCTGTCTGGTATGTTCTCCTATTATCACACACTGCCGTGCAACCACTAACCGTTTTCCAGCGGGCTTGTTTCCTGGCCAAGCCATTCTCATGGCCTACATGATCGACGTTTTCACTCTGACTGGAAATGAAATGACTGACAAGGGTGACTTCTTCGCAGCCATGTTTGTTGCCCTTGCCGGTGCTTGTTTGTTCTCCTATTATGCAATGGGGTGGGGAACAAATACACTTGCACAGGTGAGTAGTGCCTTGTGAATATTCGTGGCAATATTCAACTTACTGATCAAACCGCTCTAGGCTTTGGCGCACAATCTGCGAAAACAAATCTTCAACGACATTCTCCGCCAGGATATCGAGTACTTTGATCGCTCGGAAAACAACATCGGAGCACTCACCAGCCGTATCGATGCCTACCCCCAGGCTGTATTCGAATTGATGGGCTTCAACATTGGATTCATCCTCATTGCCGCACTGAGTATTATGATCTGCTCTATTCTAGGTATCGTGTACGCCTGGAAGCTCGGCTTGGTCATCGTCCTTGCAGGAATGCCTGCCGTCATTGGCTTTGGATGGTTCAAGATGATTCTTGATGGCAGGCTTGACCGTCTTGTTGCCAAGCGGTTGTCGACGAGCTCTGCAATTGCCTCGGAATCAACAACAGCTATCCGAACAGTGTCTTCTCTAGGAATTGAGAGAGCGATCCTGGATCGATACACGTCTGAATTGGATCAAGCAGTGAAAGGATCACGACAGCCGCTTCTGTTTGTTATGTTTTGGTTTGCTTTGACTCAAGCCTCGGAGTACTGGTTTATGGCTCTCGGATTTTGGTATGTTTTCACATGATTGTTTGGAGTTCAAAATCTAACATGCACGCCTAGGTACGGATGTCGACTCGTTGCCTCTCGGGAAATCACTATCTTCGACTTCTTCGTTTCCTACATGGCCGTCTTCTTCTGCGCACAATCGACATCTCAAATATTCCAATTCTCAACCAGTATCACCAAAGGCAAAAACGGCGCCAACGCTATCTTCTGGCTTAGGCAACTCCAACCAGTCGTTCAAGAAACACCCCAAAACAAGGACAACAGCCCCGACCCAGAAGGCTCTCTGCAACTCGCCGAAACAAGCTTTGCCTATCCTCTCCGCCCACACGCCCCCGTCCTCAAAAACATCAACCTCGAAGCCCGCAGAGGCCAATTCATCGCCCTAGTCGGCGCCTCGGGCTGCGGAAAATCCACCATAGTCTCCATGCTAGAACGCTTCTACGACCCCTCGAGCGGTGCCGTCCTCCTCGGCTCCCAAGACCTCACCACCATCAACCCGCGCAAGTACCGCGCCCAAGTCGGCCTCGTCCAACAAGAACCCACCTTATTCCAAGGCACAATCCGCGAAAACATCGCCCTCGGCATCTCCAACCCCACCGCCAACACCATCCTCGACACCAGCACCGTCTCAGACGCAGACATCGAGCGCGCCCTCCGCGCCGCAAACGCTTGGGACTTTGTCTCTTCGCTGCCTGAAGGCGTGAATACTGCCGCCGGGCCTAACGGCACTCAGCTCTCCGGCGGCCAGCGCCAACGCATCGCCATTGCACGCGCACTAATCCGTAATCCACGCATTTTGCTGCTTGACGAGGCGACCAGCGCGCTCGACACCGAGAGCGAAAAGATCGTGCAGAATGCGCTGGCGGAGGCGGCGAATGACGGTGACCGCATTACGGTTGCAGTGGCGCATCGTCTGTCGACAATCAAAGATGCAGATGTCATTTGTGTGTTTTATGGGGGTAGAATCGTGGAGCAGGGCACGCATGCGGAGTTGCTGACGGGTAGTGGCACGTTGTATAAGAAGATGTGCGAAGCGCAGAGTTTGGCGTAGTAAAAAAAACATTTGTATATATTTGTATATGAGGACAAAAGTTGGGGGGAGTTAGATACCTAGATTATTGTTTATTTTCCAAAAAAGTTCGCCATTAACTATTCAAAACTACTAGTTAGTTCTTTCTGTTGACTGTTTGTGAGCTTGATCTTCCTTTTCTCCTCGTATTGATTCTGGCTTGCAAAAATCATAATTACTATGTACAAAAAGCCTAGTTATGGAAACTTGAACTTGACCTCACGCATCACAAACCCTCACCCTCGAAACTCACCCTAATACTGTGCACTCCTTCGTTTCCTCAACCCTTTGAAACACCAACTAACCAACCACCCCTGTCCCTTGGCCTTCTTCCCCTTCCGTGACCCGGCCCCACCATCCCTGCCCACCGGCACCTTTCCGCTCCTGCCTCCCCGCCAACCCGCCCTTTAAATTCCGCAGTCATCCCCACAATTACCAACCAAACGCTAGCTTTCTGCGCGTATAGCGATACGAAACGTATTGTGTCGCGGGAAGTTCGATTGCAAGCCCCCTCCTTAGGTAGGGAGGATCCCTGGGTGTAGCGTGTATAGTCCTTTGAATATGTGAAGGATTTTACTCTTTTTTTTTGGGGGGAGGGGGGGAAGGTCAAACGACAGAGTTCAAACAATAGAGTCAAACAGACGTTTTTTTTTCAGCAAGAGGAAAGAACGATTGGGGAAGCAAACTTTGATAGTTAAGGATTGACTAGGTAAACTGTAGGTAAGGGTGGGAAAGGGTGTTGGTTGTGCTTCTCGAGGTAATGACTGGAGTTATAGACAAGAAGGAGATAGAAAAAAGGGGTTGGTTGTAGAAACCTAGAAGTATCTCAGAAGAGATAACTGGTTAAAGAAGAAAAATAAAGAAAGTGCGTTCTACATACGACCTATGTAGACTATGTAAAAAGAAAATCCTACAATCGCCCATGTGCCTCGTTGCAGTGTCCAAGAAACGTAGTAGCGTGTGATAAAATAATCGTTCGTGTCGTGCGATACATCGCGTCTCTTCGTTAGTAGTAGTAAAGGGGCGCAACCCCACCATTCCACACAAACAGGCTGTTGTCTTGCAGGCCTAATCGAGGAGACGCTGAGCCCAAGACGCATTCTCATACCAGGCGCGGATCTTCTTGCCAAACACATACATGGGAATGGCCAACGCGGTGACGCCAGCGGCGGTGCCGGCCATGGCGCCGAAAACGACCACGGGGCCTGCAGACATGAGCCACTCGATCATGGGACCCAGGCCGACGGTGACAACGGCGGCACTGATGAGGTTGACAGACGAGAAGGCTTGGGCAGAGTGCTCCGGGTGGCAGTCAATAACGTACGAGACTGCGATTTGGATAGCGGAGACGCTGCCGACGTTCGTAACGGTCATCCAGACAAGGATCCAAGCCAAGGGCAGTCCGTTCTGGAACGAGGCACCAAGACCGATGAGGCCGGCCATTGTAACGGGGGTGGAGAGGACGAGGAGGACGAGACGGAATTCGGGTTCTACCATTCCTTTCTTGGTGCCGTTGTAGCGCGCCATGAGGCCGACGGAGGAGTCGGAGAGCCAGCCGAAGAGGGGACCGGCGAGGAGGCCGACGACGAAGAGGGGGAGGTTGGTCATGCCGATTTCGCTGGGGCCGAGGTCGTATGGGGGTGCGGAGAGGAGGATGGACATGAAGGTGGACATGCCGACGAGGAAGAAGAAGATGGCGGCGTTGAGGAAGCAGCTATAGATGACGATGGGCGAGGTGATGAGGCCGAAGGGCTTGATGATTCCCTTGAAGAAGGACTTATTGGAGAGGCGGCCGTTGAAGAGGGTGAGTTGCTGGCCGTACGACTTCTTTGCGGGTACGTTCGAGCCCTTGAGATCTTCCTCGTCCCACTCGCTCCTCAGCTTGTCAGGCTGCACAACAATGGTAGTGACGGGCTCGTTCTTGCGGTTGAAGTAGGCGGATTCGAACACGGTAAAGTAGAAGAGGGGGATCAAGCCGGTGTACATGAAACCTGTAATGAGGAAGTTGGAGGACACGCCGAAGCTGTCTGTGACGACACCGGCGATGATTTGACTATGAGGTTTGCATGTTAGTGGAATTCTTCAGTTGGATCAGGGTAGACAACTAACCCAAGTTGTGCTCCAGAGTTCAGCATAAGGTTCCATACAGCGATGGATCGGCCACGCTGGTTGACAAAGAAAATGTCGCTAATACTAGCAGTAAGGAGCGTGAAGAGAGGGGCAGAGAAGAGACCTCCTGCCGTTCGTGCAATTACTAGCATGCGGAAGTCGGTCGAGAAGAAGCCAGCAAAATTTGCCAGAGCAAGGAAGACAGCGCTCCAAACGTAGAACGGTCGTCTTCCCCAGATGTCTGTTCCGGCGACAGCAATAAAGGCTGCAGCTGATGTCCAAAAAGTAGGTGCAGTGATGATCCATGTTGAGATATCGCTATCGTTGCTTTGTAGCTTCTCAGTCAGAGGCTCGAGGCCAGGTGTGAGCATAGTGGTTGTTCTGTTGGGTATCAGCATATGTCCACACATGAGTATCAACATGGAACACCTACGCATTGGTGATTGCAGAGCCGAAGGCCAGGACGAAAAGGTGCACACACTTCCATGTGAGAGACCTGCAAAAGTCAGCGGGTGGTTTCAGATGGCGCTGTTGAGCAAATCGCTTACCAGTTGAGGGGGTCATTTGGGTCGTCGCTGGGCTCAGGAGAGCGCGCTACAACCTCTGCTTGATTAATAGAGTCGTTATCAGAGACGACCTTCTTGTCAACCACTCCTACGAGTGATGTGCCGCGAGGAAAAGCTGCGCGCGAGCTTTCAAGTATGCCCCAACCCATCTTTGCCGAGTTCGATTTATCGTTTTTGTGTTTTCTTATACGAAGAACTACCAGAGCCTCCTCTTTTTCAGATATAACTCCAGTGTATAACGATCGTTGGTGATTGGAAAAAATTCAGTAAATAGCAGCAGATAAGAAACCGTCCAGCAGTGTTGCCAAACCAGTTGGCATAAAGAAGCGAAGCAAACAAAAAAACTATCCCGAGAGAAAGTAAGAAGAAAAAGACAAAAAGCGAAATGAGATCCGGTCTGGAGAGTGGATGAAGCTGTTCAGGCACGGATTGATATGGATTAAAAAGAGATACAGAAAGAGTGTATACTTCTTGGCCACAAGGGTTCCATTACCAAGCAGGTTACGCGTCTGACAGACTGGGATTAGCATTGCTCGGTGGTTCATGTTTTTGCGACACGTCGCAGTAGTCTTGCAAAACGTGGAGAAGCGTATGTATGAGGCCTGCTACAGATCCATAGGGATTGGCTTTTGTACGTAAGTGGTGCGTTCATATTACTATGTTGCAGCGCTTCCCATACATACTTTCACACGCAGCGCAACTTGGTACTTACGCACAACTACTTTGGCACGCTGCACAGGATACCCTGTGTACAAGCTGCCATGCGGGATGCGCCTCTTCCCTCAAATAGGCGAAACGTTATGATGCGAGATGAAAGTAGTACTATCCTTCGTCACATTAGCATTCTGCATGCTGTCATGGTGGTCCCGAATCGGGATGGCCAAGCGTTTTGAGATGTCGGGGAATACGGTCAATGGCAGTCTGGACGTCGTCGCACGAGCCGCTGGCATCTTTTCAATAGAAGCTGATCGACAACAGCCCATGATGCCTAAAGTTGGTGGAAATGTTGGCGGGGCGCGCACTCACGCCACCGTTGCTACTAGTGCACCGCCGCAGATCCTCAAACAGGGTCTCATTTCTTAGTGGCGATACCTGAAACGCTTGATGTGCGACAGGAATAAATCCGCCGATGTTTGCATTAGCCCGGCTCGGCAAGGCTTCAAGTAGTTGTCCAGTGGGGATATAGAAAGGGCTAAGGGCTGAGGGCGCAACCGCCCTTGTGAAGTGCGCAGTATGCCGTTTGCAGATGCCGATCCAAGAAGATGGTCGGCTCTTTGTATGTGAAGCACGGCATGTTGAGGATGATTGGGACCACTAGTTAGTTCGCTTTGATATCTATGGTTTGAAGTTTAAAAAAGTATGTGCACTTGAGTCTTGGTATTGGGCACAAATATGTACGAAAAAGGGGTGTATACTTAGTATGAGTTTGTGGAGATGATATGCAGGTACATACTGACCCGCAGGAGGGAACCTAAGCAAACAATCTCCATGAGCTCTAGAAGCATAATCCTTGCCCGCGTGGAAGTCTCACACTGCCGGGTAACCGGCCAATAGGGCCGTTGCCTTTTTATGCTCAGCCTCAATAGGAAATTATTACTAAGAACCAAGCATAGACACAACGTAGGGCTTGGACATTGTAAAACGCCAATCAGACAGGATCTCTTGAGCGGAATTAGAGCCGTTAGGGAACGGAATAAAGATGATAAGCGTTTGAAAGAGGACTCTTTTGGTTTGCAAAGTCGACGCTAGGTTCACGCGGAATTCAGGCCAGCGACCCCTTGAGGTATGCTGTAGGGAAGAATGATATCATGTGGTTTGACTTTACAACATGAGCCAAAACGAGTCTGAAGCAGATATTGCAGTTCTCCTTCTTCATTCATAATTTGTAATCCGCTGAGTCCGAAGTAGTACAGAATCAATGCAATAGTCGTGTACCTTAATGCTGGATCCCATGCCTGGGAGCGGTGGATAGATTAGAATTGTTCACGGAAACAGTGATGCTGATGGCTTATCTCGTGACTGAAGAGGCGTGTTAATCAACACAGATGTGGTCTAAATGAGAAAACAAGGCTAAAGAATAAAAAAAAAAAAATTCGTGTGACTTGTGCCGTACACACACATTACAACCCTAGGGCTACTCTTGATCTTACATCAAGTCATCTCTGCATGCTCTAAACATGAAGTCATTTTCGCTAAATACGAGGAAAAAAAGATATTTTTGTGGCAGAATTAATTGGTAGAATTGCGCGCCTTTGCGTCTTCAACGGCATCTTCCCAGCTCGTCTGCCAGATAAACCAGCCTTCAATTGCTGAGACAATGGCAAGTGCAATGGCAGGACCCTATATCGCATTAGTATTTTTACAATCTGTTCAAATTTGGTGTTACTTACAGTCCAAAGGCCGTATAGTCCCCATTGTAACGGTCCGAATCCAGTACCAAAGCTGATTGGAATTCCGACAACGTAGTATGCGAACAAGCCCACATAACCACCAATTTCTTGTCGGCCCAGTCCACGCAGTATACCGTTGCAGTTGGCGGCGAGTGCATCGACGACTTGGAAAGTAGCGCAAAGGGGGAGAAGATTGGCCACCATGGCAATGACCTCTTCATCGGGAGTAAATAATCGCGGGATAGTTTCTCGAAGTAGAGAAAGGAACAGCAGGTTGAATACGCCTACCAAAACAGACGCAAAAACAGCTACCTTTGCAGCCGTTTTCGCAGGTACGGCAAGGGTTGCACCGATCAAGTTGGCAATGCGTGTCGAGGCAGCAACACTCATAGGGAACGGGATCTGGAACGTGATGCCGGTAATCGTTCCAAGGACAGATTGTGCGGCAAGCGCAGTAGGGCCCAGCCAACTTGAACTCAGAGTTAGAATCTCAAAGGCGAGGAACTCGGCAAGTACCATGACCAAGCCCGGAAGCGCGAGCTTAATCATGGGCATCCAGTTGTTGAAGGCTCGACGGTCGAATCCGCCCCAGCATTGGTAACCATCGATGAAGCGGACGTAGAGGAATAGGAGGAGGGGCAGCATGCTCTCGGTAATGACGACTGCAATCGGTGCGCCGATGAATCCCCAGCCGAGATGCCATACCATGAACCAGTTCAAGAAAGCATTGAGCGGTGCGCAGATGAGGAGAATATACATGGTAGCGTTGAAAATGCCTTGTGCTTGAACGTAGCGTTTTCCGCTTTCGAAAGCGACGTAGCCAGGTCCTCCAGCGATGAGAATTCTCAAGTACAATCCAGCGAGACGTGCCGTTTCCTGTTCCGGAACAATGAGGGACAGGATCTGGGTACCGAATGCCCATATTGTTGAGACTGGAATTGTGATTAATAGTAAAAACCACAGCATGCGTTGCAGCTGTAGACCGACGAGATGTTTACGTCCAGAGCCATAGGCTTGTGCGCAAAGCGTATCGAGGGAAGTCGCTAGACCTTGATATACTGCATATCCGGTGATGGAGGCAGTCATACTAGCCAGACTCACAGCTCCGAGTTCAGTCTTACCAATGTGCCCAACGGTGAAGATACTAGCTACGGGAAGACTGTACTGTAGTAAGGAGGTCAGGATGAGTGGCGCTGATGTTTTGGTCAAGACTTTTGTTTCGCGCTGCCAGGTTGTGTTAATTTTTCCGGCTGCAACCGCCTCGTCCCATTTCTTCTTGATAATCTTTGGTGTATCCAAGCCGCCATATGGCTGGTTTGGGTTACCAGCAGAAGCGCCTAGTAGGGCAGTTCGCTCAGACAAGGATTCGATAGCGCTCTCTTCGTCTGGAGTGCTTTTAACCTTGCGCAGGCCAAGGATGGGCATGTCGGACCTCAAGCGATCAAAAGGACCGTTACTCTCAGATCTCGGATTTTTGGGGGGTAGCAAATCATTGTCGCGAAGTAAACTCTTTTCCTCGTTTCGCACAAGCTCTCTCTCTTTCTTGGACAGATGACTGTGCTTTTTCCACGACGTTGACATGTGGCTGCGTTCGGGTACGCTTGAGGAGATGATTGCCGTTGATCGCGAGCCGGGATTTACCCAGGAAGGCCGGCGATAAGAGTTGATCATGGAAAATTGTGTCGCGGTGTCTGAGCCTGACGACGAATCATCATCCGAAGACGATGCATTGTCTTGCTCAAGGTCTCTAGCAATTGCCTCTTCTGCAATGTCCTGCGCTTGAACAAGGCCCTCTACTTGCGATGTGACATCGGTTGCAAAATTGGTGACAGGGTGACCTGTCGGTATGGATTGGGACATGGTTGGAAAGCCCCCAAATTTTGTGAAGTTTTTTCCTCAACGCAAGTTTGATTAAATTTTGCAAATTCTGGGGCAGAAGTGAGGTTTAAGAAGTAAGGGATTGAGAGCGGGGTGTGAGTGAAAGGATGGCAGTTGGCATCGGCTGCGAAAGTGCTGCAACCCAATGCGGAAGTTCCAAGCGAAGTTGGTGATAATAGCAGCGCTAGCTTCCGCCCTTCGTCGTTTGAGTTGACAGATGACAAGCACGGCACTGCGTGCGCCTTGTGACTCCGAACTGCCTGAATCTGTCGTTGCATAACCGCTACTGCATCTGGGATCCATCTTCTCCACACTAGCACGAACGGTGGGCCGTGGCTATGAGTCTAGAGATTACAGAGCGGTGCAGCACAGTCACATGACATGTATCGAGAGGAATGCATGATGGGAAATGAGTCACTTGAGGGATATGCATGTAGTTTAGTTTACTCGTACTGGTGCAGCGAGACTGGTGCTAAGATCTGCAAAGGGCGCTGAGATGCAGCTAGGCATGTGTGTGTATGAATCCAACGGACACTTGCAGCTTACTCTGCATACTTGGCATATATAGTCACGTGATAATCGCAACAAAGGACGGACAAACGTTGCCGAAAAAAACATGTAACGCTGGTGGTATCATTATCTGCTTGCTCAAGTCTAGAATCACGCTGCAACTGGAGCCTCAGACGACTACTCTTCTGAGTGCCTCGGTTCCTCCGAGCACTCGTCTCCCTGTCACCGCATCTCTCCCCTTCCCACTCTCCCATCTACCTTCTCGGCTGCCCTCTTCTTTGCCCCAGCCCTCATCGCCTCCCTCTTCGTCATCTCCAGCTCGGAATCCAGCACCGCCCTCCATAAAGGCAGTTTGGCGATCATGCTCTCCGTCGACCCAGCGATGTATGCACGTATAACAGTACACGAAACCTGTGGGCGATGCTGTTGGGTTGACAATGGGTGTCACACAAATGGGACAAAGCGCTGACGAGGGCGGTGAGGCTACTGTCAATATTGGGAGGAGGGTGGTTGAGGATATTGGGGGATCGATGCGCTGGGTTTTGTCGGACGATGATGATGTTGGTCGTGGTTTCTCGGAACCGTCCGTCTGTTTGGACCCCTGTTGTTTGGCCGAAGGTGGTAGCGAAGGAAGTATTGGCGGTGGTAGCTCAATGTTCTCCGCTGCCTTCCGTGACAATTGCCGGGCAAAGTCCGAGGCATGCCACCACTCAAGAAATTTGAGAGCGAAGATGCTTGTAGGGAGCAGGATCTTGAGCGAACTCAACAATCGTGGCTGCACGCTCCTGGCAAGATTCCTCGGTGAGAAGATGGATCCGCCTTCGCCGGGCCGCGCAGGGCCAATGTTTCTTGGGGCTGTGGCCAGCTCAATTGCCTTGTGGTCGGCCTCGCCCAGTCTACGTATCCTCGAGCCAATGAGCCACATGAAGGGTGAGTGATACTTTGTGCCGTCAAACAGGTATGCCATGTTGAAGACGAGCAGTGAGAAGTAGTAGGCGGCGTTGACACTGGGGTATATGTTGCGCAAAAACCACTTGTAGTAGTGCATCAGACGCTCTTTGATGGTTGCGCCGGCTCTGAGTCCTTCTCTTTCGCGGTTGTAGCTGGGGCCGAGGAGGTTGGCGTGGGCGGCGTGGACATCGTAGCCCTCGTCCAGCTTTCTCTTGAGCCATGGCAGGCCGACGAGCACGGCGAGATTCTTCCACACGTCGTCGCGACCCAGCTTGACAGCCTCTCTGACGCTGTCGGATGCGCCGAGCTGAGCGCGGGGGATCTCGCCGCCTCGCACCCTCAGCACACGGGCGCGCTTGAGGCCGTAGAAGTTCTCGGTAAAGGAGCCGCCATAGTTGCGTAGAAAGTGACGCTCGACGAGGAGCATCAACAGCGTGTAGACCTCATCGAAGGAATTGAGGATGGGCAGCAAATATCGTGGGTATCGGGGCGTTGCGACGGCGAGCAGGTAGCGCAGCGACGGGGGGAGCAGCGATGAGAGTTGTTGTTCCGATAGCAGTTCAAACAGCGAGGGCTTGAGGTCGTCTATGCCATGCTGGAGGGCGGGCAGGAACTCCATGGCGCCCGGTCAGAGATAGGCAGACGGGCTGGTTGCGTCTTCATTGATGCCCTGAGATGAGGTTGAGGATGTGCCATGGCTTGTTGACAGGCACGGAGGCACGCGCGCTGCAGCCGAGGCATGCTCGGAGCTGACTACGTACCTCGCCTGTCCGCCCGACGCGTGTGTACAGGCTATACGTCACACTCGTACGCGCCCCCATTCACCGACTGTCACGGCTCCGAGTGAGCCCAGCAGTTGACTTGACATAGCGACAACAAGACACTTTCATTTTAACTAATACACATAATACACTGCAGCCATGGATCCCCACAACGAGCGATGCACCGAGCTGCAGTACCCCGACCTGGTCAACTTCTCCGTCTCCGTGTACGTCCGATACGCATCCACATATCCACTCTATGGCAAAATGCACTTGACTGACTCCCACGCCTCACAGCTTCATCGTCTTCGGTATACTCGTCTCGTATATCCCCCAGCACTACAAGATCATATCCCGCCGTTCTTCCCGCGGCCTCAGTCCCATGTTCGTCCTGCTCGGCACTGTGTCTGGCACGGCCAGCATCGCCAACATCCTGACCCTGCCTGAGAGCACAAGAGACATGTCCTGCTGCAGAGAAATCGGAACCTTTCCCTGTGCAGCAGCTATGCTAGGAATAGTCCAGATAGGCGTGCAATGGAGTTGCTTCTTCTTCATGTAGGACGCCATGACCAACGGCAGCATCAATAAAAGTACTAATAGCCACCTCCAGCATGCTACTATTCCTCATCTTCTTCCCCCGAGACGCCCCGTCCGTCGCAGACGAGGAGCAAGAATCCCAAATGCCGACATGGAAAGAAGCCATCTTGGTCCTAGCCATGTCTGTTGCTTTCTTTGTCGTCGCTTTGTTCGGCTCCGTAGTCTTCGTATACGCTCTCCCGACCCATGTCCGCGGCTGGGCAAACTTTCTCGGCCTCCTCGCTACTGTGCTTGCAGCCATACAATACATACCTCAGATCCTCATGACTTGGAAACTACAAGAGACAGGCAGTCTCTCTATTCCCATGATGTGCATCCAGACGCCTGGTAGCTTTGTCTTCGCTGCCAGTCTGTATGCGCGCTTAGGGCCGGCGGGCTGGAGTGCATGGGGCTTGTTCATCTTTACTGGCATTCTGCAAGGCTTCCTACTAGCCATGGGTATTTCTTTCGTCCTAAGGGATCGCAAGGCTCAGCAAGCCCAGACGGTAGGTCATGCTAACGGAAACGGGGTTTCGGAAGGTAGTGAGCGCACCCCTCTGCTAGATAGTGAGAGGTGATACTGTCAATAATCATCATGTCTTTGTTCTCTGACTTCTTGTCCTGCCCATGTGACCTTTCCCATCATGCAGCACTTGCAGTAGCTGCGTCGTCCCAAGATTAGTTTTTGACATTCGGGTACTCGTTGCTCCAAGTACTATTAAAGACGGGCCCCGCTAGATTCCAGCCCAAATCTTCTACACCTCTTGCCTTGTTATCTTTCTGAAATCCTTCGTTGGAAGTCCTCTCCAACGTTCCTTGCACTTTGTTGATACTATGGTGAACAGATCGACGGCACACAGCCGTCGTGCCCGATCAGAGTGGCGACGATGACGAACGCTCAGCCGAGCTGAAGTTGTTTGGATCCACGGCTGCTAATATCGCTCTTGGTCACTTCATCTGTCCCGGTCCGCCTGCAATCATTAATTTCTCGCAGACACAAGCCAACGTTGTGGCAATGTCCGCCTCTACGCCAAGCTGGCCTAACGTCCTTTTTGGCAGGTATCTCAAAATCAGCCTTGGCCTTTTGGCAAAAAAGGATTAACACTCTTACGACCTTCTCTTCCGGACGCAGTACAGGCCGAGCTCGTGATAAGAGTGGACCAGCGACGATGCTATGCGTGCATTTATCCATGGATCCGGTGTTTACCAAGATTTGGTGTAAATCACATATTATATGAAGATGCCTCGCTGCCTGCGAAAACGAAATGCCCTACGCACCAATTCAAGACTCAATTTATTGAATCGCCGAGATGAAGTTTTCAAGTGCAATCGCCCTTGCGGGCGCGGCGCAAACGTTGGCTGCAGTCAGGCCTCGCCCTATGGTGTCGTCCGGAGCTATTCAGGACCAGATCACGAGCGAAAAGTATGTCTGGTTTTGGCGGTTGAAAAGAAAATTCATTAACAAATAGACAGATTGATGGGCAATCTCAAAGCATTCGACACGATTGCAAAGGCCAATGGTGGAAACCGTGCGTTTGGTCTCCCTGGCTACGCAGCCTCGGTCGACTACATGCTTGAAAAGACACAAAACACCCATTTCAAGACATGGACCCAGGATTTCCCCGCTCTATTCAATCGAATCGATTCCATCGAGTTTACCGTAAGCAACACCTCGTACCGTGTTGTTGGATTGACGTATTCTCCCTCGACCTCACCGGAAGGTCTAACGCTTCCGCTCGCGCTGGGTGCCACTGGAGCTGGGGGCTGCACGAAAGAGGGATATAGCAATCTGGAAGTAAAGGGAAAGATTGTTCTCGTGCAGCGCGGCTCATGCCCAGACGGCACCACGTTTGCCGGACGCGTGAAGGCGGCTGCTGCCGCAGGTGCATCAGCCGTCGTCATCTACGCCAGCGATCGGTCCAATGTCACTGGCGGAACCCTCTCCAACCCCAACCCACTCGAGTACGTCTCGACTGGGTACATCAACCTCGCTGACGCCGAGCCCCTGGTTGCCCGTCTTACTGCCGGCGAGGCTGTCGAGGCCTACTTTCAGCAAACTCAGGTTATTGAAGAACGCATGACACAAAATGTCTTTACCGAGACCAAGGATGGTGATCCAGAAAATGTCATCATGCTCGGTGCACATCTCGACAGTGTCCAGGCCGGCGCAGGTATCAACGATGACGGTTCCGGCAGCACTCTGATTCTCGAACTCGCCCGCGCCCTCCGCAGATTCAATGTCAAGAACAAAGTCCGCTTTGCCTGGTGGGGCGCCGAAGAGAACGGTCTCCTAGGTTCCAAATACTACACGCAGAACCTCAATGCCACTGAGGCCAACAACATCCTCACATACCTCAACTTCGACATGGTCTCCCGCGGCTACTTTGGCGTCTTCGACGGCGACGGCAGCACCTACAACCTCACCGGCGCCCCCGGCTCCGACGCCATCGAAAAGCTCTTCGTCGAACACTTCACCAGCAAAGGCGTCAACGTAACCGCCGCTCGCTTCACCGGCGGCAGCGACTACCAATCCTTCATGAACATCGGCAAGCCCGTCGGCGGCCTGCACACCGGCACAGGCATCGAGCAGGACCCTTGCTACCACCAGGCCTGCGACACAATCGACAACCCTAACCCTGAGACTCTGACTATCAACGCAAAGGTACGTTTGTATTTCCCTACCTTCAACCCGAATTTTTGTATAAGGGGATAGTTGGCTGACAAAGATATAGGCCGCCGCACACGTCCTCTCCATCCTCGCCACCCGCGGCGAAACAATCATCCCTAAGAGCCCCATCAACACCACTATGATCACCGCCCGCGGCATCATCGGCGTCGAGCCCAGATGGACTGTCCCTGAAGAAGGTGAACAGCACCTCGCCACATGCGGACATGAAATCTAAGACAACACCCTGATTTTGTAAAGAATAAAATCGGGTTATTAGTTGATGTATATGAAATGTTTTGTATGTTAACGAAATATGAAAAGTGATATTGATGTCCTCGAGAGACATCTTTTGAGTCTTTGGGACTTCTGAACAAATCGCTTGCTTTGCTGGCTTTATAATATTACAAACGGATGCATATTTGCCCTTGCATACATGGTCAACCTATGTTCAACTACCCCAGTCAACCTGCACGTCAGTAGCCAGGTACCGATGCAACAGCATTGCCATTGCGCCAATGTCCCGCACTAACCAACGTGACCGTTCCCCACTAGCCCCACACCCGCAATGCTGACTCGTGGTTAGTCCGCTTCTTGTTCACCCTTTGTTTTCGTCTCATTATTTACCAATTAAATCAAACCTCCACCAACAAAACACCATCGGTTGCATAGTGTAGTGGTTATCACTCCAGATTTTGATGATATCAAATTTTCTGGTAACCCCGGTTCGGTATGTTGAGCCTCTAAATCTTCTTATACTGTCACTAACTAGTCTCCAGAACCCGGGTGCGACCTTCGTTCGATTCTCAATTAACTCTTTTTTTTCAAACTTTTATGCTTTTTGACTTTTTAATATAACTAGCCTTATCTCTATTACATAATGTGCGTATTTTTGAAACCTACTATTTCTAGCTCGCTTTCATATTGATCATGTATTGAATATTCTTATGCTACATCTCTTCGCCTCTTAGTTTGCTCTTTGAGCCTACAGATAGCGTCCTTCTCGTCCACAATCAGTGTACGAAGACTAACTAATGCTTTCTTTAGCTGAAACTCCTGACTGTGTAAGTTAAAGCAGTGACCTGCATTCTCCTCGTTTCCTGATCTGATGGCAATATCAAGCTCTTCGATTATTGGGCTGAGGACTTTATCTTGTACAGCTTGTCGAGAGATGACAAAAGGATTGTCGATACGGTCGAAGCTATCACCCTCGTCTTGTTTGTCGAGCTCTGCTAAGCCTAAGCTATGTGAAACAGCATTGACTTTCTCTGTCATTTCTAAGCTCATAGGTCGAAGAACTTGAATGCAGACTGGCCAATATTGTCTTAGACCAAACGTATTTGCTGAAAGTGGAACGAGAGTTCGGTTTTGTCTTTCAATTGTTAGGCCTTGAAGCTTATGTTTCCGAGAGCATATCTCTTCATGCTCTCGATAGTCTTCATCATTCCATAAAAGTGATCTGACTTTGCCCAACCAGATTTGGTTCTCATCGTTCCCCGAGACTAACCCTGGGATAACTGCCTGGAACTAGATGAAGTAAGTTACATGTATAATCATCTACTATATGCATGTATGAGATAGGTAGTAGAAAGCTTTCTAAGTTGTTGATATGCTATGTAGCTCTATCAAAGCCAGGTAGTATAATAAAGTAGAGTAAAGAAAAAGATACTTACCCAAGATAGACTGTTTCCTTCATTGTACAGATTGGTTGTTTTACATAGCAAGTGTTATGTTGATGTCTGGCTGATTTTCAATCATCTCGAAAAGGCGTTGTTGCTTCTGGCTACTAGAAACCATATCGTCCGTGCAAATTTTGAAAGATTCTATGGAGGTGAACAAATTACATTGGTAGTATTTAATTATCTAGAGATTTTTTTTATCAACCGAGTTATATCTCAATGTCTAGTCGTTTGTACCTCAAAGTTTGTTATTAGTTGTTTAGTTTTTGAAAGGTGTTTCACACTATCTAATTGCTTTTACATAGCATACATGATAATAGAATTTAGGCCTAAAATAATAACAATTCCTGACGCAGTTGACCAAAACCTGACTCTTGAGAGTCACGAGCTGCTGTCCTTCTTGACACCACTTTACTGGCTTCACACTGAGGTCAACTTCCAATTCTTTTCTTATTTCGCGATCCCCATTACCGATTTGGCATATGTAGCCTGAACTATCAGCTGCCATGCCGGGCCAGTACGCACAAGATGCTTCTGCTAAGGGCATCAATCAGCGCCTACCAAGTATAATTGGTTGGCTGTCACAATGCAACACTTTTACGGTTCTCACAAAAGCTTGTATAAAAGGTAACACCAGCAGCGATCGTAAGATCCATGTTGCCAAAGTCAACGATCATAGCAACATTGATGGAGGGTTGGAAAATCGATGGCTGATGCAACATGCATTCAACTCAAGTTCATACCTCATTATCGTCAGTCTGGGACAGTACCTATATCCAAGGCATTCGAACTTTCCATGCAAGCTGGTTTCAAGATTCCAGCATGTTCTGCGCAGGAGTTCATATATGTAGCAACAACTAGAGGAGTACCAGCGATAGGCCAAGACGACAATCTCGATAAGCTTGCCCTCATACCTTCTCATCTGACAACGATGTTGGATGATACGCTGTCATGCGAAACATGCAACAGTTCAGATCAAACTAAATCTTGGACATATGTCACACCGACGATAAGCAAACCGGACTTGAACAGTTTGTCGATAATATCGGAAAAGAAGCGGTTGCAAATACCACTGACGGGAGCACCTTATCTTCGACCTAATGCAGAACCTCTCATCCACATCCGTTCTTTCGCAAACGGCGATGTTCACAGATTCTTTGAGAATGCTTTTGAGAAAGAATTGAGCTATGCCATGAAGTTTTATGGACATGCAGGGTTGCTTCAGAGGCAATGGAATCATGGCACTTCGAGAGTGAATCGTGAGGCGACACCGGTTGAAAGGTGAGTTTGTTTCCGTGCTGTTCTCTTTCATGTCTTCTATCAAGCGATTTGTAGCTTACTATAGTAACAAAAAAAAGCCAAAAGGCTGAGGATACAAGTTGATCATTACTAGGCTCACGCTGCGGGTTATCCCTATCCTTCCACCGGGCCAGGACACATATTACTACCGTTCATTCAAATTGAAGATGGAGGAGATGGTTGAGAAAGAGATGAAAGCTAGCAAGGTATCGAAGCGAGTGGCTAGAGAGCGTACGCTTAGCGGAATCATTGACAACACTGATGACGGTGTTACTCTGAAGGAGCTCCTGGCACTATCTGGGTTTGAAACAAAGTATCCTCTCCATTGTGATAACTGCGAGGATGAAAAAATATGCATATTTTTCAATCCGCGCTTTTCTGATGGGATATCTCAATGTGGAGGCTGCTGGAAGCACTCCGACATGTGCACCTTCTCAAACATGACATACGACTTGCTCAACGAAATTCGCAAATTCCCACATTTCCGAGCATGTGTACCATGTCACAGATGTTGGAGAGAGGGAACACTCTGCAGTAAGGACCAAGGTCAATGTCTACCTGGTGAAGCGACGGGAAACATCTGCCAGCGAGAGATGTACGCATGCTATTGGGAACCAAGGGATGACTCTTTCTGCGTACCTCACTGCGACAAAGCTCATCACGACGATGGTTATCAAAATATGGTGCATCGTTCTCGAGACGATGTTGGCTCGAATGCACAAAATGTTGCCCGCGAGACCGTATGTTAAACTCATAGCACAGTTCATTAGTAGTACTGCATTAGGTTGAAAATTCCATTATTTCGTAATATTTACCTTCTAATACTGTGATTAACTACTCATATTAACAAAGTAAGATGTATTGGGTTGCTCTGCTTCGGCACAGTCCGGATCTACGTATCGGTTCTTCCATATCCTGTTTCACCTCCCTTTCTCATCATGCAGTTATTAGATGCACTACTTCATTCCGACACACTGCTTGCCCTTGATCTTCTGAGCGCATGCATTTAGCACCTTCTCATTCGGAGCTCGAAGCTTGTGAAGCACCTTCAAGGCGGTGCTGCTCAACTCCCCCCAAGTTTTTTGACGCGTCATGGTGGAAGTGATCCACCAGAAATTCCAGCAGGTCATCGCTATCATCACCAAATTGGTCTCGGAAACCAGTACCCTGAATCCTTGAAAAATTTAACATGCTCTCTTTTGACCCAGTAGAGCTGATGGCACGTTGTCCCCATACTAGCCCTTTCATACCGTCAGATCTCGGTGATTCTGTGCTGTGACATGGAACAGCAATTGCTTCAGCGTTTGTTTGAATAGTTGTTTGCCAAACTGAACACAACTGTATGCGATGAGCTGGTGGAGCCTCCGTCCAATAAATCCTTTCGCAAGATGACTGAGCATTGAGGGCAATGAAAAGAGTAGCCGGCGCTTTTTGGAACGGGGTATCCAGCCAGCAGAACCGAAATGGTGCTTGCTTCCGGATTGCTGCATTGTTCAGCGACACGGCAATAAGTGCGATTGGTGCAACTGTACTGATAGCCTCCTTGTAGTATCCACGAAGTAACATGTTCTTCTGGAACAATCTCTCAAGACAATAAATGTCGCGCAAACGACTAAGAATAGCTCGCCATTCTATAGCAGCAGTAGCGCGAGGGAGATCGTGTAGAATTTGATTCGGCGGAAACCGGGCCACTACATCTTGTGGATGTCAAAGGAGACTCTCTTGCTCCAGATCGAGCGTCGCAAGCCATTCTGTCTCAGTAGATTTGGCTTTGGTAGGTGGGGCATTTATATTCGTAGCGGTGGTGAATGAAGCATTGGCTGAAGGTGCGTTGGCCACGCCATCGATAGAGCTACCCTGCTGCGGTACCTGGTTCCGTTGATGAGCCTTGGCTATAGACTGGAGATGTTCCGGAACGATGAGATGAACGGGAAGGTCGGAACTCGAGGTAATTCTCCTGCATACTTTGCAGTCTGAATGCCTTTGTCCCTTCTTAGTCGTTCTCAGGTAAACATCGTTTGCCTCTACATAGCGCTTCTGGCATTTCAAGCAGATGACGAGGCTTGACACGTCCAATACTAGCGCTTTCGCTGTGTAGCCGTTTGGCGTATTTTGTATCTCCATAGGACTGTCTTGTTGATGATTCGGTACATATGGAAGAGAGATTGAAGAAGAGTCTATTCGGGAAGTGTAAGGACTTATTTATATTGCAAGCACAGCTATGGCAGGTGAGAGCCGGAGAATCTCCACGAGCATCCAGAATATTGAATGCAAAAGGCATGGTTCTAGGATCTACTAGCGTGAAGTATCATTGGATACAGAGGAGTAGGAACCCTCTGCCCGTTAACATATTATTCACTCAGCCACTTCACTCAACTTAATCGGCTCTTCCCAAATGGCCAACTATATCACCACGTTAAACATGCGGGTAATCTTCAGGCATCTTCTATATAAGATATCAAAATGATAAAAATAAGTAGTAAAGGTTTTGATCGGTGCACACGTTTGATTGCAATAAGCGGCCATGCTCACAGAGCGATTTACTTTTGACTCCTCGTTAACTTCTCTTGTTGTAGTCAATCCCCAAGTTCATCATCGCTAGTGCCTTTGGCAACTATATGAAGTTCATGCAACGCGTCAGTTATGGTGCCCTTGCTATGCTGGGTCTCCGTCGCGCGGGGCTACATTCAAGCGCTGAGTCCTCCCGACTTTTCTACTCCTCAATCATAAATTCAAAAAGCTGTTATCTCGCCTAGAAATGACCATCTCTATCATCTTTATAAACCTCGTAGTCGTCCTTGTTATTTGTACTATCACAAGAAGGACCAAAGGATTAATCCTGTTGCTCAAGACTATACTATGTACTAGCATTGAAATCGCTTTGATCATACTACGAAGCAGGATTTTCGTACAGTCAGTGCACTTTGTTTTAAGAGAAGCAAAAAGAGTAGCTGGCACCATCATGTCTACACATACCTATATCACAGCTGTGGCCTTCGTATCTTAAATCTCGACTCTCGATGACGGTGGCATTAGTGGTAAGGGTGAGAGCCCGGATGTGTTGACTCAATGCGTCGGTATAACAAATCTGAGCGCATTAGTATTACCAAGGCTGCGCTAGAAGAGTCCGGCAGACAGTACGTTCAAAACAGATAGAAGCTATTAGTGGAAACGTGAAGCAAGTATAGAGTTCACGTAACTAACTAGTTATATTGAGAAGATAAAAGTGAGGCCTATTTCTCTCCATAATATTCAGTTATGATATTATCACCGATACTGCTTTCCTTGAGCATTCTGTCGGCCCTCACTTGGGTAATTGTTAACAGGCTGCACATACTATTTCAATTCCTTTGGAGAAGCGCTCACCTTATCGTGGTTTTTGGAGAAGTGGCTTCTTTCCTTTACGTAGAGCTTATGCAAAGCTTGTTCGTTACACGATTAACGATGCTCATTTCATGGATAACTTTCAGCGTTGTCAATTCGATCATGCTGATCCCAACAGAGCTCACTGAGCGTATCTACCAAAGCCACATCACTTTACTAGAAAATAACCTTTCTAATCCTGCTGCAAGATTGAGCAAAGACCTGCAAGAATAGCGGACACAAGATTATTGGGCAGAAATGGATAAAGCCGCACTATTGGTATCGCAGTGTATTGGTACGTTCGAACCCGGGTACGACCTCATCAACGCTCTATTCTTTTTGTTTTGTGTTGCTCGTAGAGTTTTTGGTCGAAAGTGGGCGAAGTTCGTTGTTTTCTTAGTTTCGAGTTTTGAGTTTTGAGTTTTGAGTTTGGGTTTGAATTCGGATAAGGTCTAGGTGTGGCAAGTCACACTGATCATGAGCGATGTCCTAGGGCGGCTAACGAGAGATCTATGGAAACTCTGTGAGAGCTTATGTCACGTTGATCATATATGTATTGACTACTAGAATACCATGTTGCAGTATCACCGTTTATGAAGGAAAAATGATAGGTGGTCGCATAGGGTAGCATTTTCAACCGTCAAACACAAAAACTATTGCATGCCTATCTTCTCTTCAAAGCAAATCCTCAACTACAACTTCTCCCTCGCCATCCTCACCACCCCAATCAAGCTTCATCAGCAGCCGATCAATCCCCCCTACCCTCAACGGCTCATACGCGCCTTCGCCCAACGTGACCGAGCTCGCCGTGCCAGGTGCTGAAGCTCCGATCCTCTCACTATCGATTTCTCGTAACCGATCCACCAGCGCTTTAAGATCGCTATCTAGTCTTCGTCTCGCACGATCCATTTCGATGCTAACGTCTTTTTCTTCTTTTTGGTAGTTCTGGGCATAATCTTCTACGCCCTCGTCTTCTTCGAGGTCGAGATTCTGCTGGATCTTGGTCAGGCGCGTGATGAATGCCACTAGTTCGTCGACGTGAGTGCATAGTGTACGCAGTGATTTGGTGAAGGATTGGTCGGTTAGGAGGAGGGAGTAGGCGACTGAGGAGAGGAAACGGCGGTGGGCTGAGGCTAGGGCTTCGGGATCGTGCTGTTGTTGGGTATTGGCGTCGATTGTGGATTTGCGGAATCTTGAGGAAGAAGGGCGGCTGGATGGTGCTGTAGGTGGGTCTGAAGGGGTTTGTGGGCCAGCGACCCAGGTGATGAAGTGGCGGAATGTTTGCTGGACTACGGTTCCATGAAAATAGGCTTCGCTTTCTGCTAAGAAGAAAATGGCAGCTGCACACGTGGCCCAGATTTTTCGCATGTCTTGCGACCTTTTTGTCGTCCGTTGGCGGCGTCGTTTGAGTATTGCTCTTCCGTGCGCAGAGTTGCTGTATTGATAGCCTGGGGGACATGGATAATCTCTCCGTATAGAGCTGTGCCTCCATAGTTCAGCCAAGTGTAGGTGAGCCCGTCTGACTGCAAGTAGACAAGAATTGATCGAAGAGTAGACATCAAGGTCTGCCTTTGTTAGGAATAGATCGAGGGGTGATCGAATGTCCATCGAGAGAGATGTCGGCACAGATAATAGCAGCTCGTCGAAGGATAGATTCGGGAGCTGTGGAAGCGTAGAGTCTGCATCCTTGGCACGTCCCGGCGTTCCAGGGCGGTGGCTGGAAGACCCGTTTACACTTAGATGTAGTAGCTGTGTTGCAACATCCAGGATATCGTCCGTATGTTCATCCTCGCTAGAGAGTGTTGAAAGAATGGAGAAGGAGCGCATAAGGATATGGTTGATCTCCGCTTCTTTGAGTAACACACCCTTTACTGACTGGCTAGACTTTCCTGACAATGAATTGCGGTGTCGCGATGACATCTTATCGTCTGCCTCAGCAATCAGTGTTAGGGCGAATTCACCCCGACCGATGAGGAAAAACTGATGCAGAACGGTCAAGGTCTCAACGATCTTCTCGCGTGGCAACAAGTGTTGCAGAAGGTTTCGTGATAGCGACAAACGGATATTCGCGACAGCTTCAGAAAGCTTCGCTACTGATATCGGCGCTGTGACTTCAGAGAGTTGCTGAACATGCTTGGGTAGCAGATCAAGCTCTGAAAGCGAATTGGTAGCGTCCAGTGCCTTTGCCGCTGATGGTAGCGACCGGATCTGGTTGATCGACTTTCCAACGAACAAGATTGAAAGAGCAGTCTGCCTTGTCACAAACTTGGGCAGCAACTTGCTCTGCAAGATGAAAATCTGCTCCTCGGCATCTTCGTCATCCTGCTGAATAAAGAAATCAATGCGACACGAAGGCAGGCGACCGTATAGCAACCATGTCGATAGTTGCCGTAGCCACGATGTTTCTGCAACCTTACTCAGGCCATGCGATGCCTCTTCGATGTCAGGAAACCCAGTCTGCGCCTCCGCACGCAGCTTGTCAATGATTCCAGCACCTGAAGCGGATTGGCTAAGCATTTTCTCGATTTTGTAAGAAGCTTCCGCAGGAATCATATAGTTGGTGATGTCCCAGAGCCACTCCATGACCCTGACCCATTCCGAAAATTCGCTGACGACCCCGGCAAGTGGCACAATGTTGTACGCGCCGACAGTCGAAGCATCTTGTTTAAGGATGCGGCTCTCAACATCAAGTATCTTCTGCTGAAACTGTTCGAGGTGATGTGATGTGATTGAAGTGGCGACTGCTCGACAGATGATGGAAGGGTGAGAAGCGGCAATCCAAGCAGCATGGTCGCGCAGTTTCCGGTGTAGCCTGGAAAGATGGCCGATTGAAGACAACAGTTCTTTTTCCGATGGGGAGAGGAGACGATCAGCAGTCGAGGTCACGTGGCCCGGGGCATCGAAGAGCGGGGATGGGTGTCCGGAGAGCGAGAGGAGGAGTTCGTGTAGCATGGCCGCGGCAATGGCAAGTCGCTTGTTCTCGGGCGAGATCGCGTCTTTCGCGACGCAAGACGCTGGCAAAACACTATGAGCAAGCTCAAAAGCTCGAACCGACACATTTAACGCGTCACGCTGCGCGCACGTCTCGATACGGATAGATTGGGTATGGTGGGATGGAGGTCAACAATCCCCGCGCTAGCGACAGACGCTCAGGCACCGCAGTTCACGATACTGTGCAGGGAGCAACTCTCGACAACCACAACGCAGTGACCCTTCACAAGGTTTGACAAATATGAATTTACCTGAAACGACCATCGCGCAAATACCTTTGGGACATGTACACGACATCCGTGATATTGCATCATCTGATCAAACCCGTCTCGTTACACCTTTGACTCGGTCACCCGGCCGTGGAATAAACCATATTACTCCAACGAATCAACAGGGACACATTCTGGTACACATCATCTTATAAACTATGCAGTCTAACTGTTATGAGAAAATGACGACAATTCAGACTTCCGAGCGCATTTGAGAGTTGAACATGGATGTGTCGGTTCGCTTACCCGCTATACTTGAAGATGGTCGAGCAACTATCATCGTTTTCTTCGTCTAGAATCCTTCTACCGAGTATGAAAGTGAATTCGAGAAACCCGAGAACAGAACGGGCACATCCAACGAAAGATTGGGAAGTACGGCGTGACTATCAGAGAAACTGGCCTGCGTGAGTATCAAAGCCGATATGGTCATCACATTGCACTGATGAGACGTGACACCCGTCTGGTACGAGTGATGTTCACGTGACATTGAAAACCTCTGTGTGAACGGCCGCATCATGGAATAGTTGAGTTCTACCCTGTCTTTTACGTATACTTAAAATGGACCTCGTCGCTTCTTTTGCTTGTTCAGTTCACAAGATACATCAACATGAATGCCCTCGACTTCCTAGTGGAATTTGTTCATCTCGCAAGCACCTCAGACCATTTACTTCCGCAGCACAACCAAAACCTCAACACCTCCAAGCATCCGATATGCAACACAGGAACAGATGTGCTGACTTCAGCATACCCCAGAGCTTATGAGCAGTATCATTTCGCACAGCAAGCACCGGAACAACAACCTATATGCAATTTCCCTACAGATACGCTATCTACGCAACACATGTTTTCGGTGTCAGCAAGTCATTTGCCTGACCGCAATATCCCCAACTTTGAACATCACGACATACCCCATGTTTCAATAGAGCATGATGATCACACGTCGCAGACATTTGTTAGATACCCTCAGAAAGAGCAGATGAATGAGTCTTCTCACGAAACAATCTCCGTTATACCACAAGCATACTACCAGCAGTCAAATGGCCATGTACCATGGACTACAGACTACGAAGCCAGCAACACCCAAGTCCCTATCCTGAACACGCGGTACGACCCTCAAACACTATACATCTTCCAGCCAACCCACCAACAGGAACCCCACTACGTATCCTTCTCCGAGGAAGTCTCACCCGTCCAGATCCACTGTAACAACAGCCTCTGCGGATGCTGGGTCCAAAAACCACAAACCTATCACCCGACAGAAAATACACGGCCGCCCTGGAACGCAACTCAAGCCCCATATGGTCCCGAAGTCCCACCCATCTACGGTGACCGGACACTAGAATCTACCAGGAGGTCCAATTTCAGCACTGTCTAGAACACCCCCCCTCCCACCAATCTCACCACACCATCTCAATCTTCCAGCCTACCTATTCCTCTACTAGCACCGCCAACTCCGCTACCGTACAAGTTCAACCTCAAGAATCCAAATGTAGAGCATTACAACACGTCGTTTTAATCCTGGAGGTCCTGCAGAGTGATGTGCGTGCATGTTTCCTTTTGCAGATTAAGGACTTATTTAGGGATAGTGGCTACAAAAAAAGGACTTAGATTCAGGCTAGTATGTAGGAGGAGTTTGGGGGGATTTAGATTTGCTGCAGATGTAAAAGTGTGACTGGGTTAGAGATTAGAATGGTTGAGGTTAAGTGGTTTGATGGATGTTGATTTACACATCTCTCTGTAAGATGGGATGCTTGGTATGTTTGTTTTGTGCAGGAGATCTTGTCGGGATATCAAGTGGATATCATTGATATTAGTGTTCTGTGTTTACGAATTATACCATGTGCAGAGATCAGTACAGTAGTACTGCCACATTCTTATTACTTCACATCCTCAAGCACATCACATGTCAGCACACATATATTGGAGACAGTACATAAAGTTTCCAGAATATTATTAGCAGTACATGAATGCTCTAGTTTCGTCCCATTTCCGCATCCATGAAGTCACATCCCTTCGTATCGTTCAATACCCATACTCGCGTCCAGACGCCCGGTATGGCAAGAGGAGACGAACGAAAGTCCAAGGAAAATCTCCTAACGCAGACCTGGAAACTGAAATATCGCATGTAAAGCACGAGTGAATGCTTAGCAATTGGAAAAAAAAAGAAGAAAATAAAAATTGGGAGTACACTGTCTCCCGAAAAAAGCGACCTTGTGTTCCACTCAAGCGTTGTGGTACAAGACGCCGCAGAGTTTACTGTTTTTGAAGAAAATGAGGTGTGGATAGTGTTCTTGTTATGATGAGTATATCACAACAGTCATGTATCTGCATGACGGGGCTCAAATTTTGATACCATCAAGCGAGAGTGTCAACACAGTCTAACAGTGTTACAGTGAACAAAACACTCTTAGGCCGCTGCAAGTTTTGCCCATGTCGTGGGCTGATGGGTTGACGGTGTACGGGTGTTGCTGTTGCTAGACCATGATTTCGCCCCCGACGGATGAGTAGTACTGTTGCTCGTATATGAGCGGTCAGCCTGACTTTGCTGCGACACCTTACGCGGGCGGTCCTTGGTCGCGTTGGAAAAGGCTGCATTCGGGCTGCCGGCAGGCTTGGGCTTGGCCTGTCGGTTGAGCTTGGGGCCGTAGTGCTTCCTCTGCACAGACTTTGTCACGGGCTCTCGCATATTGGCAATCCGTATGACTACGTCGAACTTACCCTTGTATTGGGCAGTCTTCTCAATGTCAAAAGCTTCAAGTCGGCGAATCGTAAACGGGTTCTCGAACTTCTTGAACTTGGGATGCTGTTCATCTTTAGGAGCAGCCTTTGGCGGCTGGTCCGCCGCAAGGTGAGAGATCTTGGACAGTCTCACTGTGGGTAACGAGCCAAACTCCCGATCTTCAAAGAGAGCCTCAGCGCCTTTGCGAGTAATCACCTCGCTACCGCGATCGTTTGAAAACGGGTTTCTCTGTGGAGTGGTGGGGAGAGATACGGTGGCAGGCCCCGTGCTCCCGCGAACATCAAGTGAAGCCTTGGATAATGCAGCTGGAGCGACAGCGCCTTGCTGGGGAACAACTGGAGGCAATGATGGGTTGACGGGGTTAGACGGTGGACGAGTGGACCCGGGTTTGTCGAGAAGCTTGTTAAACCTAGCCTGCCATTCCGGGTTCATTGCGAGGGGCCGAGCACCCAGAGCCTGTCCACGCGATGGCATGGTTACTTGGGCAGTAGGGGATGGACCAGTGCCTGACGCCGATGGAGGCAGACGTACAACAGGTGAAGGCTTCGGCAATCTAACCAGCGGATGGCCCGCATCGCTGCTGAAGACGGGGTGCGTTTCTGTCTCCGGTGGAGGTGGAGGAGAGTCGGCCTTGTTTGAAGCATGCGTAGCTGAAGATGACATTGCGTCTAGCGATGACTCGGTGGGTCGAGGAAAGAATCGGGATGCGCGAGAGCCAGTGGCTTGCTGGAGGGTACCTTGACCAAGGACTTGTTGCGGCGATTGGCCTTCGTTGACAGGTTTGGGAACATCGTCCTTCTTCAGGCTGTCGACAAGAGCAATGTCAGGAACAACTTTGTCGTGCAGCGTAACCTGTGCTTGGCCCCGCTGGTCCTTGTAGGTCTCTCGCAACTCGGGGCGGAAACCCTCACCCTGACGGTCTCGCTCCTGTCTGCTTCTCGCCAAAGCCTCTTGGTCATCCTTGAGGATCAGATCACCGAAAGTATCCCAGCCGCCGCCGGTGATGGGCTTGACAACCCTGCCCGACCTTGAAGGTGGAGGGGGCTGTGCATGCGGAGTTCGCTGCTGGAACATTGGTTGTGAGGCAGGCAACTGTCGAGTTGACTGTGGTGTAAGACTCTGGGGAGCGATGGCTGTTCCAATCGGGGCTGTTGCAGGTGCTTGAACAGGAAGTGGCGGCTGGGTTCCAGGACGAGACTGGCCTCGATAACCAGAGTCGAAGGTACCGTTGCCCAGAGCTCGGTCTTTTGCTTGCGGTGGTCCCCAAACTTGCGAGGTCCAAGGTCGAGGTTGAGGTGCTGTTGCAGGCGACCAGGCAACTGGTGGACCCTGAGGCCTAGGCCCAGAAGGGGCAGCCCCGTCTGTTTGGTGTGCAGCGGCGTCAGAGTGAATGGCCAACCTAGACTTTTCACTGTCACGAGCAAGCGAGTCAAACGGCTGCGCAGGCTGCTGCTCCAACGAGGGCGCGGGTGCAGAAGGCGCCTGCTGACCTGGCCGGGCGTGCTCTGTTTGAGGCGATTTCTTGACTGGGTGTGGCTGGTGCACCTTCATCATGCCATATTGAGTAACCTCGCCGTCCGCAGTCGGGATAGGTGGTTTTGGCGGTGATTGCACAGAAGATGCCGCCGTTTTCTCCTTCTGCACCGGCTTCTCAGGCCGAGAGGGAGACTGTTCCTTGGCCTTTGGCTTGGATTCAGGTGGACCCATAGCAGCAAGCTTCTTCGCAATGCGCTCTTTCCTCTCTGCCTCGGCTCGCTTCTCTGCCTCCTGATCTTGTTGCTTCTTAAGACGAGCGCGCTCAATCTTCTCAGCCATGAGACGTTTCTGTACCTCAACAGGGTTCTCCACAGGCGGCGCCTGTACTGGCGCTGGTGCATCCTGCATGGCAGGTGACGTGACGGAGCCATAAGGCGAAGCGGGGTGTGCGTGTGCAACGTTCGGGGATCTCATCTGTTGGAAAGGCGAATTGCGAGAAGCCACAGACTCGGCATGGTCGTAACCGTTGATGGAATGCGATTCGCGACGTTCCATGTACATAGGACCGGTGGGCATGTCTGGTGCTCGTGGATCTATCGACATGCGTCTAGGCATACCCCCACTAACGTTTGAAGAGTTCCTTCGCCTACCCCATGCAGGGCCGTCCGCACTTGCTCTCGATGTCTGGAACGCAGCTGACGGTTCTGCTGGGCCGTCCTGAGCGGGTCTCTGCAGTAACGAAGGTTGCTGTCGGAAGCCACTGTCGCGCCCACCGCTTCTCCGTGCATCATTGTGAACAGGTTCATATCGACCGCTTTGCGAGTTGAAAAGCTCCCTCCCATCTCGGGCATCGCGTCCACCGTTGTCATTTCGCCATGAGCGATTGAAGTCGTCGGGAGCAATCTCCTTGGTAGGTTGCGGGGGCATGCTGTCGTAACCATGGGATTCTCGCTGCGAGTAACGCAGAGGAGGTTGTTGTGCGGGGGGAGGATTGATCTGCGCAGGAGATACTTTCTCAATCGGAGGCAACGGCGCCCATGGTGATTTCTTTTCGGTCGCCGATGGTTTGGCTACCAGTGTCGGCTTTTCTGGTTGGCCTTTGAGGACGAGACTCGATTTTCCGGTAGGTTGTGCATGTGCTCCAGGTTTCAAAATAGTCTTGTTACCTCCAGTAACGCTAGGCTTGGGTAGATTCGCAGTGGGGGCGGGAGATGTTGAAGGTTTCGGTGTCTCGGTGGGTACTTCGGGCTTGAGTATCGTCTTTGGCTCCTCGGCAGGCACTACTGGGGTTTCTGGCTGCACTGCAACTGAAGATTTTGTCCCGTCCATCCACTGCACAGTTTCCGGAGCCCAGTCATCTTCGTCATCGTCGATATCCGCCCACTTGGCTTCTTTGCCTGCCTCGTCTGCCTGCAAGCGTGTCGCAAGGTGGATTCCGTACTGCTGCTTCAGCTCTTCGTCGGTGAATTGCTTTGGTGGAGGTGGAGGTACTGGCTGGTTCTTATTCCAGACTTTGCTCGCATCTGGGCCTGCGCCCGTGCCGTTGGCCTGTCCGAGCGTACGTGGAGTGTTGTTAGCACCTGATTTCGCGACGAGGCGGGGTTTTGCCGAAAGCACGTTGGAAGTCTTGAGGGATGCAGTAGGAGTCGCTTTATCGCCCGGTCGCGCAGCGGGAGTTGATGTAACCGTTTTCGCCAGAAAGCTCTTTGTCACAGATACCGACTTGAAGGGTTGCTTCTTCGCTGCTGAGCTGGTTCGCACATGACTTCCATCCCGCTTCGACTGATCAACACTACCAGGACGGCTAATGTCTGTATCCGAACCACCGCTTGCGTCAGCCACAGCCTGTGAGTCGGACACCGAGAGTTCGCTGGATCCCACTGCAAGGTGGGGCTGTGTAGTCTCATGCTGTGACGCGCCTAACTGCTTGTTGTCGGCCTGCCACTGTCAATGCCACCTCCATACCCCTAATCGTCGCTACTTACAGCTGTCGCTTGTCCTTGGGTCTTCTGCGATACGTGTACACTACCAGCCGAGGCTGTATCAATGCCGTTCGCAGTGGGTTTGGTGGAGGGCGCTTCGGACGGAGTGGGTTTTGTGGTCGCTGTGCCCGAGGGCGGGTCGCCATTAACGGCGGGGTCGTTGGTAGTTGATGCAGATTCGTCGATGGGCGCCGAACGTCCCACCGACTGTGCTTCCTTTACCACATCGTTGGCAACCTGCTCTGCCATAACAGTTTCCGGAACTGCGGTGGCGCAAGAACCAATGTCAGAACTATGCTTGTACTCGGGTTTGGACGAGGACATTGCGTGAGCGGCGTCGCCCGGTGCGAGTCGACTCTGGCCGGTTGCCCGCGATCGCTCATATGCGACCTGTGAGGTAAGAAAAGTTGAAAGTAATCACCTAGTGTCAGATGCTTAGAGTCGCCACAGGTGTCAAGTGGGCGCTTCCGCAGAGTCGATGTCTGCAAGTTGGTTGCTTTCGAGGACGGGTGGTGCGGAGGGTTTCAAGGGTTTCGAGGCGGAGCTGGCGGGCAGAGCGGGCTGGTGGGTGGGCTGGCGGGCAGTCGCGAACACGTGTAAAGTCGCGCTGTTTGTACCGGATGACGAAGAGTCGTGGCCAGATGGGAGAGATTGGGTACAAGGAGCCCTTTGGCGGCGGGGCGGATTGCGGGTGTAGATCGGTGTATAGGAGGTTGAGGCGAAGTGTAGCCACGATGGTGAGAGGCGCTAGTCTTGGCACGGGCTGGGGCCTTCTTTGTATGAAGTCCCAGAGTATGACGAGGGCCTATGCACATCACATCCATAGTATACATAGTGCCACATTTAATCATTCACGCATGTGATATTCACAGGGAAGTTGGAGCGAGCAATGCAAAGGCGCAGATAGCCGGCAAGACAGGATCACACGGACATGGCGCAACCGCCACGTGAGAGACCATCATTGCTCCAACCGATATGACTGTGCGATCGGACACGTCGCAGATTTCTGACGATACATGTCATCTAGACGTCTGTATGCAAACAGACCATCTCGCCATCGCAGTTAGAGGGCATTATCCGAGGCGGCGCAGCCTGTTGCATGTTGAAACATGGGCTGAGCAAAAACACAATCAAGTGCACAAAAAGAAAGACTGTCTTAGCAGAGTGCTTGATTCCATCTACACTTTACTTATACAAGTGCTGTCTATCCGGCCATGGTCATCCAGCGCATCTCAAACGAGCAGCTTAATGCTCGTTGTTCTTGTGGTGGCCTGGGAGCTGTGAGTCACATCGCCTCATTTATGCAGCTAGTCAAACTTACGGAGATGGAAGTAGTAGTTCTGGGCGTAACCGAGCGCAATCAGGAAACCAATAACGTGGACGAGCGCTGTGCTCGGTTAGTTTCGTGTTTAATATGCCATGGTTTGCGCTTTGGTTCGCAGCTGCTCTCGTTTCAAGCGACCACAGATGTACTTACGCCTTCCTGATGGGTTCTTGCCCATGTGCTTCTTCGCGTAGCGTCCGAGAAGACCCTTGGCCTCAGGCTCGGGGGCTGGGCCACGAGGCAGCTTCTCGTAGAAGTTGACGACCTTTTGCATGCGAACGGCATTGGGGGAAGAGCCGATGGCCTAGTGGGTGTATCAGCTTTCGTGGTGTTTGGGATGGGTTGAGCTATGGGCGTGTAATGCGATTCGCTTGAGCAACCGGGATTGTGGGCGAAGTTCGTGGTGGTTTAAAGCATATGCGATCACGGTCGCGGGTGTTTGCAATATCGCAGGTACATTCCTTGGAGAATTGGAGCTCTTACATTAGGAGAGGCAATCTGTGGAGCATTATCAGCACGATGCGCAAGAGGAGGGGCGGGTAGAAAGCCGGACCTTGGGGGGAATGAGGGTCGAGAGACCGCGCTTGGTAATGAAGCTCATCTTGACGGCTGCGACTCAATTAACATCAATTGCCCTCTCTCGACGTATCGGTCTGTGTTCGGGCGGCGTACCAGGGCGGGCAAGATGATGGAGTGGAGATGGAGGTCGTGCGGTCGGTGGTGAGGTTCGAGAAGAAAGCTGCAAGACGGATTATGCCGGCGCTTTTCGCCAAGGAGCCACCCCAGCTTCACCTCATCGACATCACCAACACCCGCGCCCGCCACATCGACTCTGCAACCACCATGTCTGCACTACCCAGGTCAATTGCATCGCGGGTGCTTGCGCCTGCCCTGCGGTCCTCTGCCACCAGAGTCGCCGTCCCTTCGTATCGCGCGTATTCGACAAACGAGCCCACTCCGCATGCACACAAGACGAGCCCCGAGGATGCGCCCGCAGTAAAGCTCACCAGCTCTTCCACCCAGATTCGCGAGGAAGGTGCCGCCGAAGGAATGAGGAACCGTCCAGATTACAATGCTGCTGTCGATTACCGCGTCTCGTGCGTCACTCGCGATCCCGGAGCACCATGTTACATAAATGGCTAACATTCCCTAGCAACTTCTCCCCCATCCCCAAGCGTGTCATGGATGGAAGTGAGCCCGGTGAAAGCGTACCCGCCGCTGTTCTTTCAGGTGCCCCAACCGACCTTCAGGCACGCACTGTCCGGTACGTCGGCCCCACCCATTTGATATCAAGAAGCCATACTAATACCTCCCAGCATCTACAAGCCCTCGAAGACAGCTACACAGTCTGGCACCTGGAACGCATCACACTGGCTTATGGACTGGGATGTCCTTCCCAAGGGTCACCGATGGGAGAACCCGCTCATGGGCTGGCAGTCATCTGCCGACTTCATGAATGGACACAGGATCGAGTTCAAGTCCAAGGAGGATGCCATCAACTTTGCCAACAAGCAGGGCTACGAGTACTTTGTCCAGGAGCCCAACAAACGGAAGTTTGTCCCCAAGGCCTATGCCAACCTCTTTACTCACAGCCCCAAGAAGCTCAAGATTGTATTGACCAAATAAGAGTTGGATTCAGGGGTCAAGGAGCAGCATATGTTTATACTCGATCAACTAGAATTTCGAATATTTTTACGTATCAATGTCCAGTTGTGGTTGCTGAGTTGCCTTGATGTTTGGACACAGCGGGCCCAAAGTGATACTGCTTGCCTTTGGAGCGCCTGCATTCTGTGTATGTTCTAAATGCACACACAGGTCATCACTGTACCTTCCTATCATGTGTTCTCTTACCTCAAATATTTACCTTGTTGGCCATATGAACTTTCTTACATTCTCATCTTCATTCATCCCACATCAGTATCAATTCACCGTCATCCAGTCTCGCTACACAATACCCCTCTCACCATTAATACGCACTTTCACCCCACAAAATCAAAGCCGGAACTCACAAAAAAATATTATCAAACCTCAGTCGACTCATCTCCGCATCCCTATCCCATCTGTCATCCCAATCAACACAACCCCAAGTTGCACCCAGCACCCGCAGCTCCATCCGCACACTCCCCACACATCTATATACCCCCAGCCCCAAGAAGCTCAACAATGGGCCGAGCAGGCTACGACACAACCTACGTCTGCACGACGACCGACTCTGCCGCAACCACCGCAATCGCAATGGCAGATGCCCAACGCACCAAAGACGCCGTAAGAACCAAAACAGCGAACGATAGCCAAACTAACCCAACCAGCCACCATTAATCCTCCCCCTCTTCCCCATTTCAATTCCGAAAAAGAAAACCACCCTCCACAAGGGAAGAAAGTGTGAAACTAGAATACGTCGCTAACCCTTAATTGCCCCCCCAGAAAACCGCAGAGCAACAAGCATCAGCAGCCAACGAAGCAAAGCTCATCAAGAACAAGCATTCGCGCGGGATCGTGGTATGTGTATCTTCCGAAGAAAGATAGTACTGGTGGTAGTGGTGGTGGTGGGTGATGAAAGAATGAAGGGGGCTGAGATAAAGTCAGGCTGCGCGATTGGCGATGCAGGAAAAGACTACTTCTGCTGCGGCGAAGAAGCAGAGTGGGAGTGGGAATTCTTGATTCTACAGAAAGCAGCGTAAAGAATTGACTTTGCATCTTTGCACAAGACAAAGACAGTTTGGGGTTTTGCAAGTCCAGGGGGCAAAAAAAAGGGGGGGGGGCCAGAGGAGTGTTGGTTGCGCAATCGCACTTGGTCGTTTCGAAAAATGGTCGCTTTGGAAAAAGTGCTGTTGGTCTTTTCTCCACGAAGCCGAAGAGAAGAACGAGAAAAAAAAAGGTGGAGTCAGATGGACAAATAGAGCACTGTATCAACACCACTAATCCTAATACTTGTCAGGAAAAGACGAAATGAGAGAGGCCGTGACTTCATAAATTATGCCAATTAAAATGCTACAAATAAACGAACAAAAAACAACAGAATATCTTATACTCTATTCCTCCACCTCACACTAACAGTTCTAACCCTCTTTGCCGCGCTAACAGCTCGAATCGCATCTCTCGTCGGCCCAAAGAATTTGGCAGCCATCTTCTGTACGCCAGTAGACAAATTGGGATGCTCGCCATCATCCGTATCCCTGACGGCATCGAAGCCAGAAAAGTTGTCGACAAAGCGGACGGGGCTCGCGGCTGTATTTTGCGTAGCTACGTATTTTGCGATTGCGGCGTTGAGGTCCTTGATGCCCTGCACAGGGGTGGCTTTGAAGCGAGCCGGGTCCAGAGGAAGTAGGTTGGAGAAGATGATTTGCATTCTGCTGTTGCTGGCGCGCATTTGGGAGATGAGGACGTCGTAGGCAGCGAGGATCTGGATGATAGGTTTTTGGCCGATGAGAACGTCGTTGGTGCCAATGAGCATGATGATTACATCCGGGGGGTTCTGCTTCAGTTTGGTAACCAGGTTCGTGCTAGCAGCCCAGGTAGTTGCTTGAGATCCGGGGTGGCCTTCGTGGTCTGGGTCAATGTTGGTGCCAGAGCATGTTGGTGCTGTTTGACTGCCGACAAACTCGAAGTTGTTGATACCCGCAGCTCGGAGAGAAGTTTGGAGGTTTGCGCGCCAGCATCTCTAAGATTTGAAGTTAGTACGTGGAACTGTATATACGAGAGATTGAATGTCATGACTTACTGAGACAATGGACGCCCCAAAAGGCATTATCCTGACGGCTCTTTGCGCGCATACTTCAGTCGTTAGACTGAGAAGCCCAAGAACCAGAGCACCGAGTTTGACCATGATGTACGACGGGTGATCCAAGGTTGACCGGGGGTGCAAGAGGTTTTGGAGGACTCCTTGTTCCAGAAGCACTCTTCGAAAAAAGGCAAGCCGCGATTGAGTGGCTATATACCGCGCACAGACGATGGTTGGCGTCAAATATGGTTTCGTAACTGGCCGCCAAAGGATGTCAGATGTCCGTTTCCCTGGGATATTGGAAAATGGATCAAGATCCTGTGGTAATACGAGGAGCCGGAGTAATTTAAACTGCTTTCACAATTTTCGAACGGGCGGGACGACGGAGTGGCTATACCCTGCGTCGATCCTGTAGTGAGACTCAAATATAGAGCTTACAATAAAGCTAGGGCTTGGTTCACAGCGATAAGTCCAAATAGGGGAAGGGTAAATTGCAGAGATATTGCAGTGAATTGTAGCCTGGAACAAAAAGACCCTCGGCCAGGTGAAAAGTGCTTCTTATATCCAAGTCTCAGACGAGGCGGAGAAGCGCACGGCAACCTGACTACATGTTCATAGCCCACGCACCCCCCCACCCCACCTCCCCCTTGCGCCCATGGGCGTCACTAGAAAAACAACAGCGAGGTTGTGGAGGGGGTGCATGACTTGGGTGGCGTGCGACGTGCGGCGCGTAGTGCATCTGTTGCTGTAATATTAGAAGGAAGCGGCGGTGCCTGGCTGATGCAGGGCCGGGTTGGCAACCCTGTAGGTACGTACTCCACTTTGAGCCTAGACAAGGCCTGGTAAGGCTATCTGACCGCTAAGGAATTTAGCACGGTTAATCTGACGTTGGCGGTGGATGCCGAGGGGGGAAGAGGACAAGGGAGGCGGACTGTCAGATCATAAGTGTGATGACAGTGTTGCATCTCCTGCGACCTGCGTTCTGAGAAGCCCATGTTGTCATTGCTCCAGACGCTGGAGGTGTTAACGTTACAAACATGACAGAAAAGCAAACGGGTAAACAAAAGACCATGCGCCATGACGATAAGCGGGTCGACACAGACCCCTTTGGCATTTGATTAACAATGACTCTGTTTACTCTATTTTTGAGCAGCTTGACAGCAAGTTGAAAAGCCACGGAGTCTCGGTCGGCCTGGCCTCGGGTTCCATGGATTGAGCTAGCCTGGCGTCGTTGTGGACTGCCGAGATTGAGTTAGACACATAGTTTGTCGGCAATTTGAGATAAACAATATGGATAGTTGGTATGCAAGGCGCATGCACGTGTGTGTACTACATGTGCAAGAGGTCGGCGCAAGCGATTTCGGTGATATTGTATGGCTGTCAGTGGAATCGCCCGTGCATGCCAAAGGCAACAAGCGCGATGCACCGCTTGATGCCGCGGCCGCTCCGATGACAGTAGTGAAAACCTTGCCGTATGGCTACAGGCCTGAATGGGGTGAGGTTGACGTTTTACTTCTTCCTCTTGCTCTGCCGTCATAGGGCTCTTCCCCCCAGGCCGCTAACATACGCGATGCACTATCGGTTGCACGCGACTGTTCCTGGCCCTCCGTCAATTTGACATTGTCGCAGAAATCAGTCTGACACATCCACTCCGCCCGTTCCATTGCGCTACCGCCAAGCATCGCAGTCTCCATTATTCCAAGAGCGCAAGGAATGAAAGGCGAAGGAATCTAGACTTGGACCCGCAACCGTCGCGGCCTTGTCGCTTAAACGAGTACGTGTGTATACCGAAGGGGACGTTCATTGCCCGAATAGGAACTAGACTTCTGCCAATAAAGGCAAAGATGGACACACACCCACCGTTCTGGATCCAGCAGAACATGACAAGGCGTATTCCGTGGCACCCCGTTTTACGCAGATTGCGCAGCGGAAGGGTCCATACGAGAATTGGCTTTTCCTAGGCTCGGCTGTGGGCTCGTATTCGTACAACACATGGCCAGACTCCCACCAGGCCGTGGGCTCGTCAGCCAGCCTTGCTCTGACTTTTGCCGCTTGTATAAAGATCGACACTGTTGGCTGCATGTCAACATACGCATGCGGGGTAGTGAGAACAAGTAAAGAATGGAGTTCAACGGTACTAGACAAGTGCTTGTCATCATCCAAATGTCGTGACCAGACGTTCTTTTTTTCGGGCGGGAGATCAGGCCTTCCTTCTAGCGTCAACAATGACAACTGGATTACGACACGTGCACGAATTATGCTGACTTTACATATCTTGTAGCACTCCAGTATCCGGACTTCCGCAGTCGAGATCTGCCGTCAGATCAGACACAGCAGATAAGATGCAACAATTGCGAGAATTGAAAAGCCGTCAGCCAGGCCACCACTGCTATGTGCATGCACAGTCATATTGAGATAACCACCACGCCTTGCATACGTTGAGTACATACTCAGCCCACTCTGCATGCAGCAACACCACGAGAAGAGAAAAAAAAGACCCGCAAAGTCTCAAATCCGCAAGCGAAAGAGAAAAACGTACTATGATTCAAGACTCAAGTATTGCCACCACTAATCGCACGACACATATCGATAGACATACAATAGTAGTACAGAATCAGCTCACGGTAATAAAGTGTGGCGCGCATATCCAACAGGGCTCCCCCCCAAACAGTCGCGCCCCTTCGTCTTTGTGGCTTGCCTACAACATGCGCCCAAGCCCGCACCCGCAGAACAAACCCCCAACCGGAAAAGCTTGACCGTAGCACTGCATCGAGCTTAGCAACAGCTTCCGAGCCCACCTCGGCTGGCTTGTCTCGCACCATGCAACTATGCTCGATCAAAATCTCACTCGACGCTGCAAGTCGCTGGGACATAGCCACCCACCACTGCATTGCAATGTCTACTGTGTTTCTCACTTACTTTGCTCACCTACATACTTACCGCAGCATAAGTCCAGCACAGCACAGCACAGCACAGCACAGTAAAGTAAGCCTGTCTGTCCACACACACACCCCACCTGAAACACTTCCCCTCCCACTTTCTGTCTCACCTCGTCACATCCGCGGAAAAAAAAACACCCCAAGCCTATGTCCTCAAAGCTTAACCTCCCGCACCCCACCCAAAAAGCCAAACCCCTCAGATATCCACAAAGGGGGGTTCTGCTGCTGTGAGGTCAGGGGGGAGAGACAGTTAGTAAAAGTGGATAAAAAAAGGGGGGGAGACAGAGATGACAAGCAAAGTGTTTCAACAGAACAGGCGTTCGGAGCTGTGGATTCACGAAACAGCGTGGGCGTCGCGTTTGTTTCTTCGGTGGGGTTAAACGGACGTATAAGGAAGTGATAGGGATGATGTACGTATATTGACGAAACTTCACCCTGGTATAAACTACTGAGTTAGGTGATGGAGATGATACTCATAAGAATGTATATGGGTGTTGGTTGTATAGGTAGGGGTAAGAAGGGATGGAGGGTAAGTAGGCAAGTATACGCGAGGGGGGTAGGTTTGCCGAGGTTGATACAATGATTCATGGATTGTTAGCCCTAGGTTAACTATGATGGATAGTAAGTGTGAATGTGATGAGGTTTGAAACATTAGGTACGCGAATGTGATACTGTGTTCTTGACTCGGAAGTTTAAGTATGTAACAGTATGATGTTACTGCGTAAGGACTACATGGGTGGACGAGTACATTGCTGGGAAATAGCGACAGGACATGGTGATGGGGTATGTAAGTACCTGATATGAAAGATGGGTTGATATAGCAGGGAAATTTGCGTCTGAGCATTCAGAGGTGCTGACGAGTCCGCCGCCGTTATGATAAGACTCGGTTGTTGCTCTTTGTTCCTTCTCTTCCTCCTGCCCGGTGCTGAATCTCGAGTACATGTCTGATTCACTCCGCGCTCTTCCCAAGAGGCAGCCCCCTACCAGACGCAAGTATACTCATGCTTTCAGAAAACGCATCCATCTCCCCCGAACCGCTGCAGTGAGTTCCATCAAGACCGTACGTCTGCGGATGAGGATCATCATAGAGAGCGTAGTTGATGAGGGCACGATGATTCGACAACTCGCAATCTTCGCGTGTCTGCCTATACTGTGCTTCGGGAATGATAGAAACACTTGCATTTACTGAAGAAAGCGGGTCGACGTCTATATTGTCGTTGTCGGTCGCGTTCTCTTTGTCGTCATGTTCGTAGTTAAGTGGCGAAACAGTGTGTGCCTCACGAGCTAGTGGGTCCGCGAGCTTCTCGTTGAAGATGGTAAAAGGTTGACTTGAAGAGACTGGCCAAGCATCTTTGTCGTGACGGAAGCATCTTTTTCCCGGGGACAAGTGCAACGAGTCAATGCTGTCACTGCGGTTGATATCATTTTGCGGATTGGCTGCGATTGGAGGTGGAATCGAGCTTTCAGCCATCGTGACAGCTGGTATGTGGTTAGTATCCGATTTTGGCAAACCCTAAAAGTAGAGAATGATGTTTGCATACAATCTGTGCCCATCTCTATCCTTGGAATAGCACCTCCGCTATCGAACTCCATTTCATCAGATGTGGAGTTTTCGACATAATCAGCATATTTTCGGTGCGCTGGTTTAGACGGCGCAACTCCATCCCTCGAGTCCATATCATCGACATGTAGACGCTTAGATCTCTTTGACTTCTTCCTGGGCACAATCTCTTCCTCCTCACTAGTGACAGCCAGAAACTCGTCTTGAGGATGCACACTCATGTCGTACAAAACTTTCAGATCCGACACTTTGCGAGGAGAGCGACGAGTCGGTTCAACTGACAGCAGCCGTGACTGGGTGAGCTTGCGCTTCTTACTCTTTGCACTTTGCCTTGTTTCTTCTTCAGCCTCACTTTCTTCATCGATGGACTCCTCTGTGTCAGTGTAGATAGCGGCAGAATCCTCACTTTCGTCATCTGCATCGAGACAAACTTGCTTCATTCCATGAGCTGAGCGACGCCTTGCCGCTTGCGTTGGCCGAATAGCATCGTCCATAGGATGATACTTTGCATCGTAGACGAGCTTGCTCTTATTCCGACTGCGAAAACTGTAGGAAGAGGTGGGAGCGGAAGAAGTTGGAGGCGGAGGGTGTGACTCTTCAACACCAACGCTCTTGTCTTCGTCAGGTTCAGACGCAGTACTTTCAAAACCGAGGTCAGAAGACGGCGCGCGTTGCTGTACATGTCAGTCGTAGTAATAGTCAGTCAGAGATAGACTAATCGGGTTCTCGATGGATTCCATGATTTCCTCACTGCCTTCATATCCGGGGCAAGTCATTGCTTCTTCTTCATCGACCTCAATAAAGTGTGAAAAATCAAGTGAACGAGCCATATCCACAACCACTGGCTGCGTCCGTATGTCACATGGACGAGATGTGTCGAGGTAAAGTAATGATACTATCTGAACGGCGAGCGGAACACGAATGCGTATGTGGAGCGTGGTGAGATGTTTGCTGAATAAGGTTGAGTCTTCGCAGGAAGGAGCGACCAGATAGTGCTTCCGCTACTCCAGCGCCCCTTCCTCAACCATACCCACGTTGTGCAATCAACCCGGCCAAAACCAACTCACGAACAGGAAGCTGACGGCTAGTCAATATTCTACCCAAGATATATTTGTGGCATCACTTCATACCCGACAAAGTATTCATTTGGCAAGAGCATTCAAAATATAAAAATTGCATCGTCTAGTAACGAACGAAAGCGCTTGCACACCCAGTATCGAGGCAAAGGGCCTTTGGAGAAAAATCGACATACAATGACATCTAATATATAAAAGGTACACCGAAAACTTCGTCGATTAAAAAAACTACACACATGGGCACCAGGTCAGATCAACCGACACAGACACCAACCCTACAAGCAAAATAGCGAGCGAAACGCGCCGTGTCCAACGACGTTAAAAGAAAAAGGATAGTAGTACCATATCCCTTAGAAACAAAATACTTCTTAATGAATAACCAACAATCCACATGACAATGACATTCATGCACGTTCAATAGTGAAACAGAAATGCCAGATATTTAGCTACTGAACCGCTAGGCGCGTGTAGCTCGGAAACGCCATGGATATATTTATGTCCCCCCACCGACACCCCTCCATAATTTTCATTTCCAACATGATGCAAAGAGAAAGAAGAGAGTTTGATTGTTGTTTTGGAAATCCCTCCCCCTTCGAGTACATATAATCCTCCCTAGAGAACGCCAGATGGGGAAAAAAGAAAAAAAAGCATGAATGAAACGTGACCCGCTTGAACGCACTAGAGATAACGACTGTATATGTAAGAGAGAGAGAGAGATGAGAACCTTATTGTCTCATCGGTTAAAGCGGGATGTGAGCCGGATTGGGGGTAAGACGAAATCCTCGTCAGAGTCGTCATTTTCGTCGACCTCGATGTTGAGAGTGTTTAGTGGTTTCGAGACGGCGGCTTCTCTTGGGCTGGTGGGCTTGGAATGTTTGTCGGATACCGGCAGAGAGATTTGGTGTACATCTTTCCGGTAGACCGCCTCGGGTTCCAGCGACGACATGGAGGTATCCGAGGTTTCATGTGCTTGCAACTCTGGTGGGTCTTGCGACTTGCGCGCATTGCATTTGTCGATTTCGGTCTTGGCGGTCTCTAACAGGGCCTCGAAGCTCTTCCGTATTGTCGTTAATTCTTTTCTGCAGTCGCCGTCGCGCAGGGTGAGATGCGCTGCCTTTTCGCATAGTTCTTGTGCTTGTTCGAGTATCTTATCTGTAGAGTCGAATAGTTCTGCTGGTGTCTCTACACCGCTACTGACACCTAATCGGCCACTTCGTCTTGCTGCCGATCGTGCCCGCAGTGCTGACATGCGTGCTCTGTAGTTTACTTTGGCTGGGCTGATTTCATCTTCGTCGTCATCGTCATCGTCCTCCTCGCTGGAGGATGCCATGGAGGCCATATCGTTCATCCTGGCTTCCATCTTGGCCTTTCGTAGCAGGTTGCGCCCTGTTCCGAAAGCGCGAACCAGTAATTCAAAAGACTTTTGCATATCCCCGTCATAGCTGGTGACAACCATGATCCGAGAGCGATGGCGAGCGGAGTCGGGTTCCTGGTTCGAGGAAATGGAGAGAGACTTGCGTTTCCGGCTCACAATGGGGTCGGCGGGCGTGGCAGTCGAGGGCGTGGCGTCTTCTGCGATGGCGTCGAGCTTGCCCGGGCGTATGGAAGCGGTCGAATCTGATTTCTGCTTTGCGAATGGCGACTGTGATATAGGTACTTTTGTGATTTCGTCTTGCGTTGCCGTCACCCTGTCCTCGGCGGTCGTGATCTGGTGCAGCCATTGCGGGATGTTGTCCTGGAGAAAGGCAAACGACTTGTCGATGTCAGACATGGTGGCTGCTTGGGCGTCCAGCGAACGGAAATGCGGAAGTAAGCGGTACGGCGCAGACGACTGCGGGTTGTTGCATGTAGCAGGGCCAGCGATACGGGTGGTGTAAACAGAAAGGCCTGGCAGCAGCAAAGGAAGAAGGTCGCGTGGTCGTATGGTCAAGAGGGGACAGCGTCGGGGTACTTGAGTGTGTGAGGGTGTGTGTGCACAGCGGGTGCGGAGAATTAGTGCGAGCAGCGAACCAGGCGGGCCAGAGGATCAGCAGTTACTAGTTATGGGGGAGAGGCGGCTGGTGGGCAGGGACTAGGACCGATAGAAGACGTGATCAACGGGGCCAGATGGTGACTTGTGTACCCCCGGGGGGTGGTGTATTGCATGAAGAAGAAGGTGAGGAAGGGAGACGAGGGGGGAGAAAGGGCCGCCAGAATTACATACACGTCGTTGTCAACGCGGCATGCACTTGGGGTTCCCACGGGAGTGGTTCAGCAACGCGCAATACCCTTGGCGAAGATCGAGCAGCCAGGCTTGCAGCTCGCACTCGGTCTTGATGCAGGATGCGGCGCCATTGCATGAATCAATTGCCTCGCACAAGCTGCTCGCAAATGGCGCTGAGGATCGCAAAGACCAGTGCCTCATCTGCTGCAACGTTTGACCTGGCTCGACGAGCAGAAACGAGCGGGCCGATGAGGCAGGCGGCCGGTTGACAAGAAGCCTTTTCTCTCCACCCCGTTTCCCCATGGCGGCTGGCGGCGGGCGACGGGCGACGGGCGACGGGCGACGGGGAGGGGCGCATGTGTGCTGCAATCTGGCGGCTAATGATTCCAATCAGCGCAGCCACGGCGCCTTTGAGGCCACGCCGCAGCGCCTCTGCCGAAACAAAACAATCTCGCCCCCTCCCCTCCATGTCGACGCGCGAAGCGACATGCATACCAGAACCAGAAGCGGTGAAGGGGACAAGGGAGCACATGGCCCTGCTAACCATTGTGTCCGCCTGTTGGCCAGTCGTCGAAGGGGGTGTCAGCACTGTCTCTTGTCATGCTACCTTTCGGCCCTATGTTGGCTTCAGGAGTCAAGTGGTATCCAGACTGTGAATATACCTACTACTTACTGCACGAAGCGTCGACTAGGCAGAGTTTAATCGTGACTTGCGCGCGCACAGTCCGGGTTGACGATATGTCACGTGATTATCCATACTCGGAAATTGAACCCCCTTCCCTGGTCAGTTGGCCCATAGGCATGCACCGAGTTCTATATGCGTATGCCGATACGTTTGACTCTTGTCTACTGGCCTACCATACGCATGTCTGTATATTGACATGACATGCACGTATTACTGCACCCTCGACACAGTCTAGCTGCACGCCTAAACTCTAAAACCCCTGTCCGAGTTGCTCGCCTAGCCCGCAGCCCGCAGCCCGCAGCCCGCGCAACCCGCCTCCTCTCCAACCGTTGCCCCAAACGTTGCCCCTCCGAACTAATCATTGTCTGTGCATCGTTGTTGTCGTTGTTGTTGTTAACCCCCGATGCTTTTCATGACGACAGAACAAATAATGATGCCATCGATGCATTTCGCGAGGCATGCTCAACACTTCTTTATGGCCGTTTGCATCGCCAACAGGGTCAAGCGAGGCCCTCTGATTAAGTCGCCGACCTGAACCAGTGTCTTGGTAAGGCTGCATCGGAGCTATGTCGTATTCTTTGCCAAATTGCCCACAAACTCCGCTCCCCAAGTGTGGGTGGCTGCGGCAAAGCGGTTACACAACAGATCCTCCCTTGCAAAACATACAACGCACATCATCGCCGTGCCTAATCGAGCGCTTGAAAACATCAACATGTTTGTGTCGTGTCACAGGAACCTGGGATATTATTCTTGTCCTAAGCAATGTAATGCGCCTCGACAAACTTGCAGCCTCTACGGCCACAGCTCCTCAGTCCTCCACCCACCATTCGCCTTGTTGCTCTCATCAAACGTGTACCTGTACCTCCGCGCCTTTTCAGGGTCGCTAAGATCCGTCTGCTCCACCGAATCCGGCACAATGACAACAACGCGAAAGTTCTTGTGGGCCACCTCGTCGTCCAAGCCATCAACCTTTGAGCCCAATCCAAGCTTCTGATCATACGGTTTAGACGTAGGCTGACCCGGCGGCGGATTCTTAAAAGAGCCTATAGCAGTGTCAGAACACAGAAAACAGTAGTCACATCATCCAAACGAAGCGCACTTACCCTTTATCCCGGGACTCTGGTTACCAAAGAACCCCCTGAGTTCCCTCTGCCAGCTGAACTCGCCCTGCTTGCCTTCGTCCACAACTCTCATCCTCTTCCCCAATTCGCTCTTGACAGTCCTCACGCCACTGCTCTCCTCGCTCGCCTCAATATCATCTGCAATGACGTATGCGCGTCCTTTGATCCGCCATTGCGAGCCAGTATCAGCGTTCCAATACACAACCTCTACGGGCCCTCCACCTCCACTTCCTTGTACTTGCTCGCTGCTCTCCGCGTGCCCCGCGCTCGACGCAAATATCTGTCCCACCTTCTCCATGCGCACGTCCGTCGTGAACGTCGGGCAGTCGCTCTGGTACACGGGTGGGTTCCGCTCCGCGTCGTTGTGCTTGTTCTCTGGCAGCTCAGTCCAGAAGCCGCGGTGAATGCAGTATCGTACGCGCGGCACGTACGATGTAGGCGAGCCTTCAGGTGCTTTGTCGAGCGTCCCGAGCACGAACTCGGGCGACTTCATCTTGGAGATGTGTTCGCTGAAGAGCGCTTTCCATGGTGCTGGGGGCAGCGCTGCCGCAGAGGGTGTTGTAGTGGACATGGTGTGCAGGACACGCGAGAGACGGTGCGAAGCAGTGCGTGAAGCTATGGTTGCTGAGTTACTCGAGCGAGAACAAGTAGAGAGGTGAGTTGCAAGTGTTCTAGAGGACATGTTAAAGCTCAAGTGGTTGAGCAATTGATATATTCCCCAAGTGATGTCGTCATCATCTACACCCAGCAGCTATGCGATCGTGCAGAAGTCAATGAGGTCAGACACCGCTCTAGTGCAACCAAACTATTACGTGCTGAACTGTCTCAAGTGTAAAATGCCATGGAGAAATTGCCCATGTCCAGCATCGAGTTGTAGCGATTGCAATATTCAACTGTTGACAAAAAAACTTTACCCCTCCGCGTCTACTTCCGCGCCTGCTTCCGCGTCTAGTACTTACCCCGGCAGTTTACCCCGCCCCTGCGAGCCACCTTGCACCAAGGCGCGGCCTCTCCGTAATCCGAACAGTACGTCAATATATACCATATATTATACCATGCTGGGCACAATGCAAGGGTATCGCGTGACACATGTCGGCGACTTGGACGACCTTCGCTTCCCCCAGTCCGGCTACCTTCACTAGACTACTTTTTTGCTCAAAACGTCATGCCTATACGAGCAAATGGTAACGTGGTACATGTGCCATTCTAATCCGGCTTGGAAAGACTATGCTATGCACAGGCTTAATGGACAAGCATTCTAAACACACAGAAATATGATTTATCGTCTCAAGTTGATTGTGGTGATGGCATCGAAAGCTATAGGTACTCTAGCAAAAGCAAGACCAGTAGTGAAATCACTGTCTCAGGCCTTCTTGAAAAAGCTGGCAATACTGCCCTGCCCTTTCTTACCTGCATTCTTGCCCTTTGCGGAGCTTGCTGGTTTCGCTGGTGCAGGCTTGGCCTTCTTCGGTACAGGCTCCTCTTCAGAAAACGACTCCCAGACAGCCTCTTCTTTGGTGACTGTAACATGTCAGTGGATTTTCTGGACCGCACAAAGTCCACTCACCTAGATAGCCGTCCTCGTCCTTGACCTTCTTCTTCTTCATCACTCGTCTCCGGCCGCGTCTCCGGCCATTCGTCACTGTGAACGTGGCCTCGCCCTCTGCTGGCTCTGCGGCATCAGCTGTGGCTGTAGCTGCCGGAGTAGTTTCAGCCTGTGATTCTGCTGCTGCTGCTGCTGGTGCATCGGGCATGTCTTCGTCTGCACAAGTTAGATATGAAATAAATGCCCGCTACACCTGACTCACCATCGTCTTCCATCATCTTGCGTAATCGCTCCGCTCGCTCCTCACGAGCTTTGCGAGCTGCTTCGTTCTTCTCTTCGTCAATCTTGACTTCGGGCTCATCGTCTGGATCGTCTTCGTCTTCGGACATGCCTTGCATTGGTTCTAGGCATGTTAGTCATATAGTATGGACATCAGCACAAGGTCGACCTACCGTCTTCTACTGGAGCAGGTGTAGATTCCTTCGCCTTTGGTTTGGCCTTGGCAAATGACTTGAATATGTCACTGGATGCCTTATCCTTTTTCGCTCCTGACTTTGAGTCGGACCGCTTGAGCGTACTCGCGCCCGCCGAAGGTTGTGGAGTTGACCGTCCCGATGCATTTTCCTCGGTGCTTTCCTTGTCCTTTGTACCCAAAGTTGCAGCAGGTTTGTCGGTAGACTTTTCCACAGGCTTGGATGCTGGCTTTGCGGAAGCTTTTGAGGAATTGGCCGCGGTGGGAGGGGCGTACTTCGCAGTCCTTCTCTGTTGTGACATTAGCTTGACTGTCTATATCCTACATAAGGCAAATACTATACCTTGATGTACTGGTTACGGATTGAGCCATACGTATTCCATCGCTCCAAAGGATTCACGTCTGCGTACTTTGTCGTAACCTCGTGGTTACATAGAGACAACACTCCGAAGATCTAACATGTTTAGCACCGTCTATTCCGAGTCGAAACCGAGCATACCTCGAGCGGCCCGGGTTCTAGGCTGTAGATATGGGCAGATGCGCCTTCTTCCAGCCCTGCGAGAGTCTCTAGTATAACGGTCAGCGAGTATCCATAGCGACCCTTGACACAACGTACCCTCCAACTCCTCTTCCCGAATTAGCAAGACTTGAGTCTCTTTCACGCCTCTTGGTGCAGGAGTATCCTCATCGTCAGAATCGCTTGCGTAATCCGATTCTCCATCCTCCTCTTGGTCGGGCATGGAACTTATGAATGGAGAGCTACGCATGTCGGTATCTTCGCCTTTTCGGATTTTGAAGCCATTGTTCTGTTCGCTGTTTCGAGGCGTACCGGTGAGAAGATAAGTGGCGTGAACAGACTTCGGCTTGCGTGCATTTTGCGTCTTGTGAAACTCAGCGAGCATCCTATCTGTGGTGAGCTGGCATTCATCGTTCGCAATAGCAGTACCAACCGTTTCGCTGTGTTGACATTGGTCTTGAGCGCTCTGCTGAGAAGCCTGTAGGTGACAGGCTTATTCTCAGCAAGGATTCTTGCCGCCAGATAATCCTTGTACTGTTCCTGGGCCATTGTGTAAATTGTCGGCGTTATCGTAGTTGTGGTAACTACGATGAACAAAGTAGTAGAAGCGCGTCGTGAGGCTGACTCGTGTTCACGCGTCTTGCGCTCCCATCTCGACAAAACTGACTCGAGCACTAAGGCATCCATCATTGCACACAAGTCAACCACCATGTTTCTATCATGACCGAAAATGAGCGCCGCTGAAGACGAAGATCTAAAATTGCAGCGAGCATCTGCTCTGCTGCTCCCTGACCTTGAGAAGCTTCTCCCACGACTGCTACGAAAACGCCAGCAAGGCTCTACATCAGGCTCTGTCCGCCACAATGTTAGGACGGCTGATATGCACAAAGCGTGCAGCCTGGTATGGCTTTAACAAACTGTCCAGCAGTACTCGGGCTGACCACTATTAGATTGAGCCCTTTCAAGAGGATCCTCAACTTCTGGACACTCACCTTAAGACTCTTATCCCGCCACTGGTTGATGCTTACTTGGAAACCATTTCGACGAGCACCAAAGAGGATCCAAAAGATGGCTGTTTACCGCTCTCACATGCCATATGCCGTATTTTGAATGTATTCTGCAAAGTCCGCGGTGAAAAGGTCATCAAAGGATTCTTCAACAACGAGCCGCGTTACCTCGAACCAATCTTGAGGGAGCTCGAGGCCTGCAAAGATAGTACTAACGATGGCCCTGAGGCAGCACTATCTCAGAGTGACCGGCCATGGGTTCGCCGTTATGTACTGCTCCTGTGGCTTTCGCAGTTGTTACTGGCTCCCTTTCCTTTGGAGTCCATGTCTGGGCTGCAGAATTCTGCAGAAGCTTCAATTGCGCCCGGGCTGAAGTTGCCTACCAAATTACCAGGGATAGCCCTCCGTGTGCTCTCCATATGCATGTCGCAACTCCGAGCCCCAACCAAAGAGAAAAGTGCTGCTGCAAAACTATTGGTTCGAATTTGTGTACGTCCAGATATGCAGAAGATGGGTTTACTGAACTCCATGGTTTCGTGGTCACTTTCCTTCTTCTCTGAAGTGAACGAAGAGCAATTTGATATACACCAGTGCCTTGGTGTATTATCGTTCATATCTGGACTCCTTGCATCCGCTACGAACGAAGAACTTGGCCCTTTTCTCGCTGCAACTTATCAATCTTGCCGAAAAGTACTGGACCAAGAGAGCCTTGTTTTCATCAAATCGTCGGCTGTGGCTCGCAAACTAGTAGTAAAAAGCCTGCGAAATATTGTCCTGCATTGTCTGCAGACAACCTCCGTCATACCTGGGCTTGATCCAACAACAGTTCTGGAGGAAGTCATCGAATTCCTCCTGGAAGCACTTGCAGATGGAGATACTCCTGTTCGATACGGGGCAAGCAAAGCACTCAGCATAATCACACTCAAACTTGACACCGAAATGGCTGACGAGGTGGTTGAGGCAATCTTAGGCTCCCTCACCGAGAACGTCTACTGGCAGAGCTCCAAACGCAACTTGAGCAGTGTAAATCCGCTTAGATGGCACGGATTGACGTTGACACTTTCTCAGTTGCTCTATCGTAAAGCAGTCCAAACAAACCACTTGCCTGACGTCCTGAACGCTCTTCTGCTCTCTCTTGGATTCGAGCAACGATCACCCACTGGAGGATCCATCGGTACGAACGTTCGCGACGCAGCTTGCTTTGGCATCTGGGCACTCTCGAGACGCTATGCTACTGCAGATCTCCTTGTTGTGGACACAGCGTCGATACGCGCTTCAGAGCATCTTAAATCATTGAATGTACCTCAGGTCCTTGCAATTGAACTGGTAGTCGCTGCTTGTCTCGACCCAGCAGGCAACATCAGAAGAGGATCATCCGCTGCTCTACAGGAACTGATTGGTCGACACCCGAATACGATTGAGGAAGGCATACCGCTGGTGCAAATGGTAGATTTCCATGCTGTCGGCCTCCGTCAGCGAGCAATGTGTGATGTGGCAATCAAGGCAGGAGACTTGAGCTCGCTCTATTGGGAAGCGCTGTTCGAAGGCCTCCTTGACTGGCGAGGAACAGGCTCTTTGGACTCTGAATCGCGTTTGTTTGCAGCAGAAGCCGTGGGGTCTTTATCGAAGGGACGCTCCCTGGCTGTGGTACAAAGAATGTCGGGACAGGTGCGCAATACGCTTTCAGCCTTGCGCCCCAGACAAGTAGAGGAGCGACAAGGACTAGTATCTACGCTTGCAGCTCTCGTGGACACTGCAAGAACCTTAATTGACAACAGTGGAGATGGGGCTTTGTATGCGTCTCTCTCGGACCTTTGGGCGCTGTTGTTGAGCGACTTGAAGCTTGAAGACAAGGCGTTTACCTCACCAGCACTGCGACCACAGTTTACGGCATCCTCCATATGTGCATTCATTGCAGCAATGGCTACGTTTACGACTGATTGTTCCAGTAGTATCAAGTCATCCGAGATACCCACGGAAGAGGTCTGTCGCCTCTTTGATCTGTGCCTCACTCGACATGAACAGCCAGTCTTGGATGGAATCGCCGTCACTGCACCAGCAGTCATTCTACTCCTCTCCAAGACACCCAAAGTCGACACCATTGAGGTCGTATCGTCGTGGTTGACTAGACTAGAGAACGAAGCCTCGTACAACGGACTCAGATGCTCAGGACACGCAGTCGCGCTCGGAGCCGCATATGCCAACTTGACTAACCTTCCGGCTGACACGAAAAGGGAGGAAATCCAGCGCCGCATCGTCAAGGTCCTCACATTCCGATGCACTGCCGCCGTAGCCATCGAAGCTCGCACTGTAGCCTTGCGCGCTCTGGGCGACCTCCTCGCCAGTAAATCTTCAGCATCGTACCATCTCGCCCCAGACGCAGAAACGCAGGTAGGCCGCGCCCTGCACATCGCACTCAATGACTACACCATCACCGAACGAGGCGACGTCGGGGCCCTAGTCCGACTAGAAGCTCTAAATACCGCCCATTTGGCTTGGACATCCGGTCTCCTAAGCTCAACCCACGAGCCATGTGGCCGCGAGATCTACGCCGACGTCCTACGCTTGTCTCTCGAGAAACTAGATAAAATGCGTGTCAAAGCTAGTCAAGTCCTACACCACGCACTCGACCCCAGCGCACTCGACGCAGGCGTCTCTTCCAAATCCTTCTTCCTCTCCGCCCTCGCTCCACTGCAATCTTCAGCAGACACCATCATCAAAGAAGCCATCTGCGTCGGCTTCGTCAGCTCAGCGGGTATGGGCTCGGAATCCGTGGTTCAGAACTCGCGTATGGCGTTGCTTGATTTCGTTGATACCCTCCCGTCCTCCTCTGATGCCGGAGACCAATACTCCCTCCTCGACCTCGCAACCACTTTCCTCACCCTCCTAAAATCCCACCTCGACAACGACCGTATTCTGCTTCCTCTCCTTGAAGTCCTGGCTTTCTTATTCGATATGCACGTTATGCACCGCCTCACTACTACATCCTTCTCGTACGTAGACTCCCTCACTTGCCCATTCGGACTCCAGACTGCTAACAAAGGAGAAAAAAAAATTAGTTTCCGCACCCTCTTGTCTTACGCACAAAAATCTCACTTCAAATCCTCGCACGTGCACAAATTGCACCTCGCACTGGATATGTACCGCGGACTAGGCAGCGTGCCCGTGACGCGCGAGGAGACGCTGAGGAAAGTGACGAGTATGCTGTTGCATCCGTTTCCAAAGGTGAGTTTGAGGTTTTGCTCTTGTAGTGTGTGTAGTGAAAGAGAGTGTGTGCTAATGTGGATTGGGGTTTAGATTCGTGTTACGGCGGCGGAGACCTTGTGGTTTTTGATGGGGGAGGAGGGGTTGAAGAGACATGATTGGAGTTTGCCGTCGAAGATTTTGAAGCCTGCTGTGGATGGGATTAGAGCGGCGGTGGTGGCGGGGGAGGAAGCGGAGTGAAGGGATAGTCATGGCGGTAGATGTTCTTAGGGGAAATTGTATTGGTGGATGGCTAAGTGACGGCATATATTCCGTGCTGTCTAATCTAAAGCTTTGCCTTGGTCTTGTCCTCTTGCACAATAGATAACACCAATTGCTCCGCTTCCCATGCACTTCCCCAACCACTCTGGTAGCCATAACCCGCATGGCCATAACTATGCACAACCCACTTGTCATCAATCAACTCCTTCTCAACCCTAGGTCCGCCAGTCCTCATGGGTCGTAGACCGACACCATGTCTGACAATGTCAAGTTCAGTTACCTTTCCTGTCTTTGGTGCGAGCGCCGGACACAAGTCAATGGAGCGCTGCATGATACGCTGTGCAAGGTTAGGATCAGGCTGGCTCTCCCACGAGCCATGCTGCAGACAGCCACCGAGAATGGTGCCTCCACCGACAGCTCGTTGCATGATATAAGTAGCTTCTTCACTACCATCATCAGTGCCACTGACGGTCAACATGACACCTGGCTCGTTCCTAACGAGCACGATCTGGCCGCGTCCCGGGTACACATTCGAGTCCATGACTCCACCGAGCTTGGAAGCGAGAAGACCAGTGCAGTTTACGATCACATCGGCATGGCAAGAAGGGTGGAAGCTGGCGGCTTCGGAAATGTGGGAGAGAATGCCACGTTTGATGATGACGCCGGCTTTTACACATTGGCCAAGGATCCAGGGCAGGTAGATGGCAGTGTTGATGCAAACGGATGAGAATTCGGTGCCGGTGTCACAGTCTTCTGGGAGTTCGCTTTTGGGCAAGACACGGAACTAGGGGGTTGTGAATATGGGTCACATCCATCAAGTAACAGTGGGACACAGCAACATACGTTAGGAACCACATCCTTGAACCAAGCATCTTCCTTTGTCAGTTCCTCAAACCACTGGCCAGTAGCCGTGCCAGCATCCTTCTCCCTTCCATACACACGCGTGTTCTGGAAGTGGATGCCGGCCTCTGGGACTTGGCGACATATACGCTCGAGCTCCGCCCAGGTAGCCTTCTCGAACTTTTGCAGGGCGGAGCCGGGCTTGCCAACAGGGAAATAGTTAGCTCCAGCCCAGGGGGAGGCGTATTCTATGTCATAGTCGCCGGGCATGTGCTTGGCCACGACGGTGATGCTTAGGTTCTTATGCCTGGACAACACGAGGGCGGTCGAGAGCCCGATGACTCCGGCGCTGGGGTGGTAGTAGTGTCAGCATACTAGATACATTAAAGTACATTAAGACTACTGTAACGAGCAGCCGGCCCTGCAGCTTCGGCACATGGGGGAGGCGGATCGGCACATGAAAATTAAACGTGTTGATTATCATTGCCATGGCTGCAGGACAGACAAATGGGTGTGGTGAGCTTACCCCGCAACGACGACATTCTTGGTGGACATGGTAGCTCTGCCTTATTAAGGGAGGGAGGGAGGGAGGGAGGAAATGGGTGGGCTTGACGCACTTGTGATTTTGCGTGGCATCACATGGCTCCACGGGCGGGAGTAGAGGCCAGCAGGTAGTGGGGACGGTGGTGGTGGAGCGTGTTGGCGGGGTCATCTGGCAGTGGTTTTTTTTGCCAGCTCGCTTATTGGTTCCGTCGGCACACGAGCACGAGACAAAACGCGTGGGCACATGAGAGGGACAGGCTTTGTTTGTGTACACATGTGCTTGGGCAGATGGGATGGGCGGTGGGAATATCAATCTCTTCCTCCCTCATTTGTTAATCTTCTATCCACCCACTCTGCACTTCCTCTTCACACAAACACCGTCTTCACCAACAATTGGCGTGCTCTGCCCTTTCGCTACCTGCCTTCACCGCCCACTGCAGACGACGAAAACCAGTCGGGCCAGCCCCAGCACAGCGGCTAGCTAGGGGGGGGCACAGCTCTGCGGTGCCTGACATCATTGCCCAAGTCCGAGGTAGTTGTTAAGTAGTATGTATATGTACTAGACAAGACGTATGCAGGCCCGAAGATTTTTCCGTGCCAGCACCGCGCAGGCCTACTACATTTAGCTGCACCGGCCCTCTGCCACAGCATTGCATACATACCTACATACTACAAGAAGCTGCTGGGTCTTTTTCTGGTTGGCTGCCGCCCGATTGTCGTCCCTGGCCGGGCATTGTTCTGTCTCTGTCTGTTCGCGCGAGCCCGCCCCGAGTCAGGCCTGCTGTCGTTGTTCCTGAGACTTGCCAAGCGGAGCCATCCCTGCTGCCCGTGTCCCTTTACTACCAGAGCTTCACAAGTTCGCGCGCGTCACACAAGATATTATTCCTCGCCTGCCTCCCCTTGCTCTTCACCGGCCACGACCTTCACCATCCATCCATCGTGGCGTGGCCGGCCCAGCTCCTCTGCCCTGCAACTGCTCTTGCCGCTTCCACCAGAGCTCTCCTTTCATCCATGACCGCCTCACCCCACCTGTGCCTTCCGCCCCAAATACACCGACTTCTCCTGTCCCCCAAACATCCTTGCTGCTCCCACCACCATGGCTACCCGACGACACCGGGCCAACTCGCCTGAATTCCCCATTCTAGACGCAAATGCCCTGTATGCCAGCAGCATCCGTGGCGATGGTGAGCATACACTTGAACCTCTCTCCTCGCCTCACCACCACTAACTTTCCCCAAGGCAACTGCCTGTTCAACGCCCTGTCGGACCAGCTCTACGGCCACCAAGATATGCACGAGGTCCTGCGCGCCACCACCATAGAGCACATGAGGGACTGTGCAGACTTTTATCGCCAGTACATGGCCGTCAATAATGTGCGGAGGAATCCCAAACGCAAGACGGCTGCTGCTGCCAATGCCGCCACTAAGCGTCTCGACACCACCTACTACACTGAAGAGCAGCTGCAGCTGCAGTTTGAGCACCATGTAGAGAAGATGGGTCAGCCTGGCGAGTGGGCTGACAACATGGAGGTCTCGGCCTTTGCCTCTGCTCTTAATGTCAATGTCCGCCTGTGGCAGGCTGACTACACCTACCTCTTCTCTCCACGCACCACCTCTGCATCCAATGCTGATCCCGCTGCCAACGACAAACGCCAGACTCTCCACATTGCCTACCACGTATGTTGTGGTCTCTTGCTACCCCACTCATCTTGTACTGACGTAGTATCCATAGACTTGGGAGCACTATTCCTCTGTCCGTAATATCGCCGGTCCCCATACTGGCATCCCAAATGTCAACGTAGTGCCAAAGACCATGTCCAAAAAGCGTCCGAGTCCCAGTGTCGATGGTGACGATGACGACCAATGCCAGCGCTCACGAAAGCGTCGCTCCCCCTTACCTCTGTTCGACTCTGATTCAACGCCAGAAGGCACCGACAGCTCGTCGGATGAATCACATGGATTTGTAGCCTCCCAACAGTCGACTTTGCAGACCCCTCCACCCGAGCCACCAAGGCCAGTGAAGCTCACCATCAAACTTCGTGGACTCCGTACCTGCGATGCCTCCTCGACGGACTCATCTCGGGAACCAACCCCTGCCCCCAAAACGACACTACACACAGACCCCATGACCGTGCCCGCAGAAGCATCACCACTCAAGACTCCTGCAGTGTCCAAGCCCCTCACCCCCTGTTATGACTTTATCGTGTGAAGAGAGAGAGAGAAAGAGGTGGTTGACTTATGACTGGCTGATGATGACGACGAGACAATGATACCCTGAAAGCATACGGTGGGCGCGTTATTCTTTTCTGATTTGCATTTTTTCCCTTCTCTTCTTGTTCTTCTTCGCCTCCTTCCTTGGATCTCGCGTTCTTTGTATAGCATACGAGCATCGGTATGGCTGTCTGTGTTATCCATTGTTGCATATGCCGGCATGACGGACTGACGGGGTGCCAAAGTGCTTGGGCCTGCAGTCACTTCACCGGCTTTGGCGTTTGAAAGGAAATGTTTTTTTAACTTTCTCTCTCTTTTTGACTGAACGACATGAATGAATGATGTATAGAGTATGCATCTCTTAGACTAATGAGAGACGGCTTCGATAAAACCATGTTCACATGTTGCCTGTTCAACCACGTGTGGATATATGTGTGTGTGACGTGTACAATGCTCATGTTGCGTGGCTTGTCGTGAGAAGGAATTCGTAACCATTACACGTGTCTATCGTCTCTCCTCCCTATCTCTTTCTCCCCAAATCTACTCAAATCCCTCCCCTTTAGCATCCACCTCGCTCTGCGACCTTTCCAACGATGGCCCCAGATCAATCGGCGGGGGCGCCTTTTGCCCTATGAGACTCTTCCTATGCAACCTCGGACTTGTATCCAGCGTCTCCGCCACCTCTTCCACCTCGGGACTCTGCATCCCGCGTCTCCCCTCCTCATCCTCATCACCCAGCTGCCCGCCAAACCCTTGATTCGTGAGCCTCAGCCCCATAATCTGCTGCCGCAACTCATCCACAAAACGCTGCATATCTCCATACGGCAAAGTCGTAGCACCCCCTTCTGCATTCTCAGCCGTCGTATTGTACAGTCTGAGCGCGGTATCTAGCGCCCGCTCCGCCTGCTGCGATTTCTCGAGGCGATACCAATTTTCAGCAGCGAGAACGGACCAGAGCGCTGCTTTTCTGCGGCGAGAGCCCAATTTGTAGGCGCCGATTCCCGTGCGGATGGCGTGGCAGGCGGAGATGCGCTCGGTGACGAGGGCGTGGCCGACGGGGCCAACGAGGCCCGTTTCCAGGATGCGGGTTGCCCAGCGGGCGGCGTCGTCTGCGGCTGCGGCGCCGCGGAGGCGGAGGAGCTCGAAGGAGAGGGCAAGGGTGCGGAGTGCGTAATAGGGAGCTGCGCTGCGCTGGCGGTCTGTGTACGAGTAGGACGCTGCTTCAATCCAGGCATCAATGTTTTCAGCGCGAGATTTGGCAGAAAGAGGCGTGGGCGACATGAGGGCAGAGAGGGCAGCCATTTCGGCAGCGCCGGCGTAGTGGCGCCATGCTTTGTCGTTTTGGAAGTCGGTGCGGAGGATGTCGTAGGTGCTGAGTGCTAGCTTCCAGTCTCGCAGCATGAAGCAGTAGTCTGCTAGACGGCGCATGATGGCTTCGGAGGCGTCCGGGCGGTAGAAGCCTTGGAGGCTGTCGTAGTTTGAGTTTCCAGATGCTGCTGACAATGAACCGCTGCTACGTGAGCCGCCGAAGGGCGTCCAGCGTTTGGAAAGAGACATGAAGCGGCCTGAGAGACCGCGGCGTCGAGACAGGATCTGCTCGTTCCAGGTGGCGACGCTGCGCTCCATGTTGGGTATTATTGACTGTGTAACTAGTTCACGGATAAAGGTGCGGAGACTGCTGATATCAGACTCAGGAAAGTAGGGTGTTGGGTCTGTAATGTCGTCTGTGGTTTCTGCAGCGAGCTGTCAGTACATGATTACAACTGGCCGTGACAACCCTCTCGTGCGTACCTCTTCTTTGAATCTCCGCCAGTTCTTCCGAAGCAGACATCCACTCGCAAGTTGGCAAGCGTACGCTATCGTCGTCCGACGCTATGCATTGCTGGCTCTTGAGCCGCAGTAAATGGCAATGTAGTCCAAAATGTCGCTTCATCGAATCAAAAGTCTGGTTCGACTTTGCAATATCCCCAGTTTCTTCGTCATGTATTAGAACGTAGTAGCGTAAAAAGTCATTTTCCACCCATTGCGGAAATCGGAGGTCCCCATCGTGCTGCCGGTTATACAGTCTGCGTAGCTCTTCTATCGGATGTGGGTTGCGCGAGCTGATTGCTATTATACCAGCCACGGGATGTGAAAAAGTCTCATGCGGCACAACTGGCAGGCCTGATAATAATCGCCGTAGGTAAAGTGTGTAGAAAGGCGATGAGGTACTATCTATGGGTGGTCCTGACGCTTCGCCCTGGTTCATGAAGTCGGACACAGCATCTTGCCTGTTGAATTCAGAGTATTGCAGATGGCGATCTACCAGCTCTTCAATCTGTGAGACATCACCCCCTGAGCGCCTCACTCGCGGTGCGGGACCTGACGGTGTTCTCTGCCCGCCGGTCCCAACACGCAGGTCTGGATATGCATCATCGACGCCAATGAAGCGCACACCAAAGTCCTCCCAGCTCTTGCTTGCCCCGTTGCTATCTCTTATGGTTACCTTCCCGGGTACCGACTCCCCAAATGGTCGTAACAACTGTAACAGGCCCCCCTCTAGCCCCTTTGACTGTATCAAGTCCTCCGTCTGCGCATCCGCAAGGACAGCGACACATGGCACAAAGGCCCGCTGGATCAGCGTTCGGTACTCATCTGACACACCTGGTGGCAAGCTGCTCGGCGTACCTGTGCCGCTGAGCCGCGATCCCGGGGAGAAGACAGAGCCCTGAGGGTGACTCGGGGTAGGCGTTGCGGCGCCGGAATTTGGGCGCGACGTGGAGATTGTGGTTGTTGACTCGAAGAGCTTGGACAGGCTGGGGTTGGAGCGGCGGTAAGGGAGGCTGGAGAGAGAGGATGCAGGCGAGGAGCGGTGTTTGGGCAGTATCATGGAAGCCTCCGGGTCGGCTGGGTACTTTGGGGGCTTCGGCGTGGCATCTTGAGGCGGCGTCATGGGAGGCTAGGGCGATGCGCCCGCGGGGTTCTGGATGCACGCGGGACTTCTGAGGCTGCCGGCATGTATCCTGATTATCGTCGACAGGCTTGAGGCGACAGCAAGCCGTCAGTAGTCGAATTCGCTATTTGGTTTGGAGCGGCGCGTGTGTGACGACGTTGGGGGTGATGCTGGATCGCCGTTGCGGCCGCTGCGCTTTGTGACTGGACGAATTGCGGCATCTCCAGCATCACTCGCATTTGTCCCCCAGTGCCAACGCTGCGGCTCTGCAACAATTCATAACCCTATTTTTGCCATCTCCAATCCTCTTACCCTCTTCTTTCCACCCCTTACAGTGCTTTGCTGGCGCACAAACATCGACTGTTCTATCCTGACTCATATGCATGTCGTTGATAAGTCGAGCCAGCCGGACTCGTTCACCACCAACGTTTTCACGGCTATACAAACGTGACTTCCCTGCGTCACCTACACACCCTCATTTGACAGCACACCCCATCCACAGAGCTCTGTATTCTCTCACCACATCAATACCTCGCATGTCGAGAGCAAGCCCCTCACCTGAATTACAACAGCCGAGCCCCAAAAGACGCAAAATTGCTGCACCTTCACCAAAATTCATCTGCCCCTACGGAACCATGACTTCATCAGAGAGCGCCGAGTCGCCGCAGCTAGAGCTGACAGAGGTCGAATCCAAGTTACGGCTGCTGCTGCTGGATGTAGCTGCCTACATCGATGAAACCCCCTCAAAAGAAGATGTCAGTGGAGTACAGGTACCAGCAGAACTTGCAAAAGAAAAGATTACTCTACGTTGGACGGGAGGATGGGTGCGTGACAAACTGCTCAACATCGGCAGCCACGACATCGATGTGGCCATCAACAAAATGACCGGAGAGCACTTTGGTCTGAAGATGCAAGAGTACCTTGAAATCCCAGGCAATGCAGAGAAGCATGGTCTCATCGAAAAGAGCGATGGGCTGAGTGCACGCGACAAGACGAAGAAGATTGCACCAGGTCTACACAAGATTGAGGCAAACCCGGAGAAGTCTAAAAACCTAGAGACTGCTACCACGAAAATCATGGGCATTGACCTAGATCTGGTCAATCTCCGGAAAGAAACCTACAACGAAGTCTCTCGCAATCCCCAGATGGAGTTTGGTACTGCAGAAGAAGACGCTATGCGCCGCGATGCTACTGTGAATGCCATGTTCTTCAACCTGCATACATGTCAAGTCGAGGACTTTACAGGACGTGGGCATGCCGACATGGCTGCCAAGATCATCCGAACACCACTGGAGCCCTACCAGACATTCAAAGACGACCCGCTGCGAGTTTTGCGGCTGATTCGCTTTGCTAGCCGTCTTGACTACACCATTGAACCCGAGACTGCGAAGGCCATGGGGAACCCAGAAATCCAGGGGGTCCTGAAGATCAAAATCAGCCGAGAACGTGTGGGCATAGAACTGGAGAAGATGCTAAAGGGTCCTAGGCCTCGAATGGCCTTGGAGCTTATTGACCGGTTTGGTCTGTACCGGACTGTCTTTACAGATCCAACACGTGAGTTGCCCACGGAGCCGGAGACGGCCTATTTCAAGCCAGCATATGAGGTGGTCGAATCGGTGGTGACAAAAGAAGGCGACGTGCCTACAGTTGTCCCAGATACACTGTTGAGAAACGAGGACGACAAGTACCTAGCCTGGGTCTGTGCTACCATGATGCCTTGGGCAGATGCCCCCACTGTGCCCCATCAGAAGCCTCTGCAGCGGCCATATTTTGTCGCTTATCTTGTTGCAAGGGAAGGATTCAAGGCCCCAAACAAGGTGTGCGATGTCATTGCTTCGTCGCTGAGTAACAGTGAGGAGATTCGCAACCTCGTTGCTCAGTGTGCAAAAGGACTTCGACGGCCCGACACCATCAACCCAACCAGCGATCCCACTGCTAGAGATACTCTAGGAATGGCCATTCGGCGTTGGGGGTCTACTTGGCGGACACAGGTACTTTTTAACCTTATCTACGAGGTCGTGCTCGGACGGGTATCGAGAGCAGGTAAGCCAATCCACTTCAGTCTTCGATTTGAACTATACTGACAGTATCTAGACCTCTTCCGCTCGTATGCCAGCTTCCTCAGCCGCGTTACTCAACTCAATCTCCTCGAGGTCGATACCTTTAGGCCCCTCATCAAAGGAACCGATCTCGCAAAAGCACTCAACACTAAGCCTGGGCCGTGGATGAAAGAAGCATTGGATGTCGTCATGGCCTGGCAGCTGCGCAATCCCAACACTACCGACACGGCGGAGGCTATCGAGGCCGTCAAGGCTTCGAGAAGTGAGCAAAACGAAAGTGAGCTTCCCCTTCGCCTAGCCTCACACTTTCTTCAGCTTACCATCCCACCTCTCTTTCCGCAGAATAAACCTACGTCGAATGCACTAGAAGCCTCGCGGCAACCGGCTCCCTGGAAAGATGCTGGGAATCAGTACGCGCTCGACTTGTTGGCATGGACGATCCGGACGCTGGATAGGAAAACAATCGAGGCCAAATGGCAGTTTCTGATGCCCCCAATCCTTAAGATGATGGATGACATTGATGTGGAATGGAAGGCCAAAGGCTGTCACCTGCTCGGTCTATTACTCGAAGTTTTGCGCCGAACACCAAGTAGTGGTAGCTCACAAAAGGCTACCATGCAAAAGTCTAGCTCGACGAGCTTCCTCCAGCGAAGTGGATACCATAACATCTTTGCTGAAGCTCTGCTACCCATGTTCACGTATATTCCTTCAATTACACCAGAGAAGGAATCAGTGACATTGTTCCGAGAGGTCTTCCCTGCAGTGACTTCGCTTGCTTTGCTCCTCCCCGAAGAAAACAGCAAAGGCGATAACAGAGAGCTGTTCCTAGACAGGATCATTCGAGAAGGCGTTTTGTCGCCTCTTGGACATTTCACTACACCCTCTTCGTACCCCGAGCTTGCTACCTTGATCATGTCACAGGTCCCTATTGTGCTGAATCATATGGGCATCAATACAGTGAAGCACCTACCGGATATTTTGCCTTTGGTTTCGGCGATTCTACAGGAACCTTTTGTGCTTGCCCACCAGCCACTAGTTACTTCAACTCTAAGAGCACTGCAAAGTGTCATGTCGAATGCTTGGCCAAGATTGCCTGGTCATCGCGGTGCGATTATGATGGGCCTGTGCTTATTGTGGATCATATGCTTGGAAGAGGAAGAAAAACCTGGTAGTCAGCCTGTTGAAGAAGTCAAGACGCAGGTTCAAGAAACAGTCGCGATGCTGGACGCCGTAATGCAAGGCGTCGATGAAGCAGGTGTAGTGGAGACATGGACAAGAGAAAAACAGGATTTGGTTGGAACTCGGGCAGGATTTGACGAAATGTTCAGACAATGTGTGGGCAAGGAGCCTCGAAACCAGACGGACGCTAGTTAGAGTTGTCTATCAGGCTCCTACGTGAAAAGGAAAAAACAGAAGTGGTCGGATGCGGATAGCTCCCATTGCCGGCCAATCGGCTACTGGACCTGCAGCGTGACGACACTGCTACAAGGGCTTTTTGATATTTTCATATGAACCCCGCATAGGCGTCTAACTGCTTTGGCGATGCCACGATATAGGATGCAGAAGCTGGTAATCAACGGCATGGATTCGTGAAGAATTGCATCAGCAGATAACGTCGAGCTTGGCTGGTTGCCGGAGGGCGTGTGGCGGTGCGGGGACGTCGAGAGAGAGATGGCATGGCCTGGCAGGGTCGAACTAAGATGCGGGATCCCATGCTTTTCAGATAAAGTGCGACCCTGAGTACCAGATATATGGACATGTTCGTACACTACAGCCACGCAAACGGAGCTACTACATGATACTAAGTAGCCACCAATCTACTGCACACGTGGGGTCCGCCAACACCCGGCAGTGACAATGCACGATGGTGTTCGTAACGGGGAGAGTGGCTGGTGCAGCTGGGCTGCGCCAACGCTAAGCGGGCCGCACCCCCCTGACATGGCTGGGCCTGCCATTGGATGCTTATTTTAACGGACGCGCGTCTTATGTTGAATAAGATGAATCCCGGACGAATGCGTGATATCAGCATGACGCCTTCAGGCACTCTGAACATGGGGGGTCGCATGTAGTAGGTATATTCGGAATCGGAAGACAAGTCTCCCAGGCCATCCAAGGGCGGCCGTTCTGCGGCGGAGTCGTCTTGTTGCCGCCACATCACATACGTATGCGTATGGACTGCTGCAACGACGGCGCATACGAAAGCCTAGCGGAGATTTAATCCGCGCCATGGGTCTAGAAACACGGGGCCAATAGCAGAGATGGCGCTGGCGTAGCTACCCGTGTCTTTTGGACGCTCTTTTGGGCAGTGCATGTCGCGCCTTGTCTGGGGCAGGAAGCGTGGCGGTGCTTCAGGGCCAGCAAACTCGACGATGCGCAAGCAGAAACAGGCTGGCGCCGCAGAAGCAAATTGCTCCATGCCCAAACGCACAACCCAGCGCACACATGCTTCACCTGGAAGATACAAAGAAAAACCGCTGCTCCATGTGCAGCGCGTCTGGCGCATGCAGAGTCTCGACGTCAGGTCGATCAGCGGAGGAACTCACCAAGCTCGGACACAGCCTTGTTAGGCCGGTTTACTGACTGGATTGTGCACCCACCCCCCTTGACGGGGCGCGCCCATATTCATCCCGCTGCGCCCACCGCAACTCTTTGTGCTGCTGCCGCTGCCGCTGCCGCTGCTGCTACCACTACCTCACATGTCCTCTGGGCCAGCTGCGACGCTCCCCTCGATCCATTGCGGCAACCCTCGACTGCGACCCCAGCACCTCGAGGCTCCGCGCCGCCAGTGCTCGCCATAGCCAACTATCCCATGACCATGGCCAGGGCTTACGTCGCGTTACTCAACTCTACGACAACCACGACGACGTGTCTAGTTGGCTCGAACCAGGACATCACCACACTACCGACCCCCTCGCCGCCCCCGCCTAAGCCATACAACCTCACCGCTCGCTCCACGCCCGCCTCTGCCTTCCCCAAGCCTAAGGATTCCGCCCCATACACTTTCTCAAGGCTGCCAATGCCTCTCGAGCTTGCCATCTCCTCGCGGGCGCATTGGCTCAGCCGAGTGCGCTCATGTCTCCGCCTGCTCATCATTGTCCTGAGCGGCGCCGTCGTCTGCATGTTGATGCATACATTTGAGATTTATCGAGGCAACCGCTACATCGACCTGCGCAAGGGAGAGTTGCCCATGGTCTGGCCCGCCCACACAAATCTCGCCCCGAGCATCGTGCTCTTCTGCATTGCAGCCGCCAACTTCCTCGCCTCGGTCGCCATCCTCACCCTCTCCTTCAAGCGCTCCTTCCGCCGCCCCTTTCGCTCACGAGACGTCTATCGAGTCGTTGCTGGCAGCTTCGGCGTCATCACCTGGATCACAGCGCTGGTGGTATTCTACTTGCTTAACAAGGCGAGCAAGGCTAGCTTGGGTCGATACTCGTGCACAAATAAGAACTTGTTGACGAATGGGCGATACCAGTATCGCGCTGTTTGCGAGGAGCAGGTAAGACTATGCGCTTGTCAAACTCTGCCTACAGCATTTGCTAATATAGTATGCAGGGAGTCGCATTCTACACCGCCATCGGTGCTGCCTGTGCAGAGGTCCTCACGCTTGTCACCCTCGCCATTTCTGCAGCCTTGTCGGCCAAGAACAACCAAGAACCAGTCCCGACGATACAGATCCGCGAGAAGAACAACTCCATAAGCTCGGGATCAAAGTACCATAGGCCTCTAAAACGATGACATACAAAAAAATCAACGGTCCTGTTCGATGGTTCTTGTCCGTTGCGCGCTCCGTTCTCCTTTTCCTTATTATGTCGCTGCATGATACCCCGGACATCCTTGTTTAGCGACAAAAAAACCGAGATTTGCAATGGCGTTTTTTGGTTTCCTTTGTTCAGGGCCGCTGGCCTACCGTCATGACCTTTTTCTGCATTGCGCTTTTTTCTTGTCACTTTTGCATCGCATCGCAGCATCGGCATATCCTCGGAGTCTTCTGCGACTTTTTTTGTATAGTGGCATTTTCTGATCAAACAACATCGCACCCTATCACGCAAGATCAAGCAAGCCCATAGGAAGGGCCTATACCAAGCTAGAAAGCGCTGCAGCCATTTTTTCTGGACTGCAGCCTAGATATAGTCCTTGTAATTGGAGCAAATAGAGGGATGTAGCCTCCATTTCAATCGGCTACATAGATAGTAAAACAAAAATCAAACAATGAGAAAAAGTATCTTTCTTATTTATGGTGATGTGTTAGGTTGTCGACGTTTACGCACGTCTAGACTCATTGGTGAATCCATACAGTACGTAAATGGCCGTGGATCCAAGCTTTAGGCTTTGCGCTAGCTGAGATCCCTGTAAAGGCCCGCCGAAATTCAGATGCTCGAACTTTTCGATGCGTGCAACGCGACATCACTTGCGCCATGGGGAAGAGGACTGCCTATGACGCACATGCCAGGAGTGCACATGTTGATCGCGAGAACAAGCGCCAGAAAATCGACACCCACTATGAACGCAATTCACCACGGCCAAATGGCAGTGCCGACGAAGTTACCGCTGCGCGCGACCTGCAGAATGCTCTGTTTTTTGACCAGAGCTCCCAGAGCAACTTTCGAAGCGGTACGTATAGCTGGTATCACGAGATAATAGTAGAGACTTATTGGCATAGGCCTAAGCTTGTTCAAACGTTTCCTGGATTCCATCCTTTACCCGGCCGACGAGCACGATCTGCCCCGCAAACGAGCTATTCTCCGCGAGTATCTGGACACGCAAAAGGGAAAAGGACGAGAGGAAAAGGATAAGGTTTTCTTGCAGAATCTTACCCAAGCATGGGATTATGCAGTCGAGACCAACAATAGTCCTATCGTTTCCCAAGTCACCGCTGTGTTCGCGCTTCTATTCAAGGTCTTTTCTAGCCATGGCGATTTCCTAGAGTACGGCACACTTTTGGCAAAAACACTCCTGCAACCTTCTATTGCACGCCGTTTCGTGCGTAGTACTTCGGCTGCATCCAAGGAAGAGAGCGTCATTGCGCCTGCGCTCCGTCTGCTTACCGAGCTTACAAGATTCAATGAAGGCGCTCATGCGAGGGCTGTCTATGCAAAAAGAGATTTTACTCTCGAACCCAAGATACTGGGGAGAAACATAAATTTGAGCAGAGAACAATCGGTGGCCGACCATGTTAAGAAACCAAGCATCCGAACCACGGCGATCCGATACCTCTTGACGCACCTAAGGTACCAGGATGAACGCGCGAAAAGCGAGATACTTTCCAACACCAACGTTGTGCGCACCGTCTTCGACCACATCCGTACAGACCCGCCGTTTCTGATATACGAGATACTCGATGTATTCAGAAGCCATGTGTTCCAGGACAAAGCAATTGCACGACAGATCAAGAGCAGGATCTTGAGCGGAAAGACACTTTCGCGAATAGCAAGTTTATACAGCTATGAACCAGAAGAGGGGTCGCTTTCTGAAGGACAAAAGGCACCCGACCAGCTCGCTCATGATTTCTTACGCCTAGTGTGTACCGATCCCGCATATGGTGTTATGCTGCCTACGCAGGGTTTCTATCCATCTGCATTTGACGACAACGATGATGAACATGATGATGCAGTTGATTACGGCAATGACCTGGGACTCGACACCGTCGGCAGTTATAGCAAGATAACAAAAGTACGGAACATTATCTTGTCAGAGTTCGTTCAAAGTCAGAGACCATATGCAAATACCCTGCATCAGGAACTTGTTGTGGATATATTCCGAGCTTGCCCTGAGCTAATTGCAGACTATTTCATCAAACGACGCGACTTCAGCTACGACCCCAAGCTCACGTCAACCTGGATCGGCTATTCGGCATTCCTGTGTCAAACCATTCAGCTACAAGTTCCAAAATATTTTGGTGCGAAAAAAAACTATCGCGACTATCCTCCTCCAGTACCTGTGCTGATGAACAGCATCCTGCCTCAGCCTTTGAATCAACAAGTGCTCACAAAGTGTCTCAACCACAGCTCAGATCTCGTACAATTATTCGCGATACGGGTCTTGATTGTGGCCCTTCAAAAGCTACGAGGGATCCTCCAAGAACTCAGCAACGCCAGTGCTGTGAAATCATCCAAACAGTGGGAGCAAGCAGCTAAGCGTTTAGTATCAGAGGTTAGCCGACGTTGCCCAGCGATCCGGACGGTCTTTTTGGCGCTTAAGAAGCCCGGTCTCAAGGACATGAAGCGAGAGTCAATCACAAGGTTATTGCGACTCTACTATGAGGTGACTCCTCAAGTCGCGCTTCAGGAAAAATTTGATGTATCTCTGCCACTGTGCAACGCCTTGGTGGAGGCTGAGAAGCCGACTGCGTCACCAGAGGACAAGGTCTTTCGCATCATGGAGCTTGAACACTGGATACAAATGGCAAGGCTGTCGCCAGCGATGCGCTGGTGGCAGAAGCAGAGTAGGTCTTCACCTTACCTGTCACATTAGCTTGTGGACCCGACTAACAATGACAGAAACGCTTTCATACTCGCCATTTGTCACGCTTTTGAAACTACTGGTAACATCAAAGGAGAGCGAGCTCTATGCGGGTATCCGATCTCTGCTGAGTGATATCTTGCAGGATCAGGAGATGCTGCAAACCAAGACTTCGCCCGATGCGCTTGACGCACTCATTGCCAGTCTGGGATCAACATCAGGATCAAGCGCATCCTCAGCAGAGGTACTTGAGTTCCTGGATGACTGCTGTGCGCGTTTCACCAAGGTGCCCATTAAGTACTTTGACGATCTGGATGCCATGTGCAGCCGCATTGGACAGTCTGCAAGCGACATGGGGCCGTTTAGCAACCTGCTGGTCACTCTAGTGGAGCAGTGGCCATTCAAGGGCGGAGAGACAGCAACGAGTAACGCAGCCGATGCTCTTGCACAATGGTTATCGCGACTTCTCTATCTCCTGAAACTCATTGGCGAAGATGAGAGAATGCTGGGCCAGGTCCGCGACGCCCTTGTTGAATCGGCCAATGCAGCATACAAAGAGGTGCTCAAGGATGCTTTCCTGTGGAAGATGGGCAAGGAAAAAGCCAAGGAATCATTGAAGTTGGCAACTGGTGCAGACTTCAGCGGGTCGGAACGATCGTCGACGTCACCAGTTCCAGTAGCAGCGCGAGCACAGGAAGCTGAACAGCAAAGTAGGACGAGATCTGCGGTCGATCTGGAGGCACCCCCAGCTGAAGACGAAAAACACACAGGTCTGATACGCTGGAGGAAGAAGGAACTGAGTGAAGCAGTTGAAGACGGAGACATTGGAGAGTTGATTCTGTGTCTCTGCTCCGAACACGGTGAAATCCGCAAGCAGGCCATCAACAACATCCGACAAGTTACAGCAACGATCAAGTTCAGCAGTCAAGGAGATGGCTCTGGAGGGGATGCTGGAAGCAGCATCAACTTTGATCTTCAACAACTCTATCTCCTTCTTGGTGAGCTTTTGGAGTCTATTGATGAGACTGGTGGGGAGGCCTTTCCGTACGTTGGTGGCGTGTTGGCTGCGCGTTGCGCGAGCATCGTTGCAGACCCAACTCACTCGCTTTTCAGCACAATTAACCGATTTCTCACTGCCTCACCAGCGTGGGATGTCAGCTCTTTGCTGCGTTTCTTCTGGCACCGTATCGTGGCCAGCCAGCCAGACGACGACACGACCTATCACAAGGAGGTGGATTGGTACCTGGATTACTTGATGGATAGTTTGAGGACAGGGGCAGACATGGAGTTGTTTAGAAGAAGCAACATATTCGAACAACTACTGAGCCACTATGGGTCTCGGTCATGTTCGGCGTCTGCCAAAGACAAGATTGTGAAGCTCCTGTTGCGGGCGACACATGTAGGGGGAAGCACAACGCTCATCACACGGTGCGGACTGATGGCTTGGATCCAAATGATGCTCGACGGATATGACGCGCGACAGGGTGCCCTGAGGATACTAGCTTCACGTGTTTTTGAGACATGCGATCAGGAGAAGGTGGCAGCGTGGAGTAGTGGTGGTCTGGGCGAGACGGTGGCTTGTCTTACCAAAGCCTAAAGATATATATGATATCTATTTAATTTTTCTTGAGCATACTACTAAAAGGCCCACGGCTGACTGAAGTTCTGTGCCACGATCAAGTCACATGCGGTGAACCCTAGAATGACGCACCTACCGTGTTTCCGCACCAGGTCTTGGCAGGGCTCTCTGTCGTAGAGGCCCGCACCACTGGCGACCCAATACACACTGCCATAGCAAACGCACCCTACCATTTGCACGCCCACACTTCCCCTGTATCCCATTTGCGCCTTTGGAGCGACGACGGCATTTTTGAGCCACAACCACGCCCGCCCTTACCACAAAGTCACGACTCGGGAGCTGATCCCTCTCCGCTTCAGTCGCCGCTACTGCAGCCCAGGGTGTGCGCTACTCCCCTACCACGTTGCATCCCACCAAGAGCTCATTCACCTCACTCTCCAGCCTTGCGACACACACGCGCGCTTGGATCGAACGCCACAAACCCTGGCCCTCAGCATCACACCTCTCAGTTCTTCCACCTAACCACAATCCACAACCCATCGCCCACGCCCGCACACACACACAGACGCAATCATATCCAATTGCAAGCGAGTCGACAGCAAGCCACTACCAGACAGCCCTGAAGCTGCCCCTGCCGCCGTCGCCCGGCACTCCAAACCCTCCAATTTGCATCCTGCCCTGCTGTCTCGAGCTCCAGCAGGTCGCTCCCGGCCTGCCCCACTTTCATCCCCATGTCTGCGGTGCCCTCAGTCGCGACAATGCGGGGGCCGTCGTACTCAGAGGCTCAATTGCTGGCCCTGAAGGAGTCCCCGCTGGTGAAGAAACCCGATGGCCTGCCGTCAATCTCGCAATGGATGGACGTGCCTGTCGATCAAAATGCCAATAATGGCCACACAAGCAACAATAACAACAACAACAATACCAATACCAACAACAACGGTACTATGCGTCGCACTCGAGGTGCACGGGAGGGAGAAGGCGCCACGGCAAACGACCAGCGACCGCTCCACAATCCCATGGGCCAGTTTGGTCGGCGCCAGAGTATGCGTAAGTCTTCTGATGCCCAGGGCATCAAGGCCGCTATTAACGCGCTTTTTGTAGAACCCGGCGAAGAGACTGTGCTCGGCCCGCCAAAGCTAGCCTTCCTCTCAGCCCGCACTCCGGCCAAAGCAGTGGGTGACGCAAAGGAACGCACCGGCCTCACATCTACAGACGGAGACAACGGCGGAGATCGCTTCCCAAAGAACGACCGATGGACGCGGGACCGTGAGACTGATCGGACCCGAGATAAGGGCTACACCAATGGACGCCGCGCCCCGCGAGATGATGGTGAAGGCTGGACCAATGTCAAAGGTCGCAAGAGCCTGGGCCAGGAAGACTTTGAGCGCTTCGGCCGCAATGGTGACCGCAACCGGGATAAGCATGAGGGTGACCCAGAGGCTGAAGCGGCCCCGCGTCGTAATACCCGTGATCGAAATGAGCCGCGATGGGGGCGTCGTGACGAAGGTAGAGATGAGGGGGCAAAGACTGGCGTCCAGGGCGGTTGGCGCGAACGCGAGCGAGACCGGGAGCGAGACAATGGCCGCGAGTGGACCCGTGGTAGTGCGGCCCGTGGTGAGGATGACCCGGAGTGGATGGACGCCAAGGTGGAGAAGAAGGAATTCAAACCTCGCACACAAGAAGACTTCCAGCGCTGGAAAGAACAGATGCGGGCCAAGGACACACCAGGTGGTGACAAGGACGAGCCGAGAGAGGCTCCTACAGAGATGCCTACTGCAAGCGCTATCACTGCGGCCCCCATGTTAACTGCGCCTTTGCATACACCTTCTGCTGGCGAACCTACTCAAGGTATTCTCTTCGGAAACTGGGGCAGGGACAAGTCTGCAGAGATGCCACCTGTAGAGACTATCTCAGCCAAACCAAGGGCAGACAAGAAGTCGAGGTTCATGACCATGTTCGCCAAACCCGAAGAGCAGCAGGCAGCACCGAACCAACCTCCGGCACAACACTCTGCATCTCCTGCACCTCCCATGGAAGCAAATGCTGACAAGGAAGGCTTTCAACGCATTCTTCAGATGCTCGGTCAAGTCAGTACAGGTCCATCACCAGCTCCACTGCCACAAACAAATATGCCTACGCCACCAAATGGCATGAGACAGGGTGGTGGCATCTCCTTAGATTTCCATCAACAATCTCCTCCGCCAGACCCACTACATGGCAGAATACCACCACCGCGAACTCTTGAGCAGCAGAGTATTCTGGAGAACATCTTGGCTCCTCGCCCTGCCGCACCAGAGTCTCGTCCATCGCAGCAGCTTCGCTTTAACAACATGTCAACAGAGAACCTACACTCTGATCAATTCAGACTTCCCCGTCCCGGTTCCGGTCACCCTGAAGACCACTTCCCTCATCAGCCACCCCCACCACGAACCATCGCTCAAGATGCTAACCTCACCGCTCTCCTGAATAGCCGAGCAAGGGAAGAATCACAACGTGATCAAGCGACGAAACAACGTGAGCGTGACTTTTTGCTAAACCTCATGCAACAGCCTTCTCGCGGCACACCGCCTCAGGCACAAGGTCACGGTCTACCTCGCCCGGCCCAGGAGAACCCCAATATGGCTTTCTTTGATCAGCAAAGACAGCAACCGCAACCACCGGCTCAGCACCAGCCCAAGGGCCGCGGTGGTCTTCCACCAGGGTTTATGGAAGATCCTCGCATGTTTAATGAAAGCGAAATGTTGCGTCGAGAGGCCGCCGATCGCCGTGAGCAAATGGAGCTCCGCCAATTGCAGCAAATGCAGCAACAACAAGAGGCCATGCGCTCGAAGAATCCGCGCATGCCCATGGGATTCCCTGGCCCTGAAGATGCTCTCATGGGCCTTCAGCGTCGTAACACAGGAAGCGATCCTCGCATGCCTACCAACATGGGTATTCCTTCACAGCCCACACCCGACATGCAGTATATGGGCGGACGAGGCCAGCCCGGCATGCCACCCACACCCCAAGAGCGACCAAATATTGCTCCACCACCGGGCTTTGGAGGTCCCATGCGTCAACCACCTGGTCTTGGTGGCCCCACTCCTCCACAGATGGGTCCTGGAGGACCAAGTTTCTCCGCTGGCAACACACCGCTTGGGCACCCTCCTGGATTTCCTCCCGGTGGCAACATTCGTGGATTAGGATTCCCAGGCGGACCCGGTGGGCCAGGAGGTCCAGTAGGACCTGGTGGCAACGGCATGCAAGGTCCACCCGGCTACTTTCCACCACCAGGCTATGGTGGACCACCGATGCCAGGTATGCGTGGTGGTGAGGACCCGAGAATGATGTTTGACGGCCAGTTCAACGGGCCTCCGCGACAACAGCCAGGCCGTCCGGGACCACCCAACATGTACTAAGAAGTAGAACAAACGATGTGCAGTACATGCGCTCTGAAAGAGATGGTACGCAGCACATTGCACTAAGAGAAGAAATGTTACGCGGAGCGAGGCCTGTCCTGATTTGCAAAAGCAGCAAAACGCATTGTTGAAGCAAAAGAGAGACCAAAACGGAGCAAACAACAATTACCATTGTGATTGGATTAATTGATTAATTGATTGATCTTTTCGGCCACTATGTCATGTATATGTTTGGTTGGTTGGCGGCTTACTTGTAGAGCATAGCGTGGCGTCCCGAGGAAAACATGTATGCTACATGCACAAGTCACGTATGTGTATTAATGTAAAGAGTTGTGAAGATTGTGAGCTATGTTGTTTTACCGTGAATCGAATGTCGCTGTCTGTATATACATGCATAGCTTGCAGTAGCGTGCTTAAACACTCTTGCCTTGTGAGGGCTTGAATAGGAGCTCTTATCATAATTGGCCTCCAAGTCAGTTGATACCTGCCTAGATTCGCTACGCCTCAAAACTGCTGCCATGTCCAATAGGCAGCCCACGGCCATGCAGCCTTGCGCGGGCATCAGGTACCTGCTGGGGACCTGTTTGACGTGCTCTGCGACTCTTACCTCTACCTGCCTGTATTGCATACCGTTATCAAGCCTGTAGGTATTGTTGGCAGAACATGCTGGAACACGATGCGCCTTCTCAAGTCTTCCGTAACAGGCAGCAACTTCGAGCTAACATCTTTTGATGACGACCTTGCCCCTCCGTACGCCATCCTCTCTCATACCTGGACAGAAAACCAAGAAGTCACTTTTGATGAGCTACTGAAGGGAACAAGCAAAGACAAGGATGGCTATGCTAAAATTCGATTCTGCGGCGAGCGCGCTGCAGCAGACGGACTCGAGTATTTCTGGGTCGATACCTGCTGCATTAACAAGGCTACGAGCGACGAGCTGAGTACAGCAGTTAACTCCATTTTCCACTGGTACCAGCGTGCAGCCAAGTGCTATGTACTACTCATAGACGTTTCTGTACCTGAAGGAGCCACTAGCACTGAGATATCTGACATATTATGGAAGCAAGCCTTTCAACGCAGCCGATGGTTCACGAGAGGCTGGACTCTGCAAGAGCTACTAGCGCCAACCAGCATCAAGTTCTTTTCCCGAGACGGCAAGTGGTTAGGCAACAAGATATCGCTAGAGCAAGAGATAAACAGAGTCACTGGCATACCCGTCGAGGTGTTGAGAGACCATAGCCTTACCGAGTTTAGTATCGAGGAGCGAATGAGTTGGTCTGCAAAACGCACGACCACGATCAAGGAAGACAAAGTTTACTGTTTGCTCGGCATCTTTGGAGTATTTCTGGCGCTCATTTATGGAGAGGGAGAGGAGTATGCAGCTTTGCGACTCAAAGAGGAAATACAGAAACGACAACAAGGGAGCAAGAAGGTGGATTTGCAAGACTCTTCTGGTTTGTATTGAGTAGCATTGAATTACATGAGCCACTTCGCTGATGATCTACAGCCGTATTGTCACTTCCTTTTCTACGAAATGAGCGCTTCGCTGGACGAGAGAGTCAGCTTCAGTCGATGAAACAAATTTTACTTTCGCCTAGCGCCCATCAATGGCTGACGATATATGGACTCGGGGGCTGTGGGAAATCGGCGCTTGCTCTCGAGCTTGCGTATCGCGCATTTGCGGATCAGGCCAGACGCCTAGTTTTCTGGGTGCCAGCTATAAGTCAGGAGAGTTTTGAGCTTGCCTATCGAGACATTGGAACTCAGCTTCGCATACCAGGAATCGATGATGCGAATGCAGATGTGAAGCAACTTGTCAGGGATGCATTAAATTCCGGAAACTTGGGCCATTGGCTAATGATAGTTGACAATGCGGATGACTCGGAAGTCTTGTTAGGAGTCAGCAACAAGACAACTAAGCTAGTTCGATTGATTGACTATATTCCTCTCAGTATAGGAGGATCTGTGTTCTTCACTACTCGCAGTAGAAAGGCAGCAACAGATCTGACCTCAAATAACGTCCTCGAATTGAACGATATGGACAAGTTTAAAGCTCGGCAGCTATTTGTTCACCGAATAAACAACCGAGCACTGCTGAGTGACGAGACAGCTGTTGATGCTCTTTTAGAGATACTTACAGGCCTTCCACTGGCTATCGTGCAGGCTGCCACTTTCATCAACCAGAACGAAATATCAGTCTCTGAGTATGCATCACTGCTCCAGCATGCTGGCACCAAGGCTAAGCTCTTTAGCGAGCACTTTGAAGACCCAAGTAGGTACCGAGACATGGACAGCACTGTCGCGAAGACGTGGCCTATCTCTTTCGAGCAAATCCAGAGGCAAGACCCTCTTGCAGTGGAGTACCTTTCGTTCATAGGGTGCATTGATTGCATTGGCATTCCCCAGTCGCTATTGCCTCCGAGGGCATCCACTGTGCATCAGATAAAGGCAATTGAAACACTGACTGAATACGCGTTTATTACAGAACGAAGATAGGCTGCGTTAGAATCTAGCACGGACAGGCTTTTCGATATGCACCGACTAGTACATATGGCGTTGATATGGTGGCTCGAGGGGCATGGCAAGCGGGAGAAGTGGGCAGGCATAGCAGCAGCCCGAGCTGAGGAACTTTTGTCGCATGTTTGGCATGAAAGAAAAGAAATACGGGGCGTGTACCTTCCACATGCACTGTACTTGGCTGGGCTCGTTGACATCGTAGACGGCGTAATGAGAGCTTTACTGCTAGAACAAGTCGGCTGGTGTCAACACATTTTGGGGCTATATGCAATATCCGTGACAGCAAACTAAACAGCAGTATCGCTGAGGAAGAAATTGTTAGGGCCTGATCATCTAGACACCCTGAGGAGTATGGGCGACCTAACATTAGCCCTGGAAAAGGAGGAGAAATACTACGAGGCCGAAATGATCTGTAGGGAAGAGCTGGCGATACTTGAAAAGATGCAGGGGCTTGAAAACCTACATACACTGTGGAGTATGAACAGCCTGTCGTGCGTACTGTATAAACAAGGCAAGTCTGACCAGGCTAAGGCGTTGGCCCGGCAGACACCAGCGCAGTGCAAGAAGTCGCTAGGACCTGAACATAAAATTACAACATCAAGCATGGATACTTTGGCTATGATACTAGACAGCCAAGAAAGAGATGAAGGAGCTGAAGTATTGATCGACCAAGAGCTGGCGATACGCGAAAAGTTGTGCGGGCCCGAAAATCCGGACACACTGAGCAGCATGAGCAACGTGGCTATGGTACTATATCGACAGGGCAAATATACTGAGGCCGAAGTGATATGCCGGCAGGTGCTTGAGCGGCAAGAGAGCGTAAGGGGACCCGATCATGTAGGCACGCTGACCAGCATGTTCAACCTTGCGGTTTGTCTCAGGGAAAAAGGATGTGTGTCAGAAGCTTTGCCCATGTTGCGCAGAGCATTGACTGGATATACTGCTGTGCTGGGGGAAGCCCATCCAGATACCGTGTCGTGTCGTAAGGAATACAATTATCTCCTTGATTTACAAGAGAGAGAGAGAGAGAGAGAGAGAGAGAGGGACGATCGAGGACGGTGGAAAGAGGCGTATGCACAGGTTAAAACGTTTATGGCCATTTTTTTCTAGCATTTTACATAGGATTTCTAGGTAGGGATACGGTAGGATTTTCTATTCGATTAGGTAACTGAGATGCTGTATCCGTTAATTTGATCAGTGAAGAGATGACTGAGGAAACAAAAGGGGTAATCGTAATCGAATCAACCAGCAGATTTCTCACACAAGAAGCAGAAAGAATACTGAAGAGTCTTGAAACAGTGAATTTGGATATACTACCGCTACCACAATAATTTTAACCCCTTATGCTTCTTCACCGACAAAGGAGAAAAAGGGAATCCTCCACAATATTTTTCTCTCTCCACCCCCAGAATACAATCAAGAAAGAAAAAAAAGGAGTTAGGGGAAAGGGGGCCATGTGTCTATCCACCATTAGCACTCACAGCACCAGCATGCCCAAAAAACTAACTGCAGCAAACGCAGCATAAAGACCCATTGCCAACTTGCCATGCGCAAAGAAGCCCGGCGCATTCACCACTGCCGCTGCCGCACCAGGCGACCCGGAACTCTTCACCGCACCACCACCATTACCACCACCACTAACGCCCGCAGTCCCCTTACCCGTAGCCGTCGGCACAGACCCTTGACCATTCACGCCCGCCGCACTCAGCAAGCCCGTACAGACACTCGCGGTAGCCGCTGACTGCGTCTTCGCCCTACCGGAAAAGGAACACGCATCGGCGCGCTTGTTCTGACCGATATAATACTGATTCGCGACAAACGCGAGTTGATCCTTTGGATCGCAGCCCGAGTACGCGCCGTACTCTCCCTTGGTGGCGTTTCGCGCGATACCTGAACAGTACTTTTGGTTTGCGCCGCAGATGTAGTTGAAGTCGTTGGGGTAGGCGTCTTGGTTATCGGAGGTGTATGTGCACTGAAGGCTGTCGAGCATGCAGGCGCAGAGTTGGGGGTTGACTGTTGGAGGTAAAGGCGAGGCTTGTGGGAGCCATGTGCCGCCGACGGAGGGACAGGCCGGGGCGGTGTTTGTGGGGTTGTAGTTTGAGCGTTGGGTGGCGGAGGGGGTGACTGAGGCGAGTTGGTCGCGGAGAGAGGTGAAGTCTGGGTAAGGGGAGACGCTGGCATCGTTGTCAGTGAGCTTGACGAGGCCGTAGTTGTTGGCGCCCATGAACCATTCGTAGACTATGCCGCCGGAGAAGACGTTCGTCATGTTGCCGTAAAGGACGGGGACTTCGGTGAAGGGACGACTTGTGGGACCCCCCGGGAGGCCCTCGATGCAACCGTATTCAGCGAAGAAGACGGGGACGGGGTAGTCGGAGAAGAATTTTACGCGCTCGTCGTAGGAGGAGGATTGGTAACTGCTGTTGCCGCACCAGGAGTAGACGTTGTAGCCCCAGAAGTCAATGGAGGTCTTGTTGCCTGAGTCGCCGGGCTGGCAGGCAAAGTAATGGGCAAGTTCGTTGCGAGAAGGCACGTCAGCGGTAGCATAGCCCACACCGAGGGTCTTGCGGTAGTTTTGGTTCTGGATGTACGTCTTTGTGTCGCGGACAGCAGCCTTGACAAAAGCAGCAGCAGCGGTTTGATTATCTGAGCTGACGTTCTCGTTGCCGGCGAAGAAGCCAATGACATTCTTGTACTTGCTCAGCGAGTCAACAACACCCGTGTACCTGCGGTAGAGAGTGACATCCCACTCCGGGTCGTTTGAGCGAATCGAAGTAGAGGGCTCGCCCAGGTCCGAGACGACGTAGATGTCAGCGCTGGCCAGCTGCGCCATGCAGTCGTCGTGGTTCTTGGTGGGGTCAATGGCATAGACACGGATGACATTGGTGAAGAGCTGCTTCAGGTAGGGAATGTCTCGTCGGCAGGCAGCGCCATCTGCAAGGGGGTCCGTGTAGGTGGCATTGGCACTGGTAGAGCCGTTGGGGCTGTAGTTTTGCTGATAGGCAACGCCCTTCATGAAGCTGCGAGATGTGTCAGTGTGACGTAGTATGTGAATGCGAGCAAATTACCACTTACAATTGCGAGCCATTGTTTGTGTAGAAAAAGTGCTGGCCAAAGACCTCAATCTCGGGAATGTCGTCGTAGCTGGCTGCCTGAACGCTACTGGCAGCGAGCGCCGCCACTACAGCTTGGAGCACGCTCTTCCACATGACCGTTGCAGTGGGTGTGGGTAACGAATGTAAGAAATTATCAACGAGCGTACAAGGGCGCGAAAGCCTTCTTATATGTAAGTGTTTGTGTGCAGTGGTGGTGAACAAAGACACGGATGGCTGGCTGAAAGACTGACTACCTATTGGAGAGACCGGGGGTGACGGGTGTTTTCATATGCCAGGGACGCGTGTCTCTGGAGGGGCAGGTTTTACAGCATGGGGCTGCAGGTACTACATACGGACGAGTGTGCTATTCTAATCACTTTAATGGCGCTGGCCGGGCCGAGGGGACGACGACGTAATCGGATGGTGATGATGATGATGTTGGTGGTGGGTGAGTGGGGCTGTGCTACTGGCCCACTTCTCTCCACTGATCCCGGGCTAAGCTTTGTGACCTGTGGCTTGGTCTGGTTGGCTTCCCCGGATTCTGCCTGGCGACGTTGCGGGCTGCCACTCGTGAAATTCTACTACATGTACCGTTCATTCATCATGGTACAAACTGTCACTCCCATTCTTCCCATCACTTATGGATAGCTGCGGCACCGAGTTGACGCCCGGCCGTAAGGCCAGCATCCGGCCTCCCGAAGGTGCGCCACTTTCTGCCGTATCTAACGCCGTTTAGCGTGGCCGCGCGCCTACACACTACGCGTATACAACCAATATACTACTCACATACGCACTAGTCCACTCCTCTCAAGCACCTACCCATGTCTTCACCTGCGCCCACAATAGCACTCGCCCTTTCTCGTACTCCATCGTCTTATTTCCGGCTCTCTGCAATTTCTTAAAACACTGCATCGCTTGCCATAATGGCTCCAACGGCACAAACCGGAACACCACCGCTCTCAGGCCTATCTGTACCTGACCGATTTTTGCTTAAGCACCAGCCTCAAGACGTGCCGCAGCCATGTTATGATAGACCTCGGTGTCATCGCGGCATCCATTGAGTCTCACCTCCCGAAACGATGGCGTTGGACCGACCCGGATTCTGTGCTTGACGCACTACTTCACCGGCTCCTGTTAAGTAACGCCGCCACAATCAAACTTTTGTGGCGTAGCATCACATCCAACCCTTCGGAACTGCCGCGGTTTATGGATGCTTATCCTGCTAAGCTTTGATGCCGCGCTGTGACATGCATTAGCCACAGCCAACGCTTTGCACTAATTGTCAAGTCCACTGGACTCAACAATGGTTATAATCATCGACTGGAGACCATGAACAGTAAATATCAGTACAAACCAGTTCAATACCCGTTGGCCTGAGGAAAACACTAAGCGTGCGTCAGTGTCCATCACCTGCAAGGTTTGACACTCGAGAATGACAAGCGTTCGAGACTTGAAACTTGTCGTAGCGACTTGGCCATGGGCCTCCCGGGGTCGACAAGACAGTGCGAAACTTGAACGTGCGTTGGTGACTAACACCAGTCAGAACCACAACTGTGTAATGTGGTGCAGTCTAGTCTTGGATTGAGACCTCGAAAGGATCCATAGGGTATTAAAACACTAACAGCCCAGTTCTTTGTTCGAAGCCATGGCCGAAGAAAAAATGCCTGACACTATCACCTCAACGCAGAATTCAGGCTACAACCCTGCCAAGTACCCAAGACCTCTGACAACGTGGCAGCCATAACCTTGGCGTTCTTATCCATATTCGTACTTCTTCAGTCGAAACGTTGCGCCTGATTCACTGGCGTCTTCCCTCCGGAAATGTTGAGTACCGTGACCGTGGCGTTCGTCGTTCTGTTACCTAGGCTGAGCGCATAAACAGAATCACCCGTAGTGCAGAGATCACTAACACCCCAACAGATGCTTGCCGAACCGAACTCATCATAAAGACAATTGTCTCGAGAAAGGCATTAGCGATCAAATGGGAAGAAGGATCATTGGATATAACCGCAGATATAAATACCATAACCGTGCCTTTAGTCGAGCCTCGTATTCCCTTTGCACAAACAGTATTTGCGCCGCCCTTACGAGTCGTTCATCGAATAGGTGCCCGCGTTATCTATCAATCTCTTAACAGTTAATCTATCGCTAGTTTCTGAATCGGTATGATACAATATTTTACGCAAATGACTCTGGGACAAAGCAAATCATATATATCGAAGACATTGTGTCCCTCAGCCAATGGTTAGCTACGACACACTTCATATGCACGCGAACAAATCAAGGACGCCTGATGGCTAGGCACAAAGTGCCTAGCAATTTTTGACGGATCCGTACAAGCGGGATCGGACATGCGGTGAAGACGAAACAGTGCCTGTATCAGAGCATCAAGCGGGAAATGCCACGCCTATCTTTTCCCAAAGGCGTAATTTTGAATCGGGAACCAAGACTACCTGTTGCAAATAATGCGCAAACCATCCAAATCTTGGCGCTCGGGTACTGCAAGTAGAAAGCTGCGGAGCTGGAGCTGGAGTAGGGAGTGGGGAATGGGGAAGGGGGCTGGAGGGCGGTTGGTCGCCAATGCGACATCTGCTTCAGCAATTTTTCTCTTCCGACCAATTACGTTTGGTGAGATGGAATTGCGACGAGATTGGAGATTGGGTGCAGGAGGGTTTGGGTTCACATATAACGCATTGACGAAGGGGTCGGGAACCCACCCACCCCTTAGCGCCAGTGCGTAACGGGCGGCATCTATCACCCTCGGGTCGTTCTGATCGTTGCAAGATTAACAAATCACATTCTTTCTTCAACTCCAAGGTTCATCAAGGGAACACGTTCTTTTTTGAAGCTGTTTACAGCCTTTTCGACCTGTTTTTCTCGTTGCCCCCATTTTGTTGTTGGACGAAACATCGACTTGTATATCACCAGATGAGGAAATTCGCATTTAAGCCTTTCAAGGGCGACAAGACGGCTCACACGGATGGTATGTTCCCCGCTTTTACCTGTTCACGCGGGCCGGGAAAAAAGCAAAGTGGTATACCATAGCCTTATTGTCTGACACCCAAGGCAGATCCCACAGAATCTCGGAACCCAGTACAAAAACGACGTGAGCAAGTTCGCAGGGCACAAAGGTATATTTCTAAACGTTCTCATTTCCCCTGCGGCGTGTTCTGCATATGTTTGTTGCCAATAACATCCGATGTTGTTTCTCTAGGTTCCTTTAATCTAACATGACACTTAGAACCCACCGCGAGCGAAAGGAAACATACATCGCATCTCTAGAAAGCGAAGTTGTTCGCCTTCGCGCCAAAGAAGCACGCCTCGAGTCAAAAATCAAAACACTCTATGCCGAAAATAGTGTCCTAAAAAAGGGCTTGACACAACAAGATATCCCGCTACCCACAGCAAACGAAGCAGCAGAGGAGACCATAGGTCTCACCGTCTTCCAAGAAAACAGCATCACCAAAAAGGGAAGCTGGCGAAAGCAAATCTCCGTCACACAACCCCACAAACCCATCACAAACTTCTCGCAACCAATCTCACCCCCTTCCTCAAAATCCTCATCCCACTCCCCCTCCCCAACCCCCACACCGCCACCCACCACCCACCTCGGCGCCCTGGACCCGGATATCATCGGCATGGACTTCGTCCTCACCCTCGAATCCCACTGCCTCTCCCACACCGACATCTCCCTCATCCCCACCCCGCACCACCCCCGTACATCCAGCCTCCCCACAACAACCGGCCACGCCCTCACCCTCTCCGCCTGCCTCCTCTACACCCACCCTTCCCCACCAGGCCACCGCCAGCACTCGCAAACGCCCTGGCGCGCGCCCCGCTCCTCGCTCTCGCACTTGCTCAGCATATCGTCCAACGTCCCGCTTGCAGATGGCGAGGTGACGCCTGTCCAAGCTTGGGAGTATGTACGGCAACATGCAGCGTTTAGTGGGTTGGAGGTGGGGAGGTGGGAGATGTTGAAGGAGAAGTTGCTGGGTGCGGTACGGTGTTATGGGTATGGGGGTGTGGTGGAGAGGAAGGTGTTGGAAAATGTAGTTTTTGAGGCGTTTGTTGTTGGAAGGATCTTCTGAAGGGGAAGGTTGTGGTAAATACAAGGGAGATAGAGTAGCATGTTTGGTGTGGGAGTTTTTAGTGGGTCGGGGTGGGTAGTATATGGTATTCATTTTTTTTAAATAATAGAGTTACAGGTGGTTTAACTATGGTACAGCGGTTAATGCCACAGCTGCGGAATCTAATGTTCTTTCTATGCTCGAGTTCTCTTAGGTTTGGTGTTGCTACAACCCGACAGTGTGCAACCTACGTATTTGCTTCCGGGTTTCTGGAGCTGAAGCGGGTGGGAAGATATCTCCAGCAGTTGGCCGGGGTCTATGCATCTGCCGCGCTGGGGTTGGAAGAGTAGCAGGCCGACTCATCTCAGTAGGCTGCTTATTCACTCCACGTGGTGTACGACGCGCTTCATAATCAGTATCCTCCACATCCTCTTCCTCAAGATCCTCAATATCATCTTCCAACTCTTTAAGCGCCTCGTCAGCCGTCCTAATCTTCCTCTGATGCGTTCTCACAACCCCACCCCACAAAGTCTCCAAATCCGTCTCCGCTCTCTTCTCCTCGGTAAACATTTGCACCACCACATTAACACCTGGCTTGATATCCCGGAACCCGACAAACTCCTGTACATTGTCGCCGGGCATATGTGTATCTTCTGGATGCGCTTCTAGTTTGCCCAACGTACAGCAGATCCAGCCCGTGCGAATACCATCATCAATGTTGCCTTCCGGTATCGCTCCGCCAACATTCGCAAGCATGCGCATTCGTTTTGCCTTGCGTCTCAACTTGATTTTTAGTTCGTTCCGGCCGAGCAGTCCTGCTGCATTCGCCTTTAAACCGTACTCTCTCCGTAGGTACCGACAGAACCTGTCTGCTGCTACGTGTAAATGTTTTTCTGATCGGGCTGTGGCAATGATCATGATCAGCTTGGGACCGAGCGCTGGTGGGGGATCGAGGTGCCGTAGGTCGAGAAGCTCTAGATCGTCTAGACCAGCTGTGACTGAAATGTAGTCGAGGAGGGTTTCGAGGAGTGGTGGGGGGTTTGGTGGAAGCGCGGGTACCTTGGCGGGTTGTTGGACTGGTAATTGTACGGATGATTGCTGTTTGAGATACCATGGAATAGAAGCATCTTGTGCAGAAGGCGTTGGCGCAGTCTGTTCTAGATTGTCGATGGAATCTGTCGCAAGGCCGTGTGAGTCGGAACTGGATATCGCTTGTTTTTCATTATTGCTTAGAAAGGCGAATTCAGGGTCTTCAGCTGAAGCACTGTTATTTTGCGATCCTCGAGACAGGTTCGTGCTGAATGCGCATTGTGGAGGTTTCAGAGGCGAGGCGCGGGATGTTATGCGGTTGGTCTTTGGTATTATTGGCGACGGACGTGCATTTGCCTTTAAGCACGAACTGCAGATAAATCTCGAGGAAACAGCTCTCGAAACCGACATGTCGAAGCGCAATGGATGTGTTGTAGTGTAGGTGGCGTTGAAGATATGACATTTGTCGATGACATGGGATGTTTTGCCAACCCCTGCTAGCGTATGCAACACAAGCGAAAGGATTGTGGCTGCTGTGGCGCTGCACTCGTACTTTTTATTGGTTGACAATATTTCACGTGACGATAAGACCCTTATCAGTCCCGCAGCGGACAGGAAATTTTGGCGGGGTCTTGGTTGAGGGTGAATTTCCAAGCAAACTCGCCACACATTTCGACTCATAAACACTCAGATTATTGCTCTCCGTTTTATACCCATATCCCTTCCTCTGTTACGGCCAGAGGAATTTCAACCACCTTTACCACACTGTTGCTGCCGAATTTCTTCGCCAAAATGGACGGCACAATGACTGACGCTCAGTCCTTTGCGCCTGCGCCTAAGAACGCAGCAACAATCCTCTGTGCCGACTGTGGCGCCCCTGTCGACGGAACCATATCTGGAGCCTTTTGCTACGATTGTATAAAACTCAAGACCGATGTTACCGGCGGCATCCAGCGTGAAGCCATCCTGCTCATGTGCCGTGACTGCGACCGATGGCTCTCCCCACCCTCGACTTGGGTAGTCGCGCCCCCAGAGTCGCGCGAACTGCTCGCCCTGTGCCTCCGAAAACTGCGTGGACTGAACAAGCTACGAATTATTGATGCGAGCTTCATCTGGACGGAGCCGCACAGCCGAAGGATAAAGGTCAAGATCACGGTGCAGTCGGAACTGAACGAGGGCGCTATCATGCAGCAGACTTTTGAAGTCGAATACACGCAAAACTACAACCAGTGCCCGGATTGCGCAAAGAGCTATACGCACAACACATGGAGGGCCTGCGTACAAGTGCGGCAAAAGGTGCCACACAAGAGGACCTTCTTGTACTTGGAACAGCTGATCCTGAAGCACGGCGCGCACAAAGACACCATTAATATCAAAGAAGTACACGACGGCATCGACTTTTTCTTTGCACAAAGAAATCATGCAGTCGCCTTTTGCGACTTTTTGAAGGCCGTCATCCCTGTCAACATCAAGAGGTCCGAGGAACTCATCTCACACGATATCCACACGTCGACCAAGAACTACAAGTTCTCGTTCTCATGTGAGATTGTACCTATTTGTAAAGATGACCTTGTCGTACTTCCTATTCCACTGGCCAAGAAGATTGGCAATATCTCACCTCTGACACTCTGCTCACGCATTGGCACATCTGTCCAGCTCCTTGACCCAGCAACACTACAAACTGCCGATGTCGCTACCGATATCTACTGGCGGACACCATTCCGACCATTGGCAGACGTGCAAGAGCTGACGGAATTTGTCGTCTTGGACATTGAGCCCTTGGGTAAGCAATCTGGACGCAATTTTCTCGCAGAAGCAACTGTAGCACGCGCGTCCGATATGGGCGTCAATGACACAACGTATTACTGCCGAACACACCTCGGTGGTATTCTACACGTTGGCGACTCGGTAATGGGTTACCTGCTTGCCAACACAAACTTCAACAACGATCTTTTCGATGTCCTTGAACAGAATAACAAATACGCGTCGGCTATTCCAGATGTGGTCCTCGTCAAGAAGTATTACCAGCGGTCCCGGAAGAGCAAGAACAAGCGCAACTGGCGCGTCAAGCGCATGCACAAAGAGGAGGGCGAGATGCTGCCTCGCAAGCAAGACCAGGAGAAGATGGAGCGCGACTTTGAGATGTTCTTGCAGGATGTCGAGGAGGATCAGGAGCTGCGACAGACAATGGCACTCTACAAGGCCCAGCAGCAGCGCGATGCAGACGCGATGGAAACGGAGAGCAGTCTTGGTGATGACGAAGATGAGGGCATTCAGATTCCGATGGATCAGCTACTTGACGACTTCGAGGATATGAAGATGGAGGACTAAACGCGCAAACGCACGTGGGGTCTTGGCTCAGTTATTTTGGCGTTTTTGCTGCATTTCAAGGCGTTCCTTGCTGGAAAAGTGGGTACTGTCACTCGCAAGGATGTGAGTATTCTAGCTTGTGGTGGCTGCTATCTGGCTGCTAATGATAAGATGAGAAGAGTCTAGTTGATGGACGTTTACCCCTGTGCAGGCAAATCTGGCCGTAGACTTGCCCAAACGGGGCGCGCCTAAGATCACCTAATTATCCTTAGACTCAACTGTCACGGACATGAGCGTGAGCTAGAGAGCTCCTGACACTACGGCGAATTGTAGTCGCAAGCTCAACAATTGGCATGCCGTCTGACGGCAGTAATCCTCGTTGACGGCATATAGCAATGATATTGTGTTCCGTTCACAGCCGCGACCCGCACGACAAAGTTTCCTGGGCCAATGCATTACTCGCGCATCAGATTCCAGCCAAATCTCTGTGGGGTGACCTAGCAGGTAGGGCTTACTCCACACGGACCTTCCACGTGCGTTTCAGCAAGACAGAGTTTGTGGTGGCGGCGAGAAAAAAAACTTCTAGCTTAGGAAGAAGGAAAGCCATCGCCTTATTGCGTTTTGCCAACATTTTGACAGCGGCTGAGGCGCTTGGTAACTGCTCGGAGGCTTGGTCGGTCGGTTTAACTTCTTGTATGAGAACTGTTTGTATTCCAAATCTAAGAGAACACTACAGTACCACCAACATGCTAGTACTGTCAATCAGGACAATGATTTTATCTTATTTTCAAACTGAAGATCATGACCCTGACTCTGAGCATGAGAGAAGCAGCTTAGGCCACATGGCACGGCAATATGCATGTCGCACCACTACTGCCCTGGCACCCTTGTAAGGCAAGCCACCCCGGCCTAACATCATGATGTTCGCCCGCGCTGAACGGCTTAATGACCATTTACGATGCATCTCTGGGATTTGTTCCACTGATAAGTATTCCTTCGGCCCTGTCGCGGATCACATGGGCGGCCACGACCTTCACCACGGCTCGAGCTACATGGATCTGATCGCTTACCCCCGCCCCAAGATTTGTGCCCTGAAACTGGGCGAACTAGCATCTGGTGCTGTGTAAAGAGGAGACGAGGTGCATACTATAGAGGCTTGTTTGCTCTAAGTACTTCCAAACTGTAATCATCATCGACCCCATCCGCTGGCGGACCACACCTCTATCTCTAGCTCCTCCAACGTCACTGGACTGTCATGGCAGACAATGCGCCTGCCACGAAAGATGAGTTCACCTCCATCATGATGATGTTGTTCCAAAATCCCCCGGACCCAAATCAGCGCATTCCGGTGTGGAATCGAAAGGGAACAATATACGGTATCACTATCCCGCTGCAGGTACCGTTTACACCCCCCCATGATGAGACACCGACAACCGAACTAAACATTGACAGGTCCTCTGCTGGGTTTTCGTCGCAAGCCGTCTTCACACACGTCTGCGCGTGGTCCGCGAGCCTGGTCTCGATGATCTCTTCGTCGTACTGGCCGCGCTCTTCAATCTCGCTGCGCTTATCGGATTCCTACTGAGTACGTCTTGCTTTATCCTTTTCTTCTCTTCTTGAAGGGAGATGTCTGATTATTATTTTTTACAGGCCTAAACTACGGCATGGGTCATCATCTCATCTACGTTATCCCCGTGCTCACACCAACCATGATCAACATTTACATCAACAATGCCTCGTACCACGCCACCACCGTTTGCATTAAAATCTCGCTTCTCTTGCAGTACTTGCGCATGTTCCGCAACGGTGTGCGTCGCATCGTGTGTAAGGTTGTGCTTGGACTCGTTACTGTGTGGTCGCTGGTTTTCCTATTCATGGCTTGGTTCCCGTGCTTCCCTGTTACTGCCTTTTGGACCAGGTCGAAGGGGTCAACGTGCTATGGGTATGGGTACAGTTCCGTGAGCGAGGCGAAGGCTTCGGTTCTTGCTTTTGCGGGGACAAATATGATGTTTGATTTGGTCATCTTTGCTATTCCGCTCACTGAGTATTTTCGGAACAATCTGAGGCGCAAGGAGGTCATTGCTATGACGGGACTGTTTGCGTTTGGTGCTATGTTAGTACATCGACTTGATTTGCTGCGATACTGGTTGACTCATTTCTACAGTGCTGTCTTGATGTCGGTTCTGCGTCTCTGGGCTACGTTCAGGCACAATAAGGTTTCGATTCAAAGTTTCGATTTTGTTTGGTAAGAAACCAATTCTTTTGCTCTACAGACTCTAAAATAGGGCCTCGCTAACGCTGGATTGTATAGGTGGTATCCTGAAGTCATCATCATCTCCTTCCTCGAAGTCAGTTTCGCAATCATGTGCGCCTCGATGCCCATCTTCTGGCCTACCGTCGTCGCCAACTGGGGACACATCTTCATCACCAACGAAGTCCGCGTCACGTCTCACGAGCGCCTCGATAGTCTTACCCAGGACCAGATCGAACTCACGAGGGTGGCATCTTTAAAAAGTGTGGATAGTGCCAAGGGCTTGACAAGAGTGGAGTCTGAGGGAAACAGTCCATATGATAGCGGATATCTTACTCAGCCGGGCAAAAACCAATTATTCTCGACTATGCATGTAGAGGTGCGGCCTCAGTCGCAAAAGTCGCGGGACAAGCAAGGCCGTATTGAATAATGTACAGAATTAATTGTTTCATTGAGTTCTACTTCTAATTCTTTGTCGATATTTACATTCAAGATGCGACTGATACTGGGATATCTAGTGCATATGCGGGCATTTTGCACATTCATGCAAAAGCTTGAAACCACTTAGAATTTCTTATTTTTTTTGCACACTTAGACATCGAAACATTTGATTATTCAATGTTTCGCACCAAATAATCACGAGCTATCAAACATAGACATCTAATACTCCGTCGTCCTCCTTTACCACTGTCGCGCGACTCCGACAATTTGACTTTCGCCGCTTTGCTTACTTGCGATCCTCACCTCATCACTTTATCCCCGGCCAACCCCATGTAAATCGACAACGCTCCCGTCTCTACTTCCCCGCACTGTGCCTCACAATCCCTTGAACCTCATAAACTCTAACTTCTACTGCCGACAAGAACGAAAAGAACCGATACGCCCATCCCCCGTCGTGCCTCGTGGCAAAATACAGACTTGAAACGATACTGTTTCGAAGCAAGTTTCTCTTACGCCCGGCTTGGCCGGCCAAATCCTCTAGAAACAATAATGCAAAAAACATATAGGGATTCAATGTTTCGTTTTCAGTCTTTTTCTTAAGGTTATACACAACAGCACTTCCTGGACTTGATGTATGCGTGGGGCTGGTTCTGGCTGATTTTTGGCTTTTCGGGCAGGGAATATGGCTGTGCTGGTTATAGGTCGACCTTGTCTTAATACTGAGCAGGGGAGTGGTATATGTTGGGAATCGTATTGGGCGGGGGTAAGCATGCTTGGTTCCGTGAACTGCATCATCGGGGGGCTGGGCGATGATGGTTGATATTTGAGTTTTCTGTGACGATAGTATTTGTGTGGGTATATGGTATAAGGTTTTTCCTGAGGCTGGGGGTGGTGGGAAAGGAGGGTGGTGTTTCATAGTTTATAGGAAGACAGTGTGGATGAGTAGGAGTACTTTGGAATTGCAATGTAAACGTACTTACTTGCGATCTACGGTAACGACAAGCGATCTCCTGCTAGTCGCAGGGTATTTCCTTACAAGATCTGCATATTTGTCGCTGAGATCCTTTGAATCGACCTGAGAGGCATACCACTGCATACACTCCTGCTCTAATTTAGGCTCTCTATATCTGCAACTGTCCTTGGCAGAGTAGTGAACTTTTCTCCCTTGTTTATTGTACCTCTCATAAATCGAAAACCATACTCGGATAGTGAAAGGGCGAGATGACGACAGGCGATGCGTTCAGGTTTGAATCCAGCGACTTGGACATAACAGCAGAGCACGCAGTGTAAACCATGCGCATCGCTATCAGGAATTGATATCTGATAGTTTTGCATCAAGACCGTTGGAAGCAAGGGGCAGAGCGAGTCTGCGATGATGTATACTCTTTGCAGTGTTCAGTGCAGACGCCTCCGATGGTAGTTTGATTGGTGTCGCACGTTATGTCGGACGTCTGCAGAGCTGATAGATTTGATAGTGGCCTGATTATCGTGGTTGGCTGGTGATGGTTGTCGATTGGTGTCGCTGATGAGCGACGGTATCGTCCGCCCTACCTTCTGGCCTGCCTCCCATCTGATTGTGGCTAACGAGAGACACCTGTCGATTGGTGTCGCTCCTCCCCCCTGTCGAGCGACAATCGTCGATTGGTGTCGCTCGCCCCATATTCTAAATGTGGCTAGCTGCTGTGGCTGACGAGCGACACCTGTTGATTGGTCGCACCCGCGAGCGACTATGCGCTCGTCGGCATCGCACTTATATACTTACCAAACAGTGAACGTTTCCTTTCTATAGATATGTACATAACGATAGGCAATTCTAGGGGACCTGAACCTGAAGACATCTGTGATAGCCTTTGACCAGAGAGCTGCCACTGCATGATTATATTGCATGCCAAGGAACCCTGCACCACATTCCACGCCCCTGACGTAGGCTTGCTGCCGCACGTGTAGTCTCGGGGTTATATAGTAGGAAAACTGTGTGTGTTGCTTATCTCTGTCGCCTACATTCTTCATTTGACTATCTGTGGTGTCTTTATAGCTATTTGTTTTCTTGTTGTCGTTGCTGCTTCGGGCTGAGCTAAAGTCATTACTTCTACGGGCTCGTAAAGGCTGCGACATGTGATAATTACCAATCAAGTCTTCTCTTCCTCTTTATATTTCTACAAGTTTGTAGCGACAAAATCTGTATACTGAGTATGGAGGAAATCGAGACAGAGATTATAAACACCACGGAGCAAATCGGTAAATTAGTCCACTGGCTCGTCCTCCGCCATTCGCCGCCAGCCCCATTCAGACCAACCATGTACATAGATCTTGAAGGCGTAAACCTCTGCCGTGAGGGATCTGTTTCCATTCTCACCCTCCTAGTCGATACCGGTATCCCGACTGCATGTGTCTACCTAATCGACGTGCATACACTAGACGCACGAGCGTTTAACACGGCTGGTGCTAAAAAGACAACGTTAAAAGGTATCTTTTAGGATAAAGAGATTTCAAAGGTCTTTTTCGACATTCGCAACGATTCAGACGCGCTATTTACATATTTCGGGGTAGCACTACAGGGGGTCGAGGACGTCTAGCTTATAGAGAGTGCAACAAGGAACACTACCGCATCCCAGAAGTTCTTAAACGGTCTCACTAAGTATGTCGAGAAAGAATTTCCCATATCCTTCAATGGTAGGAGACTAGCTAGCTGGAAGCTGGCTAAGGAAAAGGCGAGCGATTGTATAAGGCCAAATATAACGGTTTGTATGATGTGTTCAACCAGCGTCCGATTCCCGAAGATATATTGTCTTACTGTGTTGGAGATGTCTAGTTCCTTTCTGGTTTGCGGGATATATTTTGGATAGTCCAGTCTGATTAGTGGAAACACCTAGTCCGTGAGGAATCTAAAAAGCGCGTTGCGATGTCTCAAAGATCGGACTACCAACCTCACAATCCAGCTAAGGCGATGGCACCGTAGAGCAATGAACAGAATATGCTTTTAGATCAGTGAAATTATGTGCCTCGCAATGATTTCAATAGTTCCTTCGACTCAAACAATGATTGGGACGATGGCTGGGACGATTATTCGTGGTATGGCGGTGCCTCCGGCTGGAGGGACTTTGCCGAAGATTGGGATCTTTACTACTCAGACTAAGCCTTTTGAACTGGTTGCCAAAGGTTGGATACTTTGATCTTGTGTCAACAGTTTACTTGTAGAAGGACATCTAAAGCTGTATTTGATGTAACTAGGGTGCCACTATTAGGAATGTTGTTATGGTCCCCATTTGCGATATTGTGAAGTATGCAATCGTTGGTGGTAGGCCGGACGAGGGATCAACAGCGGGCTTGTGGAGCTGTAGGACAGCGCGATCGTACATCTCTATAGCATGTAATCTTTCGCGTTAGCCGTGGTTGTGCGTTACGCTTCATCTTCAAGTTGCACTGTGGTTGTGTCGGATATCTTCCGATCCGACGGTGCTCGGATTGATGTGGCTGACGGGCGACAGTTGTCGATTGGTGTCGCTCGCCCCACCCAGCCAGCGACGGCTGTTGACTGGTACAGAGCATCCGATGACTCGAAAAAGCTAGCTCGTAAGGTGGGGCGAGCGACACCAATCGGATCACGGCCGATTCCAAAGCAGGTAATCCATATCGCACCCGTCTACACATAGCTTGATCCGATGCATACTTCAATCACTAACAAAAGCCAACAGTCTCAACTCAATGATGCTGAACTCAAAGGCAGGGTAATTATGAAGATGCTAGCCGTGCCATCCATTCGACTTCTTGATGCGAGAGATGAGCAGACATTCAAAATACTAACTGCAGCCAATGCACAAATGGAGGGCGCCACGCGCACCAACTCGACCTGATTGCAGCAAATGCAATTTTCGTGAAATAAAAAAAGACCGGAACATTCATCATCACTAGGCCTTTTCTGCGAACGACTGGAAATCTCCTAGAGGTATGGCAAGGTTTTGACGAGCCGAGCCTAGTCGGTGAAGGATTGATGTATAGCTCTAGTAGTTGTTCCGCCTTGGCTATAACTACCGGCATTAGGTTATATGCAGGTGTTACGTTGATGCTGTTGATGCATAATGCCGGATATAAGCTGATGAAGAGAAGTCTCTCAAGGACATCAATTCATCAAGTGGTTATTATCTGATTGTGACTTTCTCATACATGGATTTCGAGTGAACGCTCCAATATGAAGCACGGAAGAGGCTTTCCCAAAAGTGACAAAGCAGGCGTGGGGCTGAATTGTCGTGTCACCATGGCGCATATCTTGTTCATCCTCCAGTTGCCTTTGTTGGTTACTCCCGATCCTTCGGCAATCTAAGCAACGTCCCAAATATCACCTAGATCGCCATCCTTGTACTCACTTTCATGCGACCCCTCATATTATCTTGGCTGCTTTTTCAGACAAAGTTCTCCTTTGGCACAGGTAGGTTCAATCGGCAATGTTTTCTACACCGGTCTTGAGTCTCGTTGCTGGGCTGGGCCTAGTATTCTCAGCCAATGCTACGCAATGTTCAGCGCGAGCTAATGAGTTCGATTTTGTACGTACAGTTGGAGTAAGAATTGGCAAGGATAAAGGACTCATTTTTGCTACAGATCATTGTCGGTGGCGGCACAGCTGGTATCGCATTAGCCACTCTCCTGAGTGAAGGCCTTCCAGAACATTGCATATTGGTCATTGAAGCCGGGCCAGATGGACGTAACGAAGAAAGAATCTTCATTCCGGGTCTAAGAGGTTCTACCTTTGGCTCTGCATACGACTGGATTCTTCCAACCGTGCCTCAGACTGCAGCAAACAACCGGACTATTGGCCATAACCGGGGAAAGGTTCTCGGTGGCACTTCTGCCCTCAATCTTCTTGTCTGGAACCGCGCTACTATCAAAGAGTATGATGCTTGGGAGGAGCTGGGAAACCTAGGCTGGGGGTGGAGTGACATGTATCCTGCGATGCTCAGGACGGAAAACTTTCAGCGACAGAACGGGTCGCCGCAATATGGCAATGACGGCGTAGGATATGGTGGCCCAATCCAGGTCGCTTTAACTGAGGATCCACCGCCTCATCTCCGGGCTTGCATACCGACCTTGACTAACCTTAGAGTGAAGGAGAACTTGGAATCATTGAATGGGAATAACTTGGGCACCATGTATCAACCAGCAACATATCGTGTGTCTAGTCATACGCGGTCGTACTCGGTGGACTATCTCCCTAAAGCTGGTAATAACTTGGTGTTCATGTTCAATAGCACTGTTCACAAGGTGCAGCTTACGAAGAGTGAGTCTAAAGCAACAGGTGTCGTCCTTTTAGACGGTACTGTTGTCAAAGCCACCAAAGAGGTCATTCTTTCAGCTGGCAGCCTGCTGTCTCCCAAAATACTTGAACTCTCTGGGATTGGTCAGAAAACTGTACTAGACAGGGCCGGTATAAAACAACTCGTCGACCTCCCTGGTGTAGGCGAGAATCTTCAGGACCACCTCCGTATCCAAACAACATACGAGCTAAAGCCTGAGGTTCCTGGGGTAGACATTCTAAAATATAACGCAACACGAGCAGCCATAGAATTGGATCTGTGGAGGCAGAACAAAACTTCTCTCTATCAATACGCCGGTAGCTGCTACGGATTCCTAAAATGGAACGAAGCACTCAGCAGCGACGAAAAGCTGCTCCAACTCGCCAAATCATCCGCTAATACATCCAACTCCATCGACCGAAAAAAACTCGCTCTCCTGACCGACCCAAACTCCGGAGCCCCAGATCTCGAAGTCGTATTTGGAGACGGCTACATAGGAACAACTGGATACCCAAAGAACGGAACAGCTGGATACGGCAAGAACTACGCTACACTCCTTGCAGGCGTCCAGCATCCGCTTGCTAGAGGATTCGTTCACATCAACGGCTCGGATCCTGTGAATAAACCACTTATCGATCCGAGGTATTTGGGGACACTGTATGATATCGAGGCCCTGGTATCAGCAGCAAAGTACACGCGCAAAATGGCAAATACGGCACCGTTTAAAGACCTCTGGGTTTCTGAATTTGATCCTGGTGTAAGCACCCAGACGGATGAGGAGTGGGAGACTTATATCCGGAACAACGTCTTCACATTTTATCACCCACTTGGTACGTGTGCGATGCTACCGAAGAAGGATGGCGGTGTGGTGGATCCGCAGCTTAGAGTGTATGGGGTCACAAATTTGAGAGTTGTAGATGCGAGTGTTATCCCGATGATTGTTTCGGCGCATATTCAGAGTGCAGTATATGGGATTGCGGAGAGGGCGGCTGAGATTGTAATTGGGGAGTATCGATGAGGGGGACAAGATAGAGGAGTTTGGTTTCTGAGCTGGAATGATGAGGATTTTTTGGGACGATGTTCTTTTGGTTACATTAGTGTATCCGAAATCAATTGGTATTGTTGCGCGTCTTTGTTTGTTTCTATTAAACATCCGCAAAAATATAGTCGGATAGCAATTGATTTGGTTTTACATCCAGAACAGACAATACGTGTGTGTTTGATTCTTTCACATCAGTTCCTGGAAAAATTTCAAAGTCCAATAAACAAGCGCCATGCATATTTCAAATACACTTCTAGTATATTCATCACAAAACTTGCTCCCAGCTCACCGAATTACTGCATATACCAAACACTGAACGAGAATTCTAATATTAAACTCAAACCCATGTGAAAGCTCAAAAAGAAACATAGTGGTATCGAACCATCCCATCACTCCAGCGGTAATGACCCCGGCCGAACAAGCATCGTACACCTTCACGATAACCTTCCTAGTATCACAACTCGACCAAAGAAATCAAAATTAAGAACCGTGAAGCCAAACCCGATGTCTACCAAGCACCCCGGGCGCCCCAAACTCAACATACAAAACATACAAAGTCCCAGTCATACACATACCTCACCCCCTCCCTCACTTCCCACAAACCTGACAGCAATACGGCATATTATGCTGAAAACAATACCCCTGCTCCGAGTACCCAGGCGGATACGCATACCTCACTGCACCCTGCTGCCCATACATCGCCGCACCAACCTGCATACTCGCCCTCAACTGCGCCAGCGCCCTCTGATGATGACTCACCGCCGTCGCTACCATCGCACTATGCACGCCCAGCATACCCTCCAGATCTTCCCCCTGAATATCTACGCTGCGCATCTGAAACATGTTGTCCGCCTCTTGGTTCAGCGTGCGCAGGTTGATGAGCTGCGAGACGAGTTCGCGGCGGCGCGAGACCAGGTATGCGTTGTGCGCTTCTAGGGCTTCGATATGAGAGGTCAGGGTCGCGGTAAGGGTTTTGAGGGATGAGTTTTCGGATTCGAGGGCGGAGATGCGGAGGGAGTCGTCACGTTGGGTTTGTTGGAGGATGCGGAGTTGGGCGGCGAAGCCGAGGGGGATGGTGATGGGGATGCTGGAGGGGCGTGGAGAGGTGAAGATTGAGGTGTCGAGGGAGGTGGTTTGGGGGTTCATGGTCCGTGGAGAGATATTGGGATTGTGCATCGGATGATATGGGGAGTATGGAAAGTTTAAAGAGTGTGATTGGGATGTTGTGCTAAATGTGTGATATGGTAGAGCATGTGGTTGTACTAGACGAGACGGACTTCAAGTACTGACGCGTTGTTTGACAACAACTCGCGACTAGCTTTTTCCCGACAAACGTAGCGAGGGAAATAAAAGTTTCAGGGAGCAGTGATGTGGGATTTGATATGACGTAGCGGAGATTGGGTAGATGAAGGTAGTTAGTGAAGATGCAAACGGTGCGCTGCTTTGCGTCATTGGGTACATAGAGTTTTCACTACGGTTAAGGCTCATCTCAAGCAAACTGGCTATATATAAGAAAGAAAAAGGATGAAATTAGGAACAGATATCGTCGAATTAGCACTCAAGAACATAGTATTGAAGAATCCAATCTTTCAGATGCATACGTTTACAGAATCTGCAGGAAGTTGTCGCATGTTATATAACCAGCCACTTAGACTACACAGATAAACCAACACCAACTACCTCAAAATCTATTCCAAGAAAAACGTTGTCAAACTTCTCGGCTTCACACTCGCCGTGAAACTCTTTCCCTCAACGCTCACACTCCCCACCAACGTATTATTATGCGTATTATCCGCCAAATACGCCGTCGCCTTTGCAAACACCTTCAGACTACCATTCATACTAACACGAATCTCCCTCTCATAGTGCGCTTCATTAATGACAGGAATCGCAAGCGTCCCATTGGCATTCTCAAAAGCTGTTACTTTCAAGTTTTCAGCAGGACTGCGCGCGTCAATACGTACGGAGCCCGGGCGTGCGAAACGGAAGTAACCTGCAAAGGCCCACAGACGACGGGATACTTCAAATGTGTTTCCTTGGAGACGGACGAGGATGGCGTCACTGCCGGATGAGTTGCCCGGGTTATCTTGGGCACACCACCAGTGGAGGTACCCGGATGTGTGACTTAGGACAAAAGCTTGGTGCCTGTTTCGCTATAAGTTTTCATTCACGGGCTGATAGAAACACTGTAACTCACATATAGATGGCCCATTGGAGTCCTTCGGCAAGCTGCCCAGTGGTATCCCATGTAGTATTGAAATTGCCACTTCCGTCCGACCACTCCGTCTCCAAGTTCGGTTGACCCTGGGTATTAAACAGCATCTCAGGCATACTCTGGTAGTTGTGCCAAGTAGCGACATCGTACAACTTTCCGCCACCAGCTTGCTCCAGCTCATACAGCAGCGTGCGTTCTTGGCGCGCGCCTGTAGCATCGCAGCAGGACACTTGCAGGTCTTTTCGATACTTCTTGACCGTCGGATATAGATATTGTAGGAAGTCCTTGGCCTGATACCCGTCCGTGTCCATGCTAGCATAGTAGACAGGATTGAAGTCTGGCTCATTGTACGCACCAATCATGCTGACGTTGATGCCTTTTTCCTCGTACAACTTGACGTATTTCACAAGGTAATCGGCGTATGCTTGACGCCAGTCATGAGTGCAGTTGGTCCCTCGTACACCGCAGATAAGACCACCATTGACGTCCGTAGCACCCGTTTTGAAGCACCCTGGAGCTGACCACGCATCCGCATAAATGTATAGGTTCGGGTTGGCTTTGAGGGCCTGTTGGGATAGCTTCAATTGGCAGCTATCAGCAGTGGCATCGTTCGCTCCTAACCCAGTGTAATTGAATGTGGAGGATGGTGTTGCCGGACAACTACCGAGAATGCCGTCTGTAAGGCTTGACCCAACACGGTTACGAAGGATAGAAAGACCTCCGATATTCTCACTGAAAAGGTAGTCGCTGACCAGCTGTTGGTTCGAAGGCGAAAGACCTTTAGACCCGGTCTGGTCGCATGCGACATTGAAGGCTCCTGAGCAACCACCACCAATCATGGTCTGATATCTGACTGTCGAATCAACCGTGACTTGGACGGGCAGGTCCTTCTGAGTGTACACCCATGGCTGCGGATAAAGTCGCGGAAATGGTTGAGCAGTCACGCTGCCCACGACGATGAAAAAAAGAAAGACAGACATGGCCATTGCAGGCGTTGAAGAATATGGCAGTGTTTAGTGCTACATCCACCTCCTTTTATTCATTTTTTGCAGTTCCACTTCAACCGACGTATATAGAGTTCTGGCTCTATATGACGACATAATGATCAGCGTGTGCTCTGATTTATCCATAGGCCACGGAGACAATGGAAGCTAGGATAAAGTGAGAACAAGCTTGTTTCTCTTCAGGCTGTGGGGTATGAGATTGTACACCTAAGTCCTCGGTAATCTCCTCTTAGCGATCTAATATTGGGCCGTCGCGGGTCAAGCGCTGGGGTACGACAAGGAGATGGGTGGGGATAAAATCAAGCTTTCTCCAAGATGATTAGCGGGAATGATCGGTGGCGGACAAGCCTTCACCGGCTATAACTCTATTTCCTTGTACATTTTAGCCGGCTGAACTCTACAGTGTGCTTTCCGTTAGACTTACAAAAACATTCATCCTGATGATTTAACCCAGGTTGTTAGAAGATTCACATGTACTAATGCAATGAGTATTGATCCTTCAATATTGATTTCACGTCAACCGCAATCTTCTTCCTTCCTATTATTCGACACGATGGATGTTGTGCAGTCGTTTTGCACCAATCTTCAGTTCGAGTAGATGATTGTTATTTCCTTGGCTTTGGAAGGTCATGGATTCCCCAGCTCAACATCTCTTCATTACAGCGGTGGTCAGTTGCAAATAGAAGCATCGCAGAGTCAAATGTCGACTGTAATTCATTGGTTATCGGTTGACATGTTTCCAGAAGATCGGAGAGACCCGAAAGACAGTTCGAGATAATGAGTCCTGCTATTTCGTTGAGCGTCATCTAGATGCCTAGAGTCCTCACGGCACAAGTAACAGCGAGCCGACGAGCGCTTTGATTTCAATTACCGAACTATATGATTTCCCTCGATTTGATTCACTTAGTGATGACACATCTGATTTCCAAAGTCAAAAATATTTTTACGAACCGTCTCAATGACCTTTTTTTTACCAAAAGGCAAAACGCTGTGTCGTATACTTCCCGGATTCCAGAGCTGCAATTACCTCACCATCCATGAGGCCTTGAACATAAGCCTCGCCCAAAACTAGGTAGTCTTCACCACAAGGACGTACCACGAGCGGCGTACTGCATCCAAAAACGATAGCAACGAGATCTCCTTTCTGTGTTTGTTCATTGGGCCCACCGTAGATATTATCCGGCGCCCATCCCAGATAGCCTTTGTCTGTGGTCATGAATCTTCGTTTCTTGCAGCTGCGATCAAAACAAGAATATGCTTCAGTATAGACGAATTCAGAAGCATCTGCCGGAATCTCTTCTGAGAAGAAATCATCAAATCGGTAGTCGCCAAGTGGAAAGTCCCGCATGCCAGCTCGAAATTGTTCCCAGCGAAAATAATATCCTTCTTGGCCAGCTAAGAATTTCCATCCTCTCTTTTTAAATTGTGGACCTCCGAGGGCGAAAGTAGACGGAAGATGAAAAATGGCAGAATGCTGGGGCCCGGATCGGTGACCGTATGCAACTCTGTCGCATATCAGGTTACGATACAAAGCCTCCGCAGTCGCGTTGCGATCGCCATACGCGCTCTTCCAGTTTTCGGGAAACAAGATACTCTTTTCACAGCGAGAAAAATAACCTGTTCCACGAGCTGATAGACCAGAGACGGTGTCGACGATAACGCCCGTACATCGTAACAGTAGTCCGCCATCATCAAATGACGCATCGTGCTTCTGGTCACCGCTTGCATGATATACCGAATGTTGCCTACGTCCAGCGTCACGCGAGAACAGGTATGCAGGACCCCAAATCTGTTGATCATGGCGTGTCCATCTGATTCTACCGGGCCACGACCAATCCGCTGCCCACGTAAGGCCTCGAGCAGGACCCCAGGGATTTCCTTCTCGAAGGGCATCTAAGTTGTCATCGAATCGTATAAAGGCCCTGGCTGCCTCCCTATACACCTTCCATTCAGGCAATGTATAGTCTGGATTCAAACCAGTTGCGACAGCAGGAGCCATCAATCCAACCAAGGCATATACCTTATCCCTCTTATCTGTACAGTCACCCGAGTTTGCGAGATCTAGCAGCCTTTCAAAATTAAAGTCTGATATCTTTTGCGCAAATTGTTTGCTGAGAACGGTGAGGTCTTGGTATACGAGATGCAAGCTACTGGTTCGCCATATTTGCTCTGTGTAGAGGCCAGTGTCATAAGCAGCCATTTGAAGACATTCTTCTTTTACGAGCCAAAGGTACTCGTGAAGGACAGAGATTCCATCACAGAAAGTTTCCCACGCTATTGTGTATTGGCCGCATCTGATCCAAGTCGCTGCGGAGCCAACAATCACCTCTTGGATGATCCACAGCCGGAACCAGTATGGGCGATCCATCAGGTCTTGAAGTCCGATCCAATGGGTTCCACCATAAAAACTAGGATCTGCCTCCAACTGAGCAGCGAATTCAACAACAGATCCGCTCACCTTGATCTCTGCAAGATCACGTACGAGCTGTATCGCTGCGCTGCTTGAACTGCTCTCCTCGCCTAGCCACGATACGACTGACCATGCACTTCCGTAGATGTCGCGCATCATCTTGATTTGAGAAGATCGCTCTTCGAGGTCGTCCTGGTTGATACAAAGTGCGTCAACCCATAACTTGAATTGGTCATTAAATTCACACCCGCTTTGAAACATGCGTAGAGCTGCTTCCAGGTTGGCAGTTACGGATGTCTCATGGCCATTGAGCAATATGGTTTTCTTATTATTCTGGTCACCCCAAACATATGAAAGGGCAGCAAAGTCTCCCCAATTGAAGCGATAGAGACTAGAGCTCGGCCGAGTACTGTGCATCCGTTTCAGAGGAGCTAGATTGGCTAGCTGCGGGGAAAGCCGACTACTTGTCCAGTTTTGTGTGGTGGGTGCGGCGGAACCATGCACAAATTTGAGGTAATCTGAATTAAGATCATTGAGAGAGTGTATCTGTAGGCGGCAGTGTACAGGCTGTGAGTGGTCTTTGACTCCAGGCAAAATACTCAGAAGTCGTATCTCATGATTTTCCGGAGTGAGTTTGTGATAAATTGGCTCTATCGATGGGCTTCTATCAGATACTTGAAGCGCACCATAGTATGCGGAGGGCTCCTCGGGCGATGCGTATGTTGAAGAACTAATGTCAATGAAACTACGGCGAGAGACCGTCAGGTTGACGGTTGAACTGTCCACACTAGACTGCGGGGGAAAACTCATAATTACGACGTACTAGAACAAATGTATTTCTCCAAGGCAGATATTAAATTTTTCGGGCTGTGATTCGGTCTGAACTGCCATTGCATACAGAATGGAGTTTTCGACGTTCCAGCTGCCTAAACCGCCTGTTCAGCTGAAGACTTGGCGAGCGCGACCAATCAATATCTGAGGCGTTCGCATCAACCTGTCAGCAGCCGAAGAATGCATGATTGGAGTTGCGGGCGGCATTATAATGTTGGTGCAATAGGAGCGCGCAGTGTGGTCAAGGTGAAGGTCGGATCAGGTGTTTTAGTGATGCAGCGCTGTCGGACCCTGAAAAACCACCGAATTCGTGCCTCGGAACGGCCTCGGGAAGTCGCGTCATCGTATGTTCATGTTTGTACATACATATACATGCGCATTCACCACCACATTCTTTACCCCACATAGTCGCTTAGAATTGAACCTCTTGCGCCCCTCTTGTCTTTGCGCATTAGACTCTTCTTTCAGCGACTGCCTTTACTTCCAGCTCCAACATTGCCCACCATGTCCAAGCTATCTCCATCCCTCAAATCACTCATCAACGCCGCACACTCGCGCCCAGGTCCCGTGCCGGCGCCCGCAGGAATCCAAGGGATATACAGCCGGATAGAAAAAGAAGCCACAGAGCGCAAGCTGGGACGCCCATCATGGCTCAGCATATCCACAGCCGCAACAATGACCATGAACTCCCCCGAATCCATGATTGCCCTCTACCACAGCTCGAGCAAATCACGCCCAGAAAGTGAAAGCGTCGCGATCGCAGAATTTATGCGCGAAATCGGCCTGAAGTGTATCGGTTTCAACGGCGTAAGTAATCTACTCCAGGTTCAGAAGAAAACATGTTAACACTCTCATAGATTCCCCGCACAATCAACATGCTAAACGCCTTCCGTGCGTCTCTCCCACCCTCAGTTGCATCATCGCTGAATAAAACACCTACGCGCTTTCCCGATCCCTCCAACGTCGAGCAAATAAATATGCGCGGTCGCGAACTCTGGAACGCAATCTACCGCCCTCTGGAAACAAAACTTGAACAGAAGCTCGGCGAAGCGCACCCGGATCTACCCGTCTTCATCATAAACAGCGAGTACGGTGGTCTCTTCACCGATCCGCCACGCACCCAAGGCGCAACCGTGGGACGCATTACGACGAGCTTAATTGCAATAACATGTTTGAGAGCGCAACAGGGTGTCGGTCCACAAGTACTCAGTCACGTTTTCGGATTAAGAAAATCATGGGAAGATGGAACTTGGAAGCAGGAGCCGGAAGCCGGTGAGGAAGAAGGAATCAAGTGGCTGGTTAGCGACGAGGGATGTACATGGGTATTGGAGAAGGTGGATGAGCTTGTACAGGCATTGGGTGGTGGACAGGGAAGCACTTTTGCGCCTGTAAAAGCGAAATTGTGAGGCCAAAGAAGTATGTGGATTGTTATATATACCCCGATATCGTTGACTCGACATTCCTAGCACCTATGCATATGTAACTCATGGTTTCCTTCAACCACTTCCAGAAATCTTGGCATCAAATGGCTCAGCGATGGAAACCTGACCCGCTGCTGCCGTATCCAGTGCAACATTAGTATCTAACTTCTTGGTCTCTTCCGCAAGCTTCTCTGCTACATCGTCGCCCTGCGCCTGCTGAGCTTGCAGCTTGATTACTGTAGCCATGAGTTTGAGGACCTTGTTCTTGATTTTGCCGTTCTGGTGAGGTATTAGCATGGCAGAACTTAACGAACACGGACCACCTCGTTCTCAAGAGAACAGAAGATAAGGAAAAAGGACAAGAGGAAAGAGGACTTACCTGAATCTGTGTAGCTTCATCTCCACTCGCGGCCTTAACCGCCGGATTGAACGCCTCCGTTTCGGCGTCATTCGCAACCTGATTGACCTCATTCAAAAAGGTCAAATCCGCTTGATCGATATTCTCCGGATTCTGAAGGTCGAGTGCGGAAAAGAGAGCCGATGCTTCTGCTTTTGCGTTGCCGGCTTGGCCACCAGAGATGGAGATGGCATTGTATGTTGTGTCCTTAAGTACGGGTCCGGCTTGTCGCGGTATGACTGCGGGTGCGGCGAAGCTGAGCGCACTAAGGGAGAGGATGGCGAGAGGTGTGAAGTACATGTTGAAAATATATGAATTGGCGAAAAGAAGTATCTGTATCTAGAAAAATGAAATAAAAATGTAGACAGCGCAGCTGAACCTCTCAATAACAAAAAAAAGGTATATAAGAAACAAACGATCAAGCCTCAGGCCGATTTCGTTTACTACTCAAGAAAAAAAGATGCTTGAGCGATAATAAAGAAAACTTAAGAAGAAGGGATCATTCATGCGTTTTTGTACACGCACCATACACTCCAGACGCCTATCTTCCGCAAACCATCCTCAGGCTCCTTCCTTCAATGCCGCACAGCCTAAGCGGGCCTGACACAAAACGCCACCTCAGACACCCCCCTTCGACTCACGCCTCGGGAACGGCTGACTAGAGCCGCACACCCAACTCCACCATTCGGAAAAATTAACCATTGGAAATGAGAGAGATGGCGCCTGGATGAGGGTGCGCAAACGCGATACGTCGCCAATCGCTTCCTTCACGGCCGAGAAGGGCAAAGTGTCCGCTGCTGGGGGTGCTGAAACTATTCCGCCATGTCTGACCCGTCAGGTTTTGGGGATGCGGTGGTAATGCATTGCGGGCTTGGCGGAAAGGCTTAAGTGAAAGACTTGACGGTTGCTGCAGACTACATACATTGAGAATAAAAAATGTTAGGATACATATTACAGACGATAACTAGTCAGTATATTAGACATTCTTCTCATTGATGTTTACGCGGAGCGAAAAAACGAGTTATCACCTCAGTTTTACCTATCCGAGTATATTCATTACGCATATACACATATACACATTTCTCATGCTTGCACAACAAGACTTTCAACGCATCTAAGCACCTCCATCCCGTCCACTCAACATGACCCCTCTCTTCCTCATCCTCTCCTCAATCATCCTCTTACTATACCCCGTCGCATTGCCACTCCCACTGCTAAACAGCGCGCTCGCCTTCTCGTAAACCGCATCTGTGTACCCGGACACCGGGGCCGACCAATCCATAGTAAACGCGCTGACGCTTATGCCGCCACCGGCAACAACCCACGTCTCGTCGGGAAGGCTGGCGTCGCCATTGTACTGGGCGTTGATGCCTGCAGCCAGCGGGTTGACGTTGTCCCAGGTGAAGAGACCAGTGGTTTCGTTGTAGACAGCGACGTCTGTGTTCGCGTTTCCTGTGAGTCTTGTCTTGAACACGGGGGGCGAGCTTGTGGCATTGGTAAGTTCGGGAATGTTGACGTTGACGCCGTAGCCTAGCGGGAGCACTTTTTGGCCTGCAGGCGTGTTCTTGATGAATTCGTTGACGATGCCGAAGGATGCCTTAGCGGCGAGAACGGCCGGGTGAGAGGGCCTTGTTACGTTGAAGTAGGGGACTGCTCTGTTGCTGGCGCTTGTGGCGATGCCGGGGATGGAGCGCGAGATGGCAGCAAAGGTTGAGCCCACAGTGCCGCTGAGGGCCATGACGAAGGGGCCGAGGTTGGTGCCGTAGTTGGGACCCGCGACGAAGAGGTCGGCGGTTTGTTTCCAGTCGGGGTAGTAGCGGGGGAGGACGTAGTCGAGGGCTACGAAGGTGCATGCTGCGGGTGTGCCGTCGTAGTACCAGATGTTGTCGTCGGTGGGATCACGACCGACTGATGGGGCGCCTGCTGGGATAATGTTGTACTGTGAGGGCACAGTGAGGTTGGCGGTTTCTGCCCAGATGACCGTCGTGCCTTTTCCAGACTGCTGTTGAGCGGGTGCAACGATGAGCACTATCCCGTACCGTCAGTGGTGTCTACGAACGACGATTAAAAAAGAACTCACCTTCATGACCCGCATCAACCAGCATCTTATACAACTCTCTCAGATTCCCGCTTCCGAACCCATCATCGTTTCCCATGAGAATCTTCAGCGCATCCGCCGACGCCGCAAGACCCAGCGCCGCCGTCACCGCCGTACTCAATTGGAACCGCATCTTGAACAATCCGACAAGTAACACAAGCTCAAAACGCAAACGACATAAGCTCAAAAGCTTCGTATAGACACAACCAAGCAAACCGCCCAAGCCTCACCTTTATATCCCCATCCCCAACCACCCTCTCCCGCCAACCCGGCTCACCTCCTCCATCCACCTACGCCATAAACACACTGGCGGCGATAATCGCTGCAGGAACCACCGACGCGGCGTGTCCGATACCGCGGGAAAAACGCACCTTTTGCCTTCTCACCTGCGCTCGTTGCGCGCCGTGATTCGGTGTTGATAAAAGGTAGGTCGTAAGGATGGGGTTAATTAGGCCAGCTAGCACGGATGCGGCAGGAGCAAATGCGTTGGGGACTTGTGGCGGGACATCGGGGGTCGGCGAGAGGGACGCATTGGGGAATGGATGACGGGCTGCGTGCATGGTGGATGGGGGGTAATTCCCCGGGATTAGAGCCGCATGCTGTATCCCGCGGAAAGATGGAGATTTGAGCGGGCGAATTGGTTAGTTTGCTTGGGAAGGTCGTCTGGAGGATTTGGACTAAGAAAGGTTGATAGAGCTTATGTCTAGTCAAGCATCATATCTTCTCTGTTCGCACGGTGTCGAGCCCTGTCAATGATGAACTTATTTTGATAAAACTTTTTCTTACACTATGCTCATAAAATTCCCATCTTAAATAGCCAACCTGGGTATCTCCCACACTGAGTAATACTACTTATAGAGTACCAAATCTCACGCCCTTCGTGACCTCAATGCTTTTATCGGATCCTCGGAAATCTCCCATGTCGCGCCGTACAATGCCATCAAATCCCGGAATAAACGCCAGCCTGTGCTAATATGTGTAGTTATTGTTGCCTCCATATTCCATGCCCGCCTCATCACCTAGATGGTCGACATGCATGAACTCGTCAATGGAAAATGGATCTGGCATTCCCGCATTCATGGAAATCTCCATTCCATCATGAGATTGCTGTGCCTGACCCATGGGCTGGCTCGGCGGTTCCAGGCCCTCAATGATACGCGTACCCTTTGGCACAGAGGCCCCGAAAGCGCCAATACGATCGGGTTGTGGGATACCACTTCCTTTGCCCTTGCCTGTCGCATCTCCGCGGGCGTTCATCCAAATGCCATTACCTCCCTCGCCATTCTTGACTGCCTTGGTAAAAGGCTCCTGGAAGATGAGACTGGTTTCATACCAACGCCCTTTGATGTCATCGATATCCAGCTTGTACGAGGGCTGGATAAGTTTCCACCATGCAGCCGTGCGGGTGGCGGGTACGAGCAAGCGATTCCGCCATACCATGTCGTGCACCATGCGAGAGGGTATGTTGGGGTTCTGTTGTGGTGGCTTTGGAGGAAGATTCGGGTCTGGAGAATCCAAAGTTGCGTAGCTATACACATCGCCCACTGCAATGACCTTTGGATTTGGTTGATTGGGGGGTGGGTTCGCGAGAACTTGTTCGATAATGTCCGTGATGACCATGAGATCGCTTCCAGTAGCACCTATGCGTAGACGAACGGGTTCGCCCCTCCAAATCTTCTCCGCGCCCAGGAATATGCCGTTGTACTGTCTAAACTCGTTCCCCTTGTCATCTTTCGAAGTCTTCAAACGCTCAAAGAGTGTATATGTGGTATCAATGGCTTTGGCTGCAAGGATAGATGCATCAACAGAGGCAATACCTTCACCACCCTGTCCATTGATGAGTGCTCTCCAGTCAGTGTTCCCATACTCAAATTGTGGGTTTTGCTGCAAAAAGGGAAATGTGCAACTAGGCGCAGACCAAGCTAGCCATGGCTTGATATGCTCATCTGTGTGTATAATCTCCTGTGGAAGGGACTCGAATGGATGTGAGAGCGGCTGAATTAGGTACGACCTATTCATGGGGTTCTCTGCTTGGGCCCATCTTTGCACGACAAGTCCAAGACCCCAGGCAGATGTCTTGGGCCGGAAAAACCACACTACCTCTCCTGTTCGACACAGGAATTTGTTGTAGGTGAGATCCGCTTGTTGCTCGAGTGATCGTGGTTGGGGGAGGGGCGTCGACTGTAATGTTGGAGGAGCCCGAATCTGCGGCACACTAGGAGTCGACGTCTGTACAGGGACAGGTGTAGCTGGCTTGATGATGGGGCTTGGGATTGGCGCGGTCATGGAGGTTCGATGCACAGGTATCTGTACTACGGGATTCCGGCCCACGACATTGCCGTTGTTGGTGTTGGTGTTTGGAGCAGTCCCACTGGAGCTGTTCTCTCGCTTGAGAGGCACTGGCTGCTCTTGCTTGACCTCGACCTTGGGCTGAGGCTTCTCAACATCGCCCGCTGGAGAGCACATTTTGCACGTGCAGTTGGTCATATCGCTGTTCTCGTCGGTGCATAGCCACAGCAGATGAGGAAAGAATTCAACGGGGCTCCTGAAGCGCTTCTTAGGGCCCTTAGGATAGCCATAGAGGTAGGCATCCTGGCGATCGTGACCGCCGCCAGAGTGGTTCTTCACCGTCTTGACCTGGCCGTCCGCCTTTGTCTTGATATGCTCGTACAGGACATAGTTATCGGGTAGCTCCCACAGAATGCACTGCTGCCACTTGTCTGCCAAAAGTCAGCTTTCTGCCGCCCGCTAGCCCGCGTGGCTTCCTCTTACCCTCATACTGCTTGCCGCCAATCTCGCGCAAGAGCATACCGCCCAGCTTCTTACGCCAATCCTGGTGTTTGGGATCATCCTTCTCGATCAAGCGGTAGAAATCACGCTGGCCCTGGTCGTTGGGCGACATGTTCAGCTGCTCTTCGGTCGGCCCGTTGCGTATGGGCCTGCCTTTGATGTTGACGACATGCTGTCCGTCAGACTTGGAGGCGAATATGGGCCAAAACGAAGTCATGGGCTGCTGCGCCATGATGAGCGACGGTATTGCGCCGGCTGCGCAGGGCTTATGGGATTCTTTGCTGGGCGTGGGGAGACATGCAAGAAGGGTTTCGCGACTGCATGGCGAGATGCGTCGGATTTACTCGGCTTTATGGACAGGCGCGCTAAGACGCGTCCGCCTCCTCTACCAACTTCGAAGTTGCCCCCAAAGGCTTTGTTCAATCTCAAAGCACTCGTTGGTGTGCGAGACGCTCTTTTTGGACATGCCCTTCATCGTCAGATTCACTCCTCACCGTTCATCGCTTCAATCGGGACTCTAGATCCATTGCTCTGTAAACTTTGCTTTACAGAGTTACTTTTTCCGACATCACTGACCCTTACATCTGGCTTATCTCAGAATCCTGTTTCACTCTGGGATAGCAAACTATATAAGACGCCACATCTTTCGTCATGGGTAGACAATCCGTTGTGACACTGGGCTCTCCCCAGTCCATCACTCCACCTCCAAAGCGACGAGGTGGCCAATTGCAAGATCTTTTGGTGCAGTTTGGATCCCAGAGCTCAGTCGAGTCAGCGACCAAGAACAGACGACTGTCGGCGCAGCAGAAGAGTGAAGAAATGAAGCCGATTCCTATTCGGGACAGTAGAGGCAAACGCAACCCACCTCCTCAAACGGCGCAACACGACGTCACCTCGGATTCATCGGCAGGAGAGCAGTCCCCTGTGACTTCCACAAGAATTACTCGGCAATCGGCTTCAAAGCCAACAGACCCAGATCCAGAAGATAGTGAAGACGAACTCGCGCCATCGGCCCGCCCCCGCAAGACGAGCGCGAGAATATCGGCATACACGGAGGAGCTTAAGATGGAGAAGCGCAAGAGAGAAAAGGAGAGGACAGACGGACTGCGACGGGGTACTCGGGACCGGAGGAGCGCCATCCTAGAGTCTGACACCATAACCATAACTACTTCATCACGACGGCGGAAATCAGCGCCACCCCCTCGGAAACTCGACACCGCTCGCAACCGGCTTCGTGATGACATTGCCAAAGGCACCAGGGCAAGAGCGAACAGTTTTCTTGTCGCCAACAAAGACTTCTTTCTGCCACTTCTGCCCAAGAACAACCATGTCGCGAAGCTGGTAGAAGAAGGCAAAGCGCAACCTATCATCGAGTACCAAGAGCTCAAGGAGCAGCCCAAGGGAGTTACAGCCGTCATGAAGCCTTACCAGCTGTCTGGTCTATCGTTTCTCGTCCACCTCTACAACAACGGGTTCTCTGGTATACTCGGTGACGAGATGGGCCTTGGGAAGACACTACAGACCCTTTCTCTTTTCCAATATCTTGAAGAGCTCGATGAGCAGAAGGGCATTGTGTCTGAAGAACCCCGTCCATACCTCGTCGTCTGCCCACTGAGTGTGCTCAACTCTTGGGTCACGGAAGCTGAAAAGTGGGTGCCACAGCTCGGTGTAATGCGGTTTCATGGCGCCGTAAACGAACGGACTCGTCTTAAGCGGGTTGCAGCCGGTTTAGAAGATATGAAAGGAAACGAAACCTCACGCGCACGAGATCGGAAAGCATTGCGCAAGGCCGGCCAAAAGGTCTCCAAGCTGCCTGGCCCTTCTGGCTCTTTCAAGATTGTCGTGACGACCTATGACGTTTTCCAAACCGAACAAGCCTGGTTCAAACACTCTTTTGCCTGGCGCTATGTTGTTCTTGACGAGGGCCATAAGATCAAAAATAGCTTGGCCCAAATCTCCACGGCGTTGAAGAGCATCAATGCCGAGTACCGGCTGATCCTGACGGGAACACCTCTTCAGAACAACATGGTTGAGATGTGGTCACTCCTGACCTGGCTGTATCCCACCGTCTTCGATGACAGGACTGAAGCACTATTCCGAGAGTCATTCGATCTTAGCAAAGGCAAAGCAAATAAGCAGACTATGACAGATGCCCGGCGCTTGCTCGAACTGATCATGTTGCGCAGAATGAAAGACTCTCCATCAGTCAATCTCGGTTTGCCGCCCAAGGAAGAGGTGCTCCTTTACGTACCCCTTACACCGATGCAGAAGTTTTGGTACACGCGCCTTTTGACTCGTATTGATGACGGCATGCTGAATGAACTCTTTGCCGATGGCAAGGAGAAAGAGAAAGCTGCTATTGAACACGACGTTCAGGAGAACAAGGTATTGCAGCAGCTGGAGGATATGGACAAAGTGATCAGCACCGGCAGTGTTGGAGACGAGTGGGAAGAGACTGCAAAGATTGTGCAAGAAGCTGTAGCGAAAGAACAGACCGACGCGAACACCTCAAAAGGAGCTTGGAAAAAGCTCATGAATCTCGTCATGCAGTTACGCAAATGCTGCTCGCACCCATACCTGCTTCCAGGAGGAGCACCAGACCCATACTACCTTGGCGATCATGTCATCCGCGCTTCCGGCAAGTTCATTTTGCTGGAGAAACTCCTCAAGCATACGATCTTTGAGCAAGGCAAGAAAGTCCTCGTCTTCTCAGGATTTGCTCGCACACTCGACTGCTGTGAAGACCTGCTGTCTCTTGTCAGCAACCACGGTGAAAAATTCAAGTATCTTCGCTTGGACGGGAGTACGGCCAGGGCTCGTCGAAACTTGGATATCCGCCTTTTCAATCAGAAAGATTCGGACTATAAGGTCATGCTTCTTTCCACTCGTGCGGGTGGCTTAGGGATCAACCTTACCAGCGCGCAAGATGTCATATTCTTGGATGAAGACTGGAACCCACAAATTACACTCCAAGCCGAAGCGCGGGCTCATCGTATCGGACAGACCAAGAAAGTAACGATATACAAGCTCTGTACCCAGGGGACTGTCGAAGAGCAGATGATGGGTCGCATCCGGAAGAAGCTCTATCTCTCTGCAAAGATTACCGAATCCATGCAGAACGTACATGGCAAGCAAGCAGTCGCAAAAAGATCAGCGGGACGCCCTTCCATCGACGAAGACATGCCACAGATGGATACATCGCAACTGATGACACTTGTACGCCGAGGTGCACAGACACTCTCACATCCTGAGATTGACGTCAAGGAAATGGTTTCTTGGGACCTGGATACAATGATAAAAAAGTGCCGTGACCAGTCTGCCGAGTTGACTGACACGACACAATCCGAGGTTGACGAAGACAAGTGGCTTTCCACCATGGAGCGCGTCGAATGCGCCGTGTTTGAAGGCAAGCGTCATCAGCGCAATCTTGACAAAAGCTCCAGTGCAGATACCTCGTCTAGGAATATCCTACCAGAAACCATTACTCGGGAGGACCGCCGCACGAACAAGAACACTACAGTCATGGTAAACGGCTATGCTATTAGTAAGGAGTCCATGAACTGCGGAGACTGGGAAGCCGTGCCAACTTTCGCCGGCAAAGACCCACGTCTTGCTGAGCCAGTCCGAGAAAAGCGACGCGAGTTCAACCACGAAAATCACTGCCTTGAATGCTTCGAAGATGCCGACGCTGGGAAGCTCTTCGAGTGCAAAACCTGTCCCCGAGTGTACCACTTCGACTGTCTCGACGGCCATTACCAGGGCAAAGTCAAGGGCCCTTTCAGTGGCTTCCATTGCCCCCAGCACAACTGCACTGACTGTGCAAAGTCCACAGCCGACGCCGGAGGCCTCATCTTCCGATGCCGCTGGTGTCCTCGGGGCTACTGCGAGGACTGTCTTGACTGGCACAATACCGAGCTTATTGGTGAGAATCTACCCGAATTCGAGGTCCTGGGTGAACATGCCATGTCAGGTGGTTTCTACGTCAAGTGTCCGTCTTGCATCGAATCAGCCAAAGAGGACCCAGAGCAGAGGGCGTGGATCGAGGAAAAGGAAAAAACGTACAAGGAAGAGCATGCTGCTTGGTTGCAGGAGCGTGAAACGGCGCAGAGTGTCAAGATTCGAGACGAAGACGAAGCTAGTTTACCACCGGGGCTCACTGATACTTCGCTCTCTACTCCTGTGCTTGATGGTTCTGGAGCCATTACGCCTGATGGAACGGAGACGATGTTGCCAATTCCTACAATTACGAAGAAGAGGAGTCAAATGTTTGATGAGACTAGCGACAAGAAGAAGAAGACCAAGCGTGGCGTGTAGGGTCGGTCATTGGTCTCTTGATTACCTGGCATTCATGACGTGCGAAAAGAGGGTTGCTGAAATGCAAACGCGCTGGTTCTCCAGTTGCATTTGGACTAACAATAATCATCTCACAGCGCCAGGGGGGCGTTACAACTCTGGTTTATATACCCATAGAAGTTTGATGGCTTTTTTCTTTTCTTTTGCTACGGCTGTCTTACAAGACAAGTCGCGCAACATGTACATTAAATTTACAATGATGATCTTTCGTAAAGGCATCTGTCATGCATACTTCTTGGAATCTTCAGTCCTTGCCGTCCTCCGTCATCCGCATACGAATCTCTCCCACAGATCTCGCTCGACTCTAATATCATTTAGCATTCACCCACAAAATTGTTGTACTACGCACCTACCTTCGCTACTTCTAATCAGACCCCTCTTTCGTCACTGAACACCGTCAGGCACCTATAATCATTCCTCTCGGGAAACCCCCACTAACCAAACATACTCCCCCCACCACCCCCTCTCCTCCCACCCCTCGACGCCTCCTTAACCAGCCACTCCCTCAAAAACTCCTTATTCCGCATCTCCTCAGGCCGTGTCAGTCTAGTATCAAACTGCGCTTCCTGCCGACTAAACGCCAGTAACGTCGGCATACTACTAATCTGTCCCTTTTTGTTAGCCCTCCATCCCCACTTCCAAACACCCACCGCCCACCCCTCCCTTTTCCACTTGAGAAAAGAAAATACATACCCGATACCTGATCGGCAAATCCTCAATCAGCACCGAATCCATCATCACCTCCACAAACCCCAGCCCGCCTTCCCTCTCCCCCACTTTCTCTTCTTCAATCAATTTTCTGAGGAGAGGCTTGATAGCTTGGCATGTCTGGCACCAGGATGCGGTCCAGAAGGTTATTAGGGCGCGGTTGTCGGCGGCGTTGAGGAGAGTCAGGGTGTGCAGGTCGTTGGGTTGGCGGATGGGGTCGAAGATGCGGTTTGTGGGGGAGCGCGAGGAGGGGAAGAGGGAGAAGGGGCGGGGGGTTGGGATGGAGAGGCGGAGGGTGGAGGGGCGGAGGATCATTTTTTGGAGGGGTTTGAATTGGGAAAGGTGGTAGTGTTGGCTGTTGGCGATGTTGCGGTGGTTGGACAATTGGAATTTGGCGGTTCGCGGTGACGCGTGGGGATGGGGATGATGTCATTAGTGCCAAGATTTGGGGTGATGGTCGCGTTTCCACGTGGTGTGCTTGTTCTGCTCTCCTTGTCTCGCGTATTCCTGGCACGTGTCGCAACGTCAAGAATGGAATTATGCATTTGAAAGAGATGGAATTCTGAAAGAGTATCACGTATACGAGATTGGAAATTCTGAACTACTGACATCCCTCCCTAGGCCAAGCACCAGTTATAGAGTCTTGCCTAAGCGTTGGTGAGACCCTAATATCTTTGGTGCTTCTTCACAAAGAGCACCATAGATAGCTTTTCGGATGACTGGTACTGTGATTTTCATAGCTGGTATTCCAGTTCGATCCAGATCGGAAGGGCGATTAATGCCTCGAATCTTGTGGCGGTACCTAAGCAAGCTCAAGAGCAAAGCAAGCACCATTGAAACCCCGGCCAACCGTTGGCAAGGTTACGGCGATCGAAACTCCACCTGCGATTGCTTTCAAGCCTTTGGGGTCGAGAACATTCGCAACACCGTGCAAAATTCCAGCAGGCGCTGCTGGAAGATTAAACTCAACATATGGCTTGCCCTTGTGCTTCCTTCCTTTAGCCTGAAATGGCTGAAGGCAGTTCGGGAAATGTAAGGGTTCCTTGACATGTACTAACATAAAGTGTCTAAGTTATCTGACTTAGTACAAAACGTGGGTGGAAGAGGGTCTTCTCGAATCAGTCGACGAAATACTCCATACCGGTTTGTATCAGGATGATACACAAAGAAACGATGCTTATCCCTCTCAGCCTCATCGATGTTGTCAGTTTCTTCTTTGATAGAATCATAGACGGAGCTGGTGGAACAGACTTGATATTTAATCGCTATACTGTATTGAGTGGAGAAGGTAGTCTATCTACGCCGAAAAAGAATCACTAATATATATCTGCAGTCTGATCACGTGACAGCACACCACAGTTTTTACAGATATATTGTAATGTCTTTGACGAAACTGGACACTAAGCAACAAAGCACACGATGCCCCTGCGAAATAAAAGCCTCTTCTATAAGGTAGAAGCAGAAAAATAGTGTGATAGGTAGTGCCTGCCGTGGTTATACAAGGTGATAATGCTGTGCTACATTATCAATCTTGATCAACCAGTCAATGAGTAGCATGTAGATATTCCCTACATAAATCTGCACCCCTACGTCCATCTCTTCGTATCGCGAAGCTGATTGGAACTACTGGTACGCGTGATCTACCTTTGAATTCTCTTGGTCTGTGTTTTTTCTTATCGACATGCAAGTCTCGGACTTTGACGCTGTCCCTAGACCTCTCGAGACGCGCGCCGTGCTTGCTCACCATCATCTCCCAATTCTCTACTTCAGACTGGATCCGATGTCACCAGTTACTAAAAGTCAAAGTACCAATGGTTTGTCTGGTCACAGGGGGTGTTCGGTAACCCAGGGAGGGATGTTGGAAAAATATGTACTCATTACATGACGCCTACTACAACGAAAAGGACAAACCAGCTAGCTATCTTCCAATAATCCTAAACATCCAGCGGAGTCAAATGACCAAGCAGCCGCCGCTTCTTCCCAGCCTGACCTCCTGCATTCTGCTTACCCTCACCCTCATCATACCGATCCAAAAACCTCAGGCCCCTCTTCCGCTTCCTCTTGATCCCCCTGCGCTTCTCCAAAAAGTCCCCCTCGGCATCATCAACGCGCCTCTTCAACCCAAACAAACTACCCATACTCTCACTATCTTCTCCGCTACTCTCTTCAGTATGCTCCCGGATACTCTCTCCACCATTCTCTCTGCTATTCTCGCCACCAATCATCACAAAGTTATTCGAATAATCATACGGCACCTGCGCCAAACTGTGCATCTCCAGCCGCGCATCTTCAACTGCATACTGCTCCCTGATCCTATCCCCCAGCACACGCTCATCACGTTGCACAACTGTATGTCTGAACCGGCGATTCTCGGGTACGGCATCAAAATTGCGCTCGATGGTGAGCTTGTGCCAGAAGAACCACGCGACCAGCGTTCGCCAGTCGAGAATACCGGCTGTAGCAGCCTCAGCAAGCGTGTAGAGCTGTTTGTAGATCTCAGAGGTATACTTCGCTTCGGGGTCGAAGTGAAGGCCCATGGCGATAATCCAGGCGTTGATCAATACGTGGTGACCGCACTGGAAACCACCTGTCGTCTGTTGAGGAAGGTTTTCGTGAACAAATGCTTCGGCATCGAATTGCACAGCACCGAATTCGTTGCGGTGCGTCGACCACTTCAGTGACGCAGCAGCATTTTCCACACGCACACAGAAGAAGTCCCGAACATCGTTGAAGATGCGGAGGCAGCTATCGAAAATGTGGGTTTCGAAACGCGTCTCGGCTGGGTTTTCGGAGTCGTTGTTGATTGCTTCTTGGACGACCACGAGGAATCCGTGACCGCCTGCACGACCAGTGGGACTTTTGTACTTCTTGCCGTTTGTCTTAGCCCAAACTTCTAGTTGCTCTAGTAGTCCGTTTTTGGTTGCGACTAATGGAATAAGCCAGGCCCTTCGCGGGCGTGAGAAGGGAATGCTTTCGATCCCGTTCAATGCCATCTGGAGGGTGGTACTGGTTGTCAAAGCGAAACCACCGGCAAAGGGGCGTTGCGATCCTGATGCTGCGTGCAGACGCGACTGCAGGTTGTCGATGGCTTCTACGACAGATGCCACGGCAAGGTTCAAATCGGAGTCGTCCATGAGACGTTGCCAGTCATTGGGTTTCACGGTACCCTTGTTGTTGAGCATCTGCTGGAGTCTGGCGGTCCTTCGAATTTGGTCGTAGAAATCAAGTGTCTCTTCGATCCATTCGCCGGGCTCCCTTTGGATGTTTGAGTCCATGCCTTCGTAGTGCAAGTTGGTATCATCGCGGATTACTTGTAGAAGGGCTTCTTGCTTGGATGCAATAGACTGCGAGTTGGCTGGTGGTAGTTTCTTTAGGCAGCTTTCTACTCGGGTCTTGGCCAGGTTTCTAAAGACTGCTTCAATTTCCTTCTCCTTATGGTTGATGTTAAGGAGATCGAAACGCTGGAGTCGTGGTACATATTCATACTTCTTTGTGGCATCAACCCATTCGTCGGAAGGGAACGCTTTCTTCCCGTTATGCGGTCTCCCAGTCATGTTTGGAATGCGGTTCACATTTCGGATGCGTTTCAATGCTTCGGTCTGATATTTTTGCCTAGCCCAGTGCAACTTTTCCGTAGCCAGGAGGGTTGCCAGATCATCATCAAATCTTGACTCGATCCGTGTCGAATGAGTCTTAGCAAAGCGCCTGTTCTCCGGTACAATACCATCTCGAACAAGGTCGTGACACTGCAGAAAAGCAGAGATGAGTTTCCAATCCGCATGTCCGAGACGCACAAGATGCACCACGTCTTGCAGCTCTTGGAAGAACGAATCAGTCCATCGCAGTCGCACATTTTGATTGAGCTCCAATCCCATGACCAGACCCCATGCATTCAGGATCGTAAAGTATCCGCATTCGTTCGCGGTCGGCTGGCGAGCGGTTTCTACCCAAGTCGCGGACTTTGGCTTTACCTTCTCAAAGGCATTTTTATTCGCGAAGACACCCTGCCACCAAGAGGAACCACGCAGAACCTGCCAGCCAATCTCGAACAATTTCTCACGATCTTCTGCATCGTAATGATAGAATAAAGAATCCAAGAAGGAAATTGTCGGTCGACCTTGTTCGTCTAATTGGGCAAGGAGAAGAACAATATGGTTTTTAAAAGAGATTGGAGCAAGCAGTGGCCGACCAGGATGAAGAGCGTTGAGCATGTAGTTTTCCACATCAACCCCTTCCAAAGCTTGGCATAACTGCACAAATTGACTTTGAACGATGCTGAATCCTTCCTCGATACTCTGCATCTCGTTGATGGCCATGATGACGGCGCTCATAGCGAGTGCGCTTTCCGTATCATCTATCCACTCTCCCTTCTCTGTCCTTATTATATCCTCGCTTCGAAATTCTTTCAGCTCCTTCTGTATCTGCTCATTTGCTAGCAGCTTACTCAGAGTGTCTCGCAGGGACTCGCACAGGCTGAAAGGCTTACTCAGTGAGGCATATCGCCTTCGAATCTCATCGCGAGACAAAGTGCTGTCGAAAAGCCCGTTGCGCTCCAATTCAGAAATCCTTGTGTTTCGATCCTCCGTATCAAGACGATCCCAACGAAATGAATCATCGTGATTTTGGACTGATCCGGTGAGGAATAGCTCATACACATTCACACCCTCCCCAACAATCTCCCCTTTTTTCGTTCGCATAAACGCTTCATACGCTTCTTGCTCACTCTCCGGTATCGTCCTAGCGAATCTTCTTCCCAGTCCCGGTGCCTCGGTCGAAGCTACATACTCATGACAGCGCAGCAAAGCCCAGATAAGCAGCCAATTCGCCTCGCCCCGCAGCGCAGCCTGAATAACGTTACGTGCATCGCGGATGAATGCTGGGCTTGAAATGAAACCCTCAGTGTTCAAAGGCAAATTCAGCAAGATACTCCATGCGTTAAGTACAACATGATATCCGTCATGATGCTCGCACACCTGTTGCGGTGCAAAGACCCATTTGAGAGGCCCTGTGATGGATTTCTCGGAGCCGAGGCGAGTACATATCTCGGCTCTGGTAGCTTTGCTTGTTAGCCAGGGTGCGGAGTCGATAACGATGTCGGAATTCCTGTTGGCTCCGGGGTTTTGTGTCAGGATGCAGAGATTGTGGTTTTCGGTTGCCTCTAGCATGTATATCGAGATTAGGTCTCCGTTTTTGGTGATGGACGATTTGACCTCAGTTGTGGAGGACTCGGTGGCAAAGCCTGCGCCTAGGGGGTAGCGTTGGTTGAGGGCTCGGATGACGGATGCTATGCTCTCTCGGATCTCATTCTTGGTTAACGGGGATACATCTGTTGCAAGTGCTTCTGGCAGGTCTTTCTGAGTGATCTGATTACCATTGGCTAGCTTGTTCAGCTCTTCATGGAGATATTCGCAGGGATTGAACTCAGCTGGTACAGGAAAGTTATCCAATTGAGAAGGCTGAACATGTGAATCTCCCAGCGGCAAAAGAGTCTCAGAAGGCTCTTCAGACATTTCTATGTCCTCGGAAAGGTTTTGATTAGGCTGCTTTGCCATATCTTGCAGTCTCCATCGTCCTTCACGTACAAGGGGTATCAGCTCATTCAATTCTTCGTTAGAGAGTGAATTTGACGACGATATTTCGCTGTGAAGAATACCATCTTCGAGCTGCATAGGAATCTGCTTCGTCTCTATTTTCTTTGCTGGAAAAGTCTCGTCGGCTTTTGTCTGATCAGCAATCAGAATGTCAAAAGGGCGCTTACGCAGATCAAAACGGCGATCCTTAGCTGGCAGATCAGCATCTTCATCATCATTGACTTCTGTCGTAACAACTGGCTTCGCGAATCCAGTGCAACGTAAGAACGACAGAAGCAGTTTCCAAGTCAAGGCATTCTCCAAAGCGAGATGGAACATTCCCTCTGCTTGAATGAAGAAAGCCTCGTAACCCTGGCGGTCTGGCGTAAATGCTGGATTGGGCTCTAGGCCCATGGCTAAGGCCCATGCATTCAAAACTGTATATGTAGAAGAAGCCTCTTGGGTAGCGGCCTGCGCACAAGGCACCCACTCGGTATCCATGAGCAGATGCTCTGTCATTTGCTCGCTCGATTCAGAAGCCAAAATCCAACGTCGCAAATTTTGGTGGATCTTATTGCGATGACTCCATGAACTACGCCAGAACAGCGGATATAGGACTCTGACTCTGATTCTTTGGTCTGGCTGTCGGATCTGGGCTACGAGCAGGAGATGGCGACCAGACTGCTGGGTGAGGGCAGTAAGTAGTATTCTTCCCGGTCGGAAGATCGTACTGTTATGCATGAAACTGAACCCAGCATTTCCTGGCTGTCGGTGGTTGACGGAAGTGATCACCCTGGGGATGAGAGACGCTACTTTATCTTCCAAATGTTGGTTGAGTCGTGTTTTAAAATAGCCGGACGGATTCTCGATTGGCCGACCGTCATCTGTGAATGCGTCGGAATATTCGTCTTCTTCTTCCTTGACTCCTTCGACTTGTTCAACTTCCTGGACTTCCTCAGCTGCCTCAACTTCCTCAACCTCATGCTGTATCTGTTCATTCGCGAGATTTTGGAACATTTCAGACATGGATTCGGTAGTCTCTGCTTCATTCCCAACTTCTTGCGACGTATCTTCTGGTGGCCCAATTGGAAGCCACCTGATTACCACGTTCTTGCTAGCAACATCTCCGTTTCTGTCACGACGATCCATCTCATGTTGGGCAGCTTTTCTAGTAGTCGCCTTATACTTCAAGCTGCCTTCATGTCGGAAAAAGAACAATGGCTGCGAAAGCAGCTCAATGACAGCGAAGTCTTCTAGAGGACCAATGAAAAAGGGTCTAGGCGAGGAACTACCTTGATTGATATATGTGATACCATTGACGGTGATCGATGTCCCTAGGGGGACATCGATAAAATGGCCTAGCCTCTGGTTCTCCGCACTTGATGGTGCCCGTCGGATGAAATCGACGTGAGCAGTTTGATCATTGACGGTTCTGGTCTAAGTTAGCAGAGGACTACAAAATTTGACATAGCCTTACGTACACTTGCAGACGTCGCTCTGTGTGCAAGATAAATATTTCTTGATTCTTCGCTCTGGATAGGATCACTGCAGCATTCTCGTCCCCCTCTTCAAATTGCCCAGTAAGTGCGGCAATATCATGAAGTCCGTCTGGCTCCTTGGCACTTAGTCTCTTGATCTCATTGTAAAGGCCGCGCAATGCTGCACTGGATTGGTTTGCATCTCCTGCAACCATGTCCTTGCCATCTTTCTGATAGATTGGCGTGCGTATTTGAGCCTCGGGCAAGCCTGCTTGGGTTAGTCGGAGCTCGTCCGGTTCTCTCTCGTACAAAGGCTGAGCGTAATCGTCCAAGTATTTTCGGTCAAAATCATTTTTCCGCTTCGCTTTGGGTATCGCCCAGTCTACCTGAATAGACGCACGGCTGACACATTCGGGTTCTTTCTTCAAGTCGGGACCCTTGGATACCGGGCCTTTCTTGTTTCTGTTTCCTTGGCGTTTGGGGGGCATGTTGGATCAGTGGACACTCTGAACTTTCTTGAATTCTAAAAAATCAGAGGCAAATGCCATAAGATGTCTCCAAATGAATAGTCATCGTGAGTGGTCCTTACAAAGGTGTTTGTTTGATATGTACACATGTTTTCTGTTCTTTCAAAACTTCGTCTTTGTTAGCGGATAACAATACTGAATGCCGCATCTGTAGAGTTGCCGGGTACCGACCGATTCTAAGGACAAAGAAACAACTTAGAAACTAGAAACGCTGCCTGGGGTCGGTTATACAACATATTATGTGCATCGACCTTGGATGCACCAAACATGGATACAATCCTTTGATACAGAAATGTTACAAGATTGGATGAAACAACAAGTACTGAAAGCCGAAAAGAGAATTCCGGAGGGAAAACAAGTAGCTAGAACCACCCACACAAGCATTTGTGTGAACACCTGCGATGCAGACGGAGTGTTTTCCAGTTATTCTTTCATCGCAAGGGTAGAGGTGCGTAGGGTGACCAGGATGATATGGCGGCAGCCAGAGACTGCGTAAACAAAGAGATAAGGCGCTTGAAAAGCTGAAATCATTCATTGTGCTTACTGACATATAAGCACAGTCTATAGAGATATCGTAATCTAATAAAAAGGTCGATAAAAAAAGTATGACGCTGTTGGCAAGGTATTCGCTCCATTATGTATGTGGGATATGTTTGAGTCTCCAAGGCGACATGGGTATTGAGGTACACTAAGTGGATGTCTTCAGTTCAGGGCAGCACCGGTCTGCAACCCTCCCTGTTGAACGCATCGTGTGTGTGTGTGTGTGTGTGTGTGTGTGTGTGTGTGTGTGTGTTTATGTGTGTGTATGGCGAGACGAAGCTGATATGCAGCGATTTGTATCAGCGTGCACCTGAGCCATGGCTTGAGCATGGCTGGCTTCGCGAATTTTTGTTGAGGTTCATCCTCCGCGAGTCTTCTCTCTGTAGAGGTCGATTCGCTAGTAGTGACGTGGGGCCGATGTGTTTGAGCGGCCTGACTTGTCCAGTCACATGGCAGTGGGATGATGGGAGTAGCCATTCATCATATGAAGTGCCGCATTGTTCATTTGGCCGTATTGATCAGGATAGCGATATCCCATACCATTGTCCAGATCTGTCGCAGGGTCCGATCGCGCTGTGCTCACAATATTGGCGGCTTCGACGCATGTAGAACGGCTGTAGTAATTGAATGGATCTGCCGGATAGCCAAAATCCCCCGAATGAGTCCAAGAGCTGTTGTATGGGCGGTTGTAGGGATAGTCGTAGGCGACGTCCTCTATCTTGATCTCAGTGCCAGGTGGAGTTGACGGTGCAGCATAGAACGTGGTGGAATAGGAAGAAGGAGGCGGGGTGCTCATAGCCGATACTATCGAGCCAGGGCTAGGTGAATCATCGCAACTGAAATCTGTGGATCGTGGAGGTAGGGAACTGATGGTTTGGATTGGCGGCGTGTGTCGAGGGATTAAGATAGGCTTTGTGTCGGAAGCCATGTAGGAGGCTGTCGAAGCGTTTGGGACTGGCTTGGTTTTCCCTTCGAGCATTGCACTGAGCCTCGATGCCGCAGGGACTTGCTTGCTGTGCCGGTCTGGTGTGTTTTCCAAGGCGGCTAACACCTCTTGCTCGGACATTCCTTGTTCGCGGAGGATAGCCTTGAGCTTGCGGTTCTCCTCGAGCACTGTCCTCGCAGCGCTCTGAATCTCTGATGAAGCCTCGATGCCGATCTGCTCATAGGTGCGTAGCTTTGTCTCGAGTTCTTGCAGGTATTCTTTACGACGAGCGCGTGAGCGTCCTGTCATAAACAAGTGTTAGTGGAGATTCTGTGGGTATCTGAAAGACAGAGCACCAAGTGCAATCTGATCAGACACGTGACTTCCTGTGAAGGAGGGTAGACAAGTGAGCGACGACGAAAAAGCTGGCAGGATGGAATTTGAAGAGAGCAAGTCTGTAGGAAATCATGGACGACTCACGTTGGTTGTCCCGAATACGAGCAAGGTGTTGCGCTTTCTGCTGCCATTGGTCAGTGACGGTCTACATAGGGAGCAGCAAGAGTGTGTATGCATACTGATATCCTCGAGTCACTCATGTTTGGATTGGAGAGGATGGAACAGACGTTGTCGTAGTAGCGTAGAGATGGAGAACTGGTAGTGGCCTGATAGGCAGAGTTGTTTGCATGAGCATTCCGGGTAATATGTGGTCAGACTTGATGGCATGCAGTCTTAAAGTAGAATGCAGAAGTACATGCCGACGGCCAGTATGCAAAGCAAGGAGCAGGCATGACCCCGGCAGCGTCTGGGAGTGCATGTGGGAACAGACCTCGCCGTCCAGCCATGTCTGCAAGCGTGGGGAGCCCAAGCGGGGGCCAGGGGGAGTAGTTTCGTGACATTACGAAGGCACAGGCGATGGGTATCGTCTTGATCACCAGGCGTAGGCCCAAAATGGCCTAGCGCATTGCGGCTGCCTTAGCGCCCCCTTTGCAGTCCGCCCTGACTCGGATCGGAGACGGAGCCCTTTTCAGCTTCGTCGTCGGAAATTGGGCAAACTGAGTTTTGCTGGTACCCTCGCGACACCACGTCGCAGCATCACCACCACCACCCGAAACTCGCTCACAAACCATCACAAATACCGTTGTTCATTTATTCCTAGCACTCACGTATCTCTTACCGGTGCGTTCCGAAGATTGGGCAGCTACTGCGGCACGGGAGCAGGGCACCCTTCCACCCCCGTCATGGCTATTGGTCACCGAATAACAGCGCCCTACTCCGGTCACTTCGACCCCACGCGATTTGTTACGTCCTGGGCCCTGCCTCCCAGCCTTCTGTTTGGCTACCGCGTACTCCTGGCCCTGTATGCATTTACGACCTTGTTTACCATCTTTGGCTGGAACGCTACGCACGGCAGATCTGAGGAATCCCGGCATTCCTTTTCCTTCTTCACTGTCTTGACGTATTGGGGTCTTGCTTTCTATTATGCCTTCTCTGCAGTGCACACGGCTAGCTATTGGCTCACGGGCACGTCGTTCCTGGCGCGTTGGCCCAAGCCGCTGCAGGTCGCCCACAGCATGTTCTACTCCACCATTGTCGTCTATCCATGGATCGTAACCAGTAAGTCAAGCTCATCTTAGCGTTGCATGTATTCAAGAAACTGACAACGTCAACCAGTTGTTTTCTGGGCTCTCCTTGCGGCTGATTTTCCCACCACATTCTCCATCTGGTCCAACACGTCACAGCACGCTCTCAATTCGCTCTACGCATTTTGCGAAATCCTCTTTCCCAGTACCATTAGATTGCCCTGGCTAGACCTGGTGCCCGTTATCCTCCTCTTGGCTTGTTACCTTGGCTTGGCCTACCTTACCCACGCCACTCAAGGCTTTTACGTATACCCCTTTCTTAACCTCCAGAAAAACTCCTCAGGTGTTGTTGCTGGCTACATCATGGGCATTCTTGTGGCGGCTATTATCATTTTCATCATTGTGCGGTACCTTATCGCCCTACGCCTCTGGGTCACTGAGACAAAGCTTGGAATGAGAGGCAAAGTTTCCCCACGCGCCACAACCAGAGCGGCAGATGGAGACATCCCACTATACGACACTGTTGCAAAATAGGTCGTTTCCGCGGATTCCTATCAGGCCATTCTCAGCTTTGGATTCACAAGTTCTTGTTTCTTTACTACTCCTAATACGCTCTCTACGATAAATCATGAAACCCTTTACTGACTCTGTTTCCCAGCTGAGTTTCATAGTCACTCGGATTTCTATCAACGAAAACCATTAATTCCAAGTCAATACACTGATTTCATTGCCAAGCAATCGAACGCCTCTGCAATCACAAGTTCTACGTACCTATATGCACGCATCCCTGTCCAGTGGTATTCATTACATCCAGATCCTACTCCAGCCCCTCATGCCGTGCTACCATCCCACGTCCTATTTCCTCAGGAAAACACCTCGACTGTTTTTTTCTATCCACGGTACCTGGATGAGCACAGCTTCATTCGGACTCGGGTAGGTTCGGGAGCATGTGCTCGTTCCAAGTGGGGCTATTGGTTGCGATAGACTGTCATGAAAGTCATGAAAGGGTTCTACCCCACCAAATTGACCCCAGAAGTGGATCACACGGGCAGTCGCCTATCAAAGTCAAGGTGGACGCAGCCGCAATGACTGTTGAGCATTGGCACAGTGGATGCTTCTCATCCAATAAATTGGCACGCGTACGCCCTGGATATCCAATCAATTACACACGTGAGTGAGTGGCGCTCAATTGCCAAGGACAAAAGTCCACCCAGCAAGGCGGGTCAGTCAACCAAGTAAGGCTAAAACGAACGAGAATAAGCCTCTGCGCCAGTATTGACACTCTACAGTAGTAGAAGGGGGCTTGAAGAAGAGCAGGATGAGCTTCTAATTCGCTCTCGCGTGCTCCCATGCACTTACATACGTAGTTACACCATGACAGCTGACAAGTATAGCACAGAATTCACGCGATAGTTACGCCGATTCGTTGACTAGGAGCGCGCAGAATGCATCTTGGCTCCAGTGACGATGTCTGTTGAGACTTAACAATACCATCTCTCTGGGTCGCACGACCAGGGGCAACGTCAGCCACGTTACAGCAACCTGAAGCAAATTACAAGGCTGAAGGCGCTCGTTGCTTTGTTCCAGGTACATGGGATTATTTTAAACTGCCGTCGCACGCGATGGCTCCTTGCGCGCTATGCAGCGACTACCGAGGAGGTGCTACATACGTCTGCCAAACTACAGCAGCTACTGTCAGCCTTAGTTTAGCGCATCGCAGGTGGCTAACTTCTGGCTTATCTTCGCTTGGCTAGCAGCCCTGAGGACAGGAGTCATGAGGGGCTGATTCGCATACCCTTGCAGATTCTGGTGTAGCAGTGCACCACCATCCCGCGCACGTTACAATGTCAGTCTACAATTGGGTCCCGAGTTTCTGACAGGGGCTCATTCAGCCCCTCGGCATTATCAGCCCACGCTTCCTTTTTCACGTTGGTACCAAGTTAGCGGTCCTGATGAGTCTGGTTTAGCCTGGCGATCATCAACGACGCCTTCGAATGGCGAGGTCGTGTCATGTGCCCTCCTTACCACAGAGGCGGTGTTGTAGAAGCGTCATATAGTACCCCTAGAGATTTCTCACGTAAACTGCCCAGGTAAATGCCTGATTGCTAACATATGTGTCAGCAATGGATAACAGCCGTGCGCGTGATGCTCGCTACATTATCCAGAAAAGTGTTTGTTTTCCGGCGGGCGGAAGTGCTCGGGATGAGGTCCTAACTGTAGAAGTTCTCCCAGCAGCGCGCACAGGCCAAGTTTTCTCGAAGCGATCCTCCAAGTACCCAACACAACGGAGACGGACAGTAACCTGGCCTTCTCGAAACGTTGGAACCCTTGCTGATCATATACAAAGTTTGGACATGACTCCATGACTTACGCTACACGATCCTGCATATCAGCGTGTAACTTGGACGGCAAAGCACCCTCCACACCACGAAGACAACCGCGATCGACGGTGGCTGCACCGGTGTGGAGTCGCATTCTGAGTAGGCTCCAGCATGGCACATGTCGAAACCATAAGGGCAAGTGCCGGAGCGTACCAGATTGCGCCATTTTGCTTACAACGAATGAGGCGCACTTGGAGGCGGCGGACAAGGCTGCCCAATCACAAATGCCCATCAATGCTCAATGTTTTGGAGATTCCAGGGCCCTGGACAATTTCTTACAGGTCTAACACACAGTGTGTTAAGTCATACCGAGTTGTCCGCCCTCCGTGCTCTTGCGAACCTCCCTTAGAACTAATCTAGTGGCCCTACGAGGCTCCTCCTCAGCCTTAGTACCGTCAGCGCACCGCTTTTTCGTTTCGCAAATTGCACCGCCGCTAGCGATACCGTCCCGCGAGCAAAAGGGAAGATTTCGCTAGTCCCAAGTCACAAAGGGCATGTGAATGACTTGACGTCGCGTGAATCGAATTTGAATGCGCCGGTCATCAGACCATGGCTACGGCCGTTCCATTTTCTACGAGTAAAGGAGCCTGTTCCAGCCTCCCGTCCATCAAGACCCTTAGAATTGGTATTAAGCTTCAACATAGTCAAGCGAGCGTACATTCCTAAATTCGTAGTCAGCAGTCAGCAGGGCGAACGTGAATTCATGCAGGTCGTCGGCACGCTTCGTCCAAGCGCTGGCGTGTTCCTCCACTGCGACTGCGGTAAATATGTGTTTTTATTGAAATATCTCAAGTGAGGGCTGCGCTAGCAGATCCTACACAGGTCGGCTGTATGCGTAGGGCTAGAAGCGTGGGATTTACCGATGACGACGGCGATGATGCGGTGTGTGGCTTAATCGCAAAAGCAAAAGTCTCGACTGCGGCGCTGATCAACGAACCCACGCAAGGTGCTTCACACGTGAACGACGACTATTTGCTAATGTGCGTATACTAACTAGTAGTCTGTACACATGCATCCAAAAGGGTCGGGCATGGGATGGGAGGAACGGTCCGATTGTTTCACCTCGCTTGCAGCACTGCATATGTACATATTCCCATTGGGAAAAGGAAATTGTGCGACCACAGCAATCACTGACCAATATCATCAGCAATTCTAAGCCCCGCGGCCCCCAAGACGAACAGCCATTCTTGAGCATTGTGCACGCAGAGCTGGCATCTTGGAAGTGTGATTAGCCGAGGCATTTGGGGATATTGGTAGCGAACCTTCCATCACAAGGCAATTCGTACGTGCGCTTGACAGCCAACACTGCTCAATACTAAGATCATAGCCGCTGTCAAGGAAGCGCGTGGAAAAGAAAAAATCCGACACTATGATAGAGGTTGTCTATATTGTCCGGCATGCGGTAAGTATAAAGTTTGCTATCTCTCTACTACGTAAGAAGCTGTCCTGGGTTCATCGTTGCGTCAAATGCGCCACGGGCCATGTTAAATGAATCTTGATTTCCCTAGGCCTTTTTCACCCGTCTCATTCGTCCCTGCATTACTACCCTTTCTCATCGCGAGTTCCTTTCAGCTTTGCCATGTGTCATACGTAGTAGCCCTTCCGCCAAATGAGCCGCCCCGTCAAACCCTAGGGTCACGATCTCTCCGCACTCCGATCTGCTGACCGTCATAATGAAGACGTATTCTGACGGTGTATTTGTCGTTTCTAGTTTCGGGCAAATTGGTCGGTGGACCCTCAAACAGGTGTCTACACCGCGTCCATGGCACGCACGCCAACCGGCATACCCACCGACCCGCCACTGACGGCCAAAGGCGTTCAGCAGAGTAGGGAGCTGGCAAATTATCTCACCAAAGTCGAGCCTCCGGTGGACAGGATCTACTCTAGCCCGTTTTATCGCTGTTTGCAGACGCTGAAGCCATTCAGCGACGCGTACTTCAACGAGGGGAAAGAGAACAGGGGTAAAATTAGGGTCGACCGTGGAATAGGGTAAGTACGGGCCGACAGTAGATCTTCTGGCGGAAAAGACACAAGTGTGTGAGCACCAAAAAGAGTTTACTGTACTAATACGTTAGTCTGTGCACAGGGAGTTCTTTGGACGCGCCCATTTTGAACACCCAGAGCCGCCCAGTCTCGAGCTCCTGACTCCGCACTTTGGCAACTTAGATGCCGATTACGTTTCCGTGCACATGGCGGGGTCCAGGGGCGAGTCGATTGTGGAGCTACACCAACGTGTTAGAAAGGCGCTAGAGCATATTGTTACAACTCTTGATAGTGATCCGGAGCAGCCCAGGAGTGTTCTACTTTGCACTCACGCGGCTACTATGATTGCTGCTGGTAGGGTACTAACAGGTCGGATGCCGGAGAATCCCGATGAAGACGACTTCAAGTGCTATACGGCTGGTTTGTCTAGATTCGTTCGGAGGTCAGCAGACCCCGAAAAGGGCATCGCTGGGAACTGGGAGTGTGAGCTCAACTCTGAAACATCCTTCTTGTCTGGTGGTGCCGAACGAGGTTGGTAAGTGTGACCTGTTTTTTTTCTTATCTCTTGATGTTTCTTGGGATTGCGTCTTGTGATCATGGGCCGCGTGATTCTGGCTGTTCTCCACATGCAAGAGTGTTGGTGTTAGTTGGGATTGGGCATCCACTGGACTGAAGTTTACATGACGTATTTCCTGCGATAATTCGTTTGGATAAAAGTTTTACCAATTACTATGGGTTGTGGCTTGCTGACTGTTTTGGCGATATTTAGGCATTTCGATGGCGAAGAAAGTTTTGTCGATTTCTCGGATAAGGGTATGAATGGTGAGAGTGAATCGAAATTATGAAGAGATAGGGATTGAGACAACTCTATCTTGGCCATATTTCAATACGTTATTGAGAAGACGGCAGAATTTGCAATCAGGGATATACGAAATAGATCAAACTATCAATTCTAACAATGTATCCACTCATCTCTCCGAGTCCCTCGCAAAAAGAAAACAGGAAAATTCCCAATTCCACAATTCCCCTCTCACCCTACCATCCCACCTAATCTCCACACACACACACACAACTCTCACTGGATCTCTAAACCCAACACAACCCCCTCCTTACCCTGTCCCTCCCTCCCTCCTTCCATACCCACACACACTCACAGAAGCCTCACTTCCTTCCTTGGTCCATCCAAATCAAACTAAACTTCCCACTACATATGCACCTAGCCAACCCCTACTGCAGCTCGCGTTCGCACCCTCGGAACCCGACTACTCGGGTTTCGTGGGTGGCAGGGCGGCAGGCGCAGGTGGGTGGGTGGGTGGGTGGGTGGAGGACCCCCACTGTTGATTGATAAGTCGGTGGCGAAGGAAGAGCGGCCGGGCGTGGGATGTGGGTGGGTGCGGAATTTGGGCCGCTTCTTTCGTGGCTGTCTGGTGCTATTGGTGGTGGGTTTGGCTGGTTGAGGGTGTGCGGTGTGGTTGAATGAATGAATGGATGAATGAATGAGAATGCTTGGGTAGGGGAGTGGGGGTTGAGTGGAGAGGAATATGAGGGAGGGGGTTTGATGGGGGGTTTGGTGTTGGTTGGTTAATTTGGGTATTGATATGTGTTGGTATAACTTTTGATATTCGTCGGTATGGTATTTTTGACTTTTAGATGTAATTGATATATCCTTCTTGCCTAGTTACACTTCAAGTTCATCTCAGGCAGCGTCACATTGGCTCTTTCATTGTGGTGTATGCCTGCTTCTTCGTCGTATCCATCGTCTTGCATGTAGTCATCTGTATGTTAGAAGACCGCATGAAACAAGAGTCGGGGCGTCAAAGAGCAAAGCATGAGACTTGACGTTGCTTTGATCGTTTTGACAACGAGTCAGACCTGGTGCTCGTATACCGCATCTCACATGCTTCTCCAATACATCTTGCATGTTTCTTAATACGACTCAGCTCGTATAGCCCTGTGCACCAAACACTCGTGGCGTTCACAATCCAACACAGCATACTGGCGACTCCTCAACCCTTCTTTTCTTTCCCGATTTCCACTCCTGTGACTGTCTTATCATCCATGTCAAGATGCATGCTCTCTGCAAATCCCACCCATTCTTTTAATCCCTTGACAAACATGTCCTGTCCGGGGTCCACCTCCCCTCCGTGTCCCCATACGACGAGCTCGTCAAACTCTCCCACTTGTTCTGCAATGTTGACTTCTACGGGTATGCTCTCTTCTTCTCCGTCCTCCATTGTCTCGTCCCCGTCTGGCTGCGCCGGTTGTCTCGACTGCGGTAATTGATTTTCGGTGACTGCGAGGATGGCGCCTGTGTAGTTTTCCGGGAGAGGAACCACAGTGCCATGGAGATGTCGGCCGCGGAAGTGGGCGTGTTGGGTGCCTTTATCGTCTGCGGATGGTTTCCAGTACTGTGATGTTGAAGGAATAGGGCCATTGTGGTTTATGCGTGCGGGGAGAAGGTTTGGGATGCACTTCTGGGGTTTGGAGGACTGGATGGCGAGCATTTTGGATGATTATAGCGTTATGTCTTTATGTTTGTTTCACGGATCGACTGCGTGCTTGTGGTGTAGTTGGCCATACGTGAAGCGCAGCCGCGGAAGACGCGTTGACGCGCCGCCGCCGTGTGTAAGCGTGTCCGCGGCGCACGGACTGAAAGTGCATGCGGTGCAGCTCATGATGACGATGCTGTAATATAGTGAACCAGGCTACAGGCGCACAAAATCAAACTGTTTTCCTTGTTGATCTCTTTTCCCTCTTCAATCCTTTCTTCACCACGTATGGCCCACCACCAGGTTCAACATGATGGTGATATGTGCACCACTTCGCCCTTGACTCCGGATCCGGAACAACGATACGAATCCTACAACAAACGGAACGCGTGGCCCCCGTTTCTGTCGACTACCGACTTTCCAGGGTAGACTTTCGGCCCTACCTAGTGATTACAATCCGCGACGATGGAGCGTTTGCGAGCCCGCACAATCTGCCGGCGTCGATTCTCTCCCAGACTCTGATCGCAAGGCCTCCAATGGCCCGAGACGCTAAGATATATGCTCTTGCATAACTTACCCCTCACCTAGCTTCGGAACATATGCTTCTCGAACTCTAAACTGCGGCTCTGTGTTACGCGATAGCTTTTTCGTTTCAGTACCTCTCAACTATGGCAATATCCATGGCAATCCAGGAACAGACTTCCATGCGACTTTACAAATCTGCCATGTCCCTTGTACCCTGTCCACATGTTGCCGGCTCGGACATGCACCACTTACGCACGATATTTAGGCGGATAGACGGCGTCATTGATCACTCAAAATGGCAAGGTTCACCGGCTGCATAACATTTCCCATAGCCTCCACCAGGCGCATAGCTTCGAAACGGCGTAAACAAATGTTCCCGTTCGGCTTTCGGCCAGTCCGGCCAGCGGACGGCAAGCTACCTGGAGCTCTGAAATAGAGTTGTATGCCCTGCGTCAAACTTGAGCAGCTTCTGTTGTTCATATTCCTCGTACCGTTTCCTTCTCTGCGTCTTTACGAAATCATTGTAGCATTGCTTTTCGGCCTTTTCACATACTAGTCGCAACTCGATTGGCTATCATCTGAGCGATAACGTGACCCCGCACGCTCATCACCAACGCATCACAGCGGGGCCTGTATATTGCTCAGGCGCTTAAAGGAACCAATCGTCGTATTCCTCACATTAGACGCACAATTGAGTATTTGAACCTGCATTGCCATTGGAACCTCTTTACGCGGCAAAATAATCTGAAAAGATGGCGATATACAGTTCGGTAACAGGTGCTGTGTCTTCAATCCTAAGTCCGGTCACATCGCAAGGTTGGGGACCATTGGTCAGCCTGTGCAAAAATGGAACCCTTTCACAATTCCAGAATCTGAAGCATGGTAAGCTGGTGGTATTCGAAGGCGGCTCCAGCAAATCCTCGGTAGCGTTTGGTTCGGACAAGGAAGGCCTTCCAATTGCTTTCTTGGATGTACGCGACGAGAAGTTTTGGGTGCGAATTGCACTTTTTGCAGACATGGTAGGCATCTCAATGAATTTTGGAGGGGTCAATCGACCGAATGCTTACAAAAAGAAAACAGGGCTTTGCAGAGAGCTACATGCTGGGGGAGGTCTCAACACCGGATCTGACTAAGTTCTTCGAGGTGAGCTTTTGAAGCTGAGGACTACTCGATTTGCAGAAGAACTTATGTGTGTACAGCTCTTCATCCTAAACCGCAACTACCTCTCCAACGGCTCAACTTTCACCTCTGCAATCTCTACCGGCCTTGCTGGTTTACTAAGAGGCAGCAACAACCTCAGAAATGCTCGCCTCAACATCTCCGCACACTACGATATTTCAAACGAGATGTTCGCTGCATTCCTCTCGCGAGACATGACCTATTCGTGCCCGATATGGCTTCCAAAATCGAACCCACTCTCGGCGAACGAAACCCTATACGAGGCGCAAATGCGAAAGCTCGACCGCTTCATTGATAACACACACATCAAGGGAACAGATCACGTTCTGGAGATTGGTACAGGATGGGGAAGCTTTGCCATGCGGGCTGTCGAGCGGACAGGTTGCAGGGTGACTTCTCTCACTCTTTCCATTGAGCAAAAAGAACTGGCAGAGGAGCGCATAAGAGCAGCAGGCATGTCCGACAAGATTTCGGTACTTCTGTGCGACTACCGCAGTCTGCAAGTCCCGGAAACAGGGCCCTTTGACAAGGTCGTGTCAATTGAGATGCTGGAGGCTGTCGGAAAAGAATACCTCGTCACGTACTTCAAGTGCATTGACAAGCTGCTCAAGAAGGAAGGAGGCATCGCCTGCTTCCAATGCATCACCATGCCCGATGCCAGATACGAAGCCTATGCCAAATCAGACGATTTCATCCGCCGTTATATCTTCCCTGGCGGCCATCTCCCCGCTGTCTCGGAGCTCGTAGCGTCAATCAACACTGGGTCGGAGGGTTCCCTCATCGTCGACAGCATCGAAAACATTGGGCCCCACTACGCCAAGGCCCTGCGGCTGTGGCGCGAAAAGTTCCTGGACTCCTGGGAATCCACCATCAAGCCGCAGCTCATCAAGGAAAAGAGCAGCGAGGGCATGGACGACGAGGGCGCCGAGATTTTCAAGCGCAAATGGGATTACTACTTTAGATACTCCGAGGCTGGCTTCTCCACCCGGACACTCGGAGATGTCATCATCACTGTTAGCCGCGAAGGCGCTATGCAAATGATGGAAGAAGTGCCATTGTGAAAAAGTTGTAGCGAAAAAAAGCCACTTTGATTCGGTTGTTACTATTGTACATGGGAGAATATAGGCGTATATACCCTTTTTTGTCGAAATGATTGCAATATACATTATTCCTTCCATTACTCTCCTTCTGTGTGGGCAATTTGCTTTTTTCGCGCTTCAAATCTACCCCCCATAACCGTGATCAAACTCCGGTAACTCAGCCTGGTACTCCATAGCCAATATACTCGAATCCAACAATTCCTCTACCGATGTTCGTGCATCATTTCCCCCATTCCATTCTTTATCCGCACACCGCGCTTCTCTCACCCTCTCCTCCTCCTCCATCCAACTCGCACTCCGCGTCCCCACCGCCAACGGCGGCGGCCGGTACGCCTTGTAGACTGCCAGCGGCGCGGGCGTAAGCGGCGGCGACGCTAGACCCGTTGTGTCACCCTCCCACAACATTCCTCTTGATCCCTGTTCCGCCGACTCATCTTGCTCGTCGTCTGGTGGCGTGTACGGTCTTTGTGTGTTGACGTAACCTGGTATCAAACTCGCAGGTAGTGTGTTTCTCTTGATTGAAGGTGGAGACGCGGTTTGTATGTTTATGCTGAGGGGATGCGAAAGTGTGGCCCGAGGCGTCATGGCGGATTCGATGTCTGCGGTTAGGGATGTGATGATATCTTCGTCTTCTTCTTCGTTGTCGCCGTGGTCGTTTGAGGAGGAGGACAGGGTGCGAGGAGGAAGGGAGTCGAGTTCGTAAATTGGGTTGGGTGGTGAGTCGGTTTTGTGCGAGGATGTTGGTGGGGATGGGAGAGCGGAGGTTGGGGGTGGAGAGGAGGGTTGGTATAGGCCGTTTGGACCGACTACTTGGAGTCTTTTTTGTTTTTGTTCTGTGTGTTCTTCGTGTGGTTCGGTGGGTACTTGAGGGTCTTTGAGTTGTATGGGGGTTGCGGACATTTCAAAAGCCGCTGTATGGCGTTTGGGATGTTTTTGAGGCAAGGAAATAGGGTCAGAAGTGTGTGTTTGGTTAGGGATATATGATCCGCGTGATCCTACGCGTTGGGCGCCGGATCTTGTTAGAGAGCGTCTGGTTTGAATACTTGGAAGAGAATTTGGCGTCGGGGAGATCTGAGTGTTTGGCTTGGATGGTTGAGCTGGGAGAGGCGGAATACTTTGCATTGGCGCTGAAGTTTTTCGGTATGTGTGTGAGGCTCCGACTGATTCATTAGGTATTTTGAGACTTAGTTGCGGGCCGCTAGACACGCGCCTAGTGTTGATAGTACTGATGGTACGATATCTTGATCTTGAATCTCCTACTGATGGCGTAACCTCTTGTAATCTTGAGGAATTTAGAGAAGGATTTCCAGAAGAAGACCCGATATCGAGGGTGTGTCTCAGTGAAGGCTTCTCCTTTTCCATCTGCCGAAGGCCCTGGGAGATGTTTGGCGACGAGTTATCAGAGATAGACTGGGTGGTTGGTATATCGGCGGCGGAACGCGATCGTGATGAGCCATTTTGAGGGAGCGAGAAATTCGTTGCGGTGGCAGTCGGTGGTGCTTGTCCAGTTAGTATTTGATAGCATCTGCGCTGTTGATCACATGATAAGCCTGCGAAGAAAGGTGTATTGAGAAAGTTTTGGTATGCCGCTTTCTGCTCCAACTGATTCCGAACCGATTGAACCTGGCCTCCGTAGCGCTCGCATAGAAGCAGCAGGTTCTCCATAGGGTTCCAGCTCAGGTCGCGAAGTTTACAGAACTCAATGAGCGACTTGACCAGGTACAACATGTTTAGGCCTTTAAAAGTCCTAAGCATGCCCGCAGTGTTGTTGCCCAACAGGACTATATTGTCTTTGAGGGTGCCGCTGGGAGGTGTTCCATATAAACCTCAAAAATTGTTAGTTCGAAGCTGCGCTTGGCTAAGAATTAAACTTACCTGATGGTAGCAAGTATACTTCGACTGCTGCAGAGCTTGTGCATCCTACATCATGGTATGCAGGCCCTGTTTGCACCAATATCTTCGATGGTGTCAACGGGTTCATGCCATCGATCAACACAATACTGGTATCGTCAGTGGATGTTGCAAGGTAATTCGCTCTAACATACCGTCGATCTGCCTCGAGCTTTTTCTTGATACGACTGGAGTCTTTGTGTTCATATGCAAAGTATAGGTCGGATACTGGGCGCCCACTCCCTAGGCAAAACATCTCGAATGCTCCCATGATACTGTAGGCAAGCTTTTTGTTCTCAAATATTTGACGGACATGGCTCGCCGCTGCTACGACGTTTGTGTGAGATGGCATTTTACCTCTTCCTAGTTGAGGCTTGTTCTGGGAAGGGTTCTCTATGGTAGGTTGTCCTGAGATGCTGGTCATAATACGCATAGTGAAATTAGGTGCTCGACGCTAGCGACTAGATAACCATGGATCAGAGCTAGCTGAGCGAACAAGGCGAGGAGGTGGCAAGAGTTGATGATTAAGAATATAGCACGAGTGTGATAGCAATGTGGGATGATGTGTTTTTGGCGTGGCAGAGCTGTGCTTAAACCATGACAATCCCGTTACCCTGGCGCACAGGTGGATGAGCTCTCGTAAGCATGCGCAAAAGGTACGGCCGAGCGGGGCCCTCCTATCCGTCCTTGCAAAAGGTTATATCCACAATGCTGATGACGCACCCTTGCTATACGCTGGGCCATGCCGGTTGAACGCTAACAACGTAGCCGTGGAAGGCTGAGCTGCACAGCTGAAAGCCACCCGGGCGGCTTAATGGGTTCCGGTCTCACGAGGAATGTGCAAGTTGTTTCGCATTTGCAGCAACAAGTCACAAGGCTAATGACTGCTTGCTGTTGTGATTTTCGTGGGTTCCCGTCATCGAGGCTGAGCGGTTTATATTTAGTAACGGGTGGGTCGGCTAATTGTGGCTACAACGGATCCGCACTGCTCGTATAGGGAGTCTGAGACGGAACCCAGCCTATAACAGGTAACATGGAAGGCATGTGTTCTCGCTGCTATAAAAAGGGTGTTTCGCCCTGTGCGCTGTAGATGTTTACGAGACTTTTTGTCCGACTAGACACTCACGTGACACCCAGCATAGGTCTCTCAGCAAGTGATAGCTTCAGCGCAGTGCTTTGTTAATGATATCGAATTTCTTGCTACACGATATCGCTATTCGAGTCGCCTGCACGCGTCGGGAGGATATACGATGCTACAGGCATAACTTTGATAAGGGAACGAAATAAGTCGAGATTGGGTACGCCACCGAAAAAGAAAAGCCAGCAAGGCCTCTGCTATTGAGATGTAACAAATTGTGTTCTGTGCTCAGATACCACCACCTGTCCCACAGTCAGCATTGGAGGGCGTCCATCAGCGCGTGACGGGACCTACCGGATCGGTCAACGGAGACTGCAAAGTCACCATTGCTGCGAACTCTCTGTTTGTCTGCAAGCGTACGTGACTTGAGGGTGAAGTAGCCGCCTCCTAGGGAGATAATAGACAGCACCGCCATGCTGCGGGGTCTGGAAAGAGTGGCGGTGTCAGCTACAAAGTCGGTGGGAAAGGGAGCTGAGTTGGATAGCCCAATTGAGTGACTTACGTGAGAAGCCTGGAGTAAGTCATGGTGATGTTTCGAGTGACTGTTCAGCTAGTGTTGGTGTACTGTATGAGAAAAAAAAGGATGAAGGCTGTCTTCAAGAAGGAAAATGGTTGAGGAGCAGTCGGTTCCAAGCGGTTCCGTCGTGTGATGCATTTCCCCTCTTAGACTAATCTGTATGACGGTGACGCAGCTTCCCCAGATCGGCATCTGGACCCCGGCTAAGCTTGGACCCCGGAGATGGTATCCAATAAGCGCACATTACAGCCGACGAGCTACCGCCCGGCAGAAAAAGTTCGGCAGCTTCCAGATGCGCGTCGCAATTAGATTCACTGACTGCAATCACACTCAAGAACTGCGCAATGCCTCTCCCCAAGCGACAGACATTGCCAAAGAAGGCCGAAAAGGCCGAAAGGTCTGAAAAGGCCAATGTGCCTGCTAGTAAGCCATGCGACGCCTTCTTTCACAATACTGGATAGCGCACTTACAATCCACAGGCGACTCACGATTCGCAAATTTCCAGACCGACCCCAAGTTTCGGCTGCCCTCCAAGAAGCACACCAAGACTAAGCTTGACCCCCGATTCGCGCGCATAAAGAGCGACCCGGACTTTTACAATAAGGCCAAGGTCGATAAGTATGGTCGCAAGATATCCGAAGACGCAGGCAAGAAGGTTGTCGAGAGGTTGTACGAAATAGATAGCGATGGCGATGACAACGAGGAGGATGATGAACCCGAGCGCCCTGCCGGCAAGAAGCGAGATCAGGCTGTTCTGAAAGAAATGAAGCGGGTTGAGCAGCAAGGCTTTGACCCAATTCGAGACGGTGGGCTTGAATCCTCATCAGACGAAAGCTCTAGCGATGAAGAGGAAGAAGCAGACATCTACGAGCAGGCCGAGCTCGCTGGCGAGGGCAACGAGGTTCCGACTGGCGACATATCGGCACGTCTGGCTGCGGTCAATATGGATTGGGACAACATCCGCGCCATCGACATCATGGCTGTCGCAAACTCTTTCGTTCCGGCTGACGGAAGGATTCTCAACGTCGTCATATACCCCAGCGAATTTGGCATGGAGCGTCTGCAGCGAGAGGAAATCGAAGGTCCGCCCCGGGAGATTTTCGCCTCGACCGCGAACAAGGACAAGGACAATATCGGCATGTCTGACAATGATTCTGATGCCTCGGATACGGACGGTGAGGGCCAGTCAAATGCTGTCTTGCAAGAAGAAGAAACTGGCGAAGAGTTTGATTCGACCAAGCTGAGAGCCTACCAACTCGACCGACTACGATACTACTACGCTATCATCACATGCTCTTCTGCTAACGTTGCAAAGTCCATCTACGATAATCTCGATGGCAGGGAGTACCTGACAAGCGCAAACTTCTTCGACCTACGGTTCGTTCCCGATGGCACCACTTTCGACCAAGATCCCCACGATGAATGCTCCAAGCTGCCCGATGGCTACAAGCCGAACGAGTTTTCAACGGACGCGCTTACTCATTCAAAGGTCAAGCTGACCTGGGATGCTGACGACGCCACGAGGAAGGAAGTACAGAAGCGCGCTTTCTCGCGCAAGGAAATCGACGAAAACGAACTGCAAGCGTATTTGGGCACGGATTCCTCATCCTCCGAAGACGAAGAGGAGGCTGCCAAGGCAGACAAGGCAGCAAGTCTCAGAGCAGCGTTAGGTCTTGAGGCACCTGGCAAGACCTCCAAATTGAAGAAGAAGGCTTCCGCAAAGAATGACCGCGACTTTCCAAAGCCGGACAGTGAGATGCAAATCACTTTTACTGGAGGCTTGTCTAAGGAGAGTGGCAGTGGTGGTGTGTTTGAGAACGATATTCCTGTGCAAGAGACGACTATGGAGAAGTACATACGGAAGGAGAGAGAGAGGAAAGCGAAGCGCAAGGAGAGGTGGGCTGCTAGGAAAGCTGGCAGAGATCCTGACGCTCCTGCTGAGCAGGAAGCCACCAAGTCAGCGGATGCGAATGACGATGATCTATTCAACGATCCGTTCTTTGCCTCTGATCCCGAAGAAGCTGCTAAGGCTTCAAAGCAGGAGGCTAAGAAAGCTAAGAAGGCCAAGAAGGCAGAACAAGAGCTTCAAGACCAGGCAGCTGCAGCAGAACGTGCGAATCTGGAGCTACTCATGGCTGATGACGACGACTCCAAGATGCGCCACTTTGACATGAACGAAATTGTCAAATCGGAGAAGGCTAAGAAGAAAGGAAAGAAGGCTAAAAAGAATGCCCCAGTGGTGGAAGACAACTTCAAGATCAACACCGCTGATCCACGTTTCGCGAAGTTGTACGAGAGTCATGAGTTTGCTATTGATCCCACGAATCCTCGGTTCAAGGAGACTGCAGGCATGAAGGCGCTCTTAGAAGAAGGCCGGAAGAAACGAAAGCAAGGAAAGGACGAAGATGAGCCAGAAGCGGAACGGGGCAATAAAAAGTCAAAGCAAGATACGGCGGGTGGAGAGGAGGACATCAAGAAACTAGCTGCCCGGATCAAGGCGAAGAGCAAGCAGAAGTAAAGATGTATACTAGAGTTGCGTTTGATACCCGAAAAGTCCGCTTGGATATCCCCAAACAATATATGTTTTATGATTGATTTATGAATGTTTGTTGGTATAGGGCTAGGTAACTTCCTGTGCGTTTGGTGGCTACTGCCTCCGCTGCTCTTGCCATGTGACACAGCGAATGGTCGACCTACTTTCTCACCTTCCTTACTTGCGAGTCACTCGAACATCCTCACTCGACGCCATCTCTCTCCCGCTTACAGACCTGCTACTTGTCACCTTTCCTATGAACCCCTCGCCTCTTTCATCCTAATTTCTCCAAATCCCTCTCGAAAGCACACATGATGCACTTTCCGGGGCTATATTCGAGCTCTGTATCACAACCGGTTACTCTTTTCAGTTCCTCGAGTTCATTCCCAGCATCTCATCTCTCAGTCACACATTATGGCACCACCCTGGGTCACTTTCGATACCACTGAGTCTTTTGGCGGAGATTGTGGTAACGGAGCTGAGCCTGACATCGCTGGCATTAGTGTAAGTGGATATGCCTACTGTCTGTGCTCAGCTTACAGAACCTTTTGCAGGTTGTCATTTCCTTTGTCATTGCGAGCTTCATGACCACGTTTGCCTCGATTTTTGCTATGCTTCTCGATCAAGCTTTCGATACCAAAGGCCAATTTACTCCGCGCGCACCACTAAGATTTATTCGCGAACGTTTTTTAGAACAAGAATGGAAGAAGCATTACGCATGGCGTCCTTTCCTGGGCCCGCTAATCATAGGCCTAGGTGATCAGCAGCTCATCACAGGATACGCTGTATTGCTCAGTGGATGGATAAAAGTACGTTCCTACTCCCCTCTGGAATTTCTGAACTAATGGAAGTGTTCTAGGTATATGAGAAGGCCTTCAGAGTCCAAGGCGCCCATTTTGTCCTAATCCTATACATCTGCGCTCTGTCGTCATCCTCTCACCTCGCTGCCCTCATAACACTACGCAAATACTTTCAAAGGTACAAACTCATTGCAAAGATCCGACTCATACTCGTCGTCTGCTTCGCAATGTTTCTTATGACTTCCATGATGGCTGCAATTGCCCTATCACCAACAATGGTTATGACTAGCCATGGCGTAAAGTTAGTCAAGACCCAGGTTCAGCGTTTATCGTTACTGGCACCGTTTTTTCTCATAATCATTGGCTTCTCGACAGCGCTAGTGTGTATCTTGTACAATCCAGAAGGCCTTGAAGTTGAGTCTCCACTATCTTCCTCAGAAACTTCTTTCCAAGCTCTCGTACGTCGCGTTACGGATAGAGAGCTATACACGAAGAGATTCGTGTTCCGAACACTATTTCCAGCTCGGTTCGGCATACAGCTCATGTATTACATCTTTCTCAATCCAAAAATTGCGTTTGTAGTCCAGATACTATTGGCAATCCTTTCTGCAATCTTAGTCTTGACTCAAAAGTTCGCGGCTCCTGAGGATCCGGCAAGGCTTTGCGGTTTACATGACGATGAAGAAAACGCATGGGGCTTCGGGCAGACATTGAGTGTGACTATGCTTCTGTTACCGGCTATTTCAGCACTTCAAAAATACTTGGAAGCAAGACAAGATATCAGCGAGGGGTTCAGGAGTACGAACGTCTGACATCATGTCAAGGGCCGTATGTGATTGGTATAGGAGCCATTTTATTGATCGTACACAAATACTACTCAGCCAAATCGCTAAAGCCTTGCTTTCTCATCGTCTTTCTCCTTTTTCTCGAGGAACCTGGCAGCATACTCAATAGCCGCCTCGTATCCAAATACACCTAGCCCACAGATCACCGCCTCCGCCTTGTCACTCAGGTAACTATGATGTCTGAACGCTTCTCTTTTGTGAATGTTGCTGATATGAACCTCGACAAACGGTATATCCACGCCGCTCAGAGCATCTCGTAGCGCCACGCTCGTGTGCGTGAAAGCTCCAGGGTTGATCACGATAAAGTCGACACTGCCACGCGCTTCATGTATACGGTCTACTAACACGCCTTCATGATTCGATTGGGAATGTGAGAATTGTATAGAGAGCTTGGCACATTGTTCTGTGGCGGAGGAGATTACGTCTGAGAGGGTGGTGGATCCGTAGATTGCGGGTTCGCGTGTGCCAAGAAGATTGAGATTTGGGCCGTTGATTAGGAGAATGGATTTTGTCTTTGACATGTTTGCGGACATATTTTTGGGTGTTACACTCAAGTTTTCGGAGTACTGTCAAAGAGAAGAGTCGCTGAAGACGCGTGCGTGGAGCATCTTGGTGTTGGTCTCCACAACACTCATTCCGACGCTTGGATCGATGTCGGAATCGGAAAAGGACTTACCCATAGGCCTACGATCGGCCTTCCGCCGCCTACTCTCAAACCAAGACACATGACCCCCAATGCATAGATATCTGTGGGTCTTTCAACCGTGGTTAGCCGGTACGGCTTCAGACGGTAGGAAACTAGCGGCGCAATGGGTTCCAATGTATGCGAACCACCGCAGCGCAATTCTCTTTCGTCTTCCAAGAGTAGCTCTTGCACATACACAAACGTACAATTACCATGGCTGAGCTCTCAAGAGAAGAGCTAGATGAGATCTATGCGTTCGCGGTGGATCTGGGGAAGAAGGCAGGGAAGATGCTTATGGACGCCGCCCAAGCAAGAATGAACAGCGAGAGCACAACAACAGAAGAAAAACAACACGTACAAAAAGAGAACGCAGTAGACCTAGTAACAGAAACCGACGAAAACGTCGAAGCCTTCATCAAGACGAAAATCGAAGAAAAATATCCCTCCCACAAGTACATTTCCACTTCCCCCTCTCCCCCCACCTCCCTCGCGCAATCCACCTAACAATTCCCAGATTCATCGGCGAGGAAACCTACTCCAAAAACTCCTCGCGCAACTACCTAATCGACGCCTCCCCAACATGGTGTGTCGACCCCCTCGACGGAACCGTAAACTACATCCACCTCTTCCCCACCTTCTGCACCAGCATCAGCTTCATCCACAACAACAAGCCTCTCATCGGCGTCATCTGCGCTCCCTTTACGAACCAGCTCTTTACCTCCTGCGCCGGCCGTGGCGCCTTCCTAAACGAAACCCAGCGCCTCCCACTCATCCAGAAACCCAGCATACCGCCCATGCCCGCTAATGCGCCCGCTGGCTGCGTCTTCGCGTGCGAGTGGGGCAAGGATAGACGCGATGTTCCCGACGGGAATATGCATCGGAAAGTTGAAAGTTTTCTTAACATGGCTGCGGAAATTGGGGGGAGAGGGGGTAAGGGAGGCATGGTACATGGAGTTAGGAGTCTGGGGAGTGCAACGCTGGATTTGGCGTATGTGGCTATGGGTGGAGCGGATATCTGGTGGGAAGGGGGGTGTTGGGAGTGGGATGTTGCGGCTGGGATTGCGATTTTACAGGAAGCTGGGGGTTTGGTTACTACGGCGAATCCGCCTGAGGATTGGGCGAATGCGCCGATTGAGGAGGTGGGATTGGGAAGTCGGTTGTATTTGGCTATTCGGTGAGTTTTCTCTCTTTTCTTTTCTTTTTCCCTACGCCTACTACGTGGAATATGGAGAAGTGAATTTTATGTGGAGAAGTGCTGACTTTGAGATTTTTCTTAGACCTGCAGGACCATCTGCGACGGAGACGGGACGTCAGAGTCAAGAAAGAACGGTACGCGAGGTATGGAGGAGAGTACGACATCTAGACTATTCGCGTCCAGGAGCATAGAGTCGGTTATCAAGAAATCACGACAAGCGTATAGAAGTATATATCAATGTTCATTTTTTTTGCTCACTCAAGTCATAAGTATGTATTTTACAACCTCGCCTCACTCAACTTCCTCGCAATAGCCTCTTGCACCTTTTCCACGGGCAACTCCCTCACCTCCCTCGCTGTCCAATACCGATCCTGCTCCAACCCCTGATAAATCAGCGCCTCGGTCCCCAGTACGATCTGCCACCCCTCATTCTTCCCTATCTCTGCAATCTCGGTCCATGTAGTAGGGTGGTAGCACATCTCCAGCAGTGCGCCCTTGTGCTTTTTTTGCAAGAAGCAGTTGAGGATGTCCCGCGCTTCTATCTCCTGTAGTGTCACGGGCGAGAAGTTGGGGACGCAGGATACGATTGCGCCGACGCCCGGGAGCGATTGCGCTTGTGAGAGGGTGGAGACGTGGACGAGGGAGGAGCCGTAGCCGCGGGCGTTGCATTCGGAGATTACGGCTGAGACTTCGGCGGCGTCTCTGTTTACCTATTTTTTTGAATTTGCATTAGCGAATTCACTCTAAGATGTTGTTGTTGCTGTTGTTCATATTGTTGCAAATCGATTCCCATCAATGGGTTTGTGGACTGGGGAAACTCACAAGATAAATTGCACTGGCTTTCATCCATTTTCTCAGGGCGTAAACGGCACTTCGTGCTGCGCCGCCGCCGCCAATGACGAGAGCGGGTCTGTTTTCGTATTTTGAGGCGTCGATGTTGTAGGCGAAGGCGTCGCGGATGCCGATGACGTCGGTGTTTGTGCCCATGTAGAGCCGTTTTCCTGTGGAGGGATCTTCTTGGATGAAGAGGGTGTTTACAGCACCGACGTCACGGCCTTCTTCTGTTAGGCCGTCGAGATGGGGGAGGATGGCGACTTTGTGGGGCATGGTTACGGATGCGCCTGTTGGAGAAGGTTAGGATTTGATGTCGTTGGGTTGGGATGTTGGCTTCTTACCGTAGAATTGTGGGTGTTTGATTAGTTGGAGGAAGAGAGACATGTCTTTTGATTCTAGAGGGTATTGTGCCCAGTTTAACCCTAGCCCATCGTATACAGTCTTGTGTAGTAGGGGCGACATTGAGTGTGCAATTGGGTGGCCGAAGAGGTAGCCATGGCGCTCTGTTTGGGATACGTCTGGTATTCTGGTTTCTGTTGATTCGGTGGACATTGTTGACGAGTGGAGTTATGTGATTGGGGAGTGGAGGGTTCGTGCTGTTTCACGACAAGTGTAGGTTATTGGTTTCTTAAAGTTGCAGTTGAATTATCGTACGTAGTATTATTAAAGTGGGGTGTAGGTAGATTATCAAGTCTGTTCAAAGTGCTGCTCTCAAGATAGATACTACGTACGCCTTCTCCACTAAAGGCTTCCCAGCTCGTACCATCATGTCCGATGCCTAGTCCCACAAGCCAGAACTGGAGCGCTTGAGCCCCGGAAAAAGAGACGCTGTACGTGGAGAAAGGTGCGTGTATGTTGTCAAGATCTAAACTAAGGACCGAAGTTCTGCTGGCGTTTGCGTGTAGTGTCCAATGAACAGAGCGACAACGGCCGCTAAACCTCGCGTATAAATGCGATTCCGGGCCCTGCATCACTACCCACCGCCTGGATAATACCAGCATTTCCCCATTAGGCACGAAAGGCGTGCAAATTGCAGTCTTGGGACGCGATCCGACGCGCAGGCCTGCAAATGCACTTCCCCGCAATCGCTCGAATCTTAGATCTGCTGGAAGAGAATGCGAAGATTCATCCGGGTCAGGATCTTACCACCACATTCCTGATGAACCCGCACCACGGCCAATCAAGCAACGTCAAATTCAGTTTGACATCCTCACAGGTCATACTCCATGCGGAGTCCGACGCCTTCTCCACATCTTACTCCGCAAAAGAGCACGTTTTTCTTAGCCAGGGGTATATAGTATAGGTGCAGGCCGATCTCTACTTTATCAAAGCCATTTCTTTTTTCATCGCCTTGCCGGCAGCTGCTTCTCCTAGCCTGGCTAGCAACCTCATCCTACATTTCATCAACACTGTCTGAGTTTCGGAAGCCAAACCAGACAGCACCTTCATCATGGGCATACTCGCGCTTGTCGAGGACAGGCCGACGCCAAAGGCCGTCTACAACTGGCGAGTCTATACAGCAGCAAGTGTCGCATCATGGGCGGCTTGCATGATCGGATATGATTCAGCTTTCATCGGTACCACACTGGCACTTCCTTCGTTTGTCGAGGAGTTCCGCTTCAAGGAGATGACTACGTCACATCTCAACACTACCAAAGCCAACATTGTCTCCGTGTACCAAGCGGGTGCTTTCTTTGGTGCTTTTGGCGCATATGTGTCGAGTCATTATGTCGGTAGGAAGAGGTCTCTAATTCTCTGGACTCTGATTGTGAGTTGGTACCCCAGGCGGCATTGTTCTACGAGAATCAAACTAACGAGACGTGCCATCTAGTTCATGCTAGGCGCTGGTATGATGCTTGGTGCTAATCGCGAAAGAGGTCTCGGTCTGATTATCGGCGGTCGCGTTCTCGCTGGACTTGGCGTAGGCGGTTGCAGCAACATGGTACCCATCTACATTTCTGAGCTGTCGCCACCGGCTGTGCGTGGACGACTGGTTGGTATTTATGAGCTTGGCTGGCAAATCGGTGGACTGGTTGGTTTCTGGATCAACTACGGTCTTCAGGAGACCATGGCACCTTCACACCGTCAATGGCTCATTCCATTCGCTGTACAGCTCATTCCCGCAGGATGCTTGCTCATGGGTGCTCTCTGGATGCCAGAATCCCCACGATGGTACTTGGCAAAGGGAAAACGCGAAAAAGCGATCAAGGATCTTTGCTGGCTTCGCCAACTACCGCAGGACCACACATACATCATCGAAGAGCTCGAGGCTATTGACCATCAACTGGAGCATGAGAGGGCCACTGTTGGTCCAGGTTTCTGGAAGCCGTTCCTGGCACTCAAACAACGCAAGGTGATGTGGCGTGTCTTCCTCGGTGGCATGCTTTTCCTCTGGCAAAATGGATCCGGCATTAACGCGATCAACTACTACTCTCCGACTGTATTCAAAAGTCTAGGTGTTACCCAGGGCTTCCTTACCACAGGTATTTTTGGAGTCGTCAAGACAGTCATGACATTCGTCTGGCTCATCTGGCTCATTGACTATCTTGGTCGTACAAAACTTCTCATGATTGGCGCATTTGGCGGCTCTCTATGCATGTGGTACATTGCTGCCTACATCAAGATTGCTCAACCCGGAAGCAACCCGTCCGGCGACCTTTCACCGGGAGGAATTAGCGCTATTTTCTTCTTCTACCTATGGACTACTTTCTACACGCCTTCTTGGAACGGTACCCCCTGGGTCATCAACTCTGAAATGTACAGCCAGCAAACCCGATCTCTAGGCCAGGCGTTCGCTGCGGCAAACAACTGGTTTTGGAACTTTATTATCTCGAGATTCACTCCGCAGATGTTTGCCACCATGGAATACGGTGTCTACATGTTCTTTG